GAGACGCACACACACAGACACACATACACACACACACATGCATGCAGGCATGCATGCATGCATACATACATACATACATACATACATACATACGCACACACACCTACATACATACATACATACATACATACATACATACACACATACATACATACATACATACATACATACATACATACAGACACACACATACATAAATACATACATACATACATACACACACATACATACATACATACATACATACAGACACACACATACATACATACATACATAGATACATACATACAAACTATGCATACATACATACATACATACCATGCATACATACCATTCATACCATACATGCCATGCATGCAGCATGCATGCATGCATACATACATACACACACACACTCGCTCCTACATCTCCTTTTGGGTGACATCAGCTGATTCAAACGTGGCCCCTCCTGCTGCCGTGTCATTATCATTTGGCCAGGGAAGACCATGGAACTCTAGAGTTTCCGTCAGGGCGCCGGGTTGCCGCTGCAGCAGCAGCACCTTGGCACAAGTTGCTGAGGAAAAGTGGGATTCTGGGCGATTCTGGGGGATTCTGGGCGATTCTGGGGGATTGATTCTACAGACGGTACCATGGACACATGAAATTACCTGATATGTAAACCATGGAAGTGGAATTCCCCGGTTGCGGGAAACTCACTCTGAACCTGGTCAACGATCCCACTGGTTCCAGGTAAGGAAAAAAACGATTGCGGGAACTGATAGAGCCTGAATATGGTTGGATAGTGCAACGTTTGGTGCTTTCTTTACAACAAGTTTCAGTGGGAGATCAGCCTCGTCAGTTTGGTGGTGCTGTAGGTTCTTGGGGGCAAGGTGGAAAGGCCAAAAGGGTTGGCCTGCACCTTCAAAGAAGCTGAAGAACCGAAAGGATCCATTCTGCCATTCTGCCATTTTGAAAAATCAGTACCGAAAGATGCAACTAATCAGCACATGAATTGCACGAATCGCGAGGCTAAGGGTCAAAGCCTACCCCAAAAAAAAACCCTTGGGCCGCCATGGCCCCTTCATTGGCAGGGGGGACCACAGACAAAGAGGAGCAGGAGACACTTTTGTCAAAGGAACTGGCGAAGAAGCGGAACTGCAACTGCTGCAGAGCTAAAGGTTGTGCAGTATGTTGCGGGTTTGCCTTGATTGTGTTCACCCTTTCCGTGCTTGTTCACTTGAACTGGTGCCCCATCCTGAATGGCAACAATGTCGGCTCTCTTTCCATAAAAATCTAATCTGACTTCCTAGCAGGTAGGGTTTTTGAAATCTAATCTGTAGTGTTTTATAGGTGAGTTGAAAGCTTTGGTCTTACATGATTTTGTGCCCTGCAGGTAGAATTCTCGCAGCAGCATAATTTTTTCTGTTCTATTGCATTTCCTTCTCGGTTTCTACAATTGTTTTCTAAAGTACTAAACCGGCGTTCAATTTTTTTTCCCACGCTATGTTTCCCCGTTCGCAGGCAGGCGATGTGCATTGGCCCCTTGTTCCACGCCGATGACGTCGATGCGCTGCGCCTCCGTTGGGCCGTTGACGCCGAAGCGCTCCGCCGCGCTGCAGCCTCTGCCACACCGCTGCTGACGGAGAGAGCCTTGCCCAATGCCTTCGGCTGGATGACCAACGTTGCCACAGGCGGCCATGCGGGCCCAGCTGTCACAACATGGTTCACTGTATATAATTTATATACGTTTATATTCCCCTAGAGGGGCGTGGCAGGTGCAGCACTTCGGATGCTTCAGGCTCCTTTTTGGCAGGCGCAGTATATACTTTGGAGACCTGGACGAAGTGGCTGAAACCCAGGTAAAACATATTTTTTCAATTTTCACTTTTCAAAGTGCGCCGTACTTGGTGAGATTCTAGCATGTGTTCGCGCAACCCTATCGTCACTTCGTGGATCACTCTCGTCGCGCGGTTTCAAAATTTGATATCGCTTGCTCAACCCTCTTGTCACTTTGTGAGTGTCAGCTCGCTCTCGTTGTGGCGCGGTGCGAATTTGGATATCGCGCGCAACCTTCTTGTCACTTCGTGCGCCTTGGACAGCTCTCGTGGCGTGGTGCTTTCTTTTTAGCTAATTCCCGAAGATCCTTGCCAAGAGATCTCGTGAGTCCCGTGGAAGGTCTTTCTTTGAGGATCTGGCGTGAGTTTCATAGTGTGTCCTTTACAGTAGAGGTCCTGACATGAAGATCTTGACCAAGGTCTTTCAAAGGTCTTTGTAAGAAGATCGTGTGAAGATCCTGGTGAAATCCTCTAAGAGGTCCTTGCATGATTTTGTACAGGTAGAGGGGCTTGTATGAAAGCTTTCCAGGATGAGGTTCTTATAAAGAGATCTTGTACGATCCTCTCTGGCAGGTTATGAGTCTTTCTATGACGATCGTGTGAGATTCTCCAAGGGTCTTGGCATAAAGACCTTGATCAAGATCTTGCAAAGTTCCTTGTGAGAAGATCTTGTGGGGATCATAGTGAAATGCTTTCGGAGGTCCTTGCAAGAAGATCTTGAAGATGCCTTCTATTTGAGGTGCTTGTATGAAAGCTCTTCTGAGATGCTCTAAGGGGGTTTTTGTGCGAAGCTCTTGTAAGATCCTCTAGGATCCTCTAGGGGTCTTCTTTGACGATCTTGGGAAACCCTCCTAGAAGTCCGGGTAGGAGGTCCTTGCCTTTTGTGACGGTTATTGTTTCCCTTGGCTACTGTTGCTTGTATCTCCTACATTAATTTCCTACCCCGCACACTGTTTGGGGTCTTGTGCCGGGGTGATTTTTCAACGCCAGCGAAAGGAGATAGAGCCAGGAATTGTTTTTTTTGGGCAGCTGTTGACGTCACCCATCTCAAGAAAGGGCTGAAGCTCAACATCAATTGTATGTCAGGACTCACAGATAGAAGTTACTCCTGGAATTATCGGAGTGCCCGCCGTCTATTTGACATGAACCCTCCTCAACTCCCCGGTCCATTTCAAATAGAAGAAGTTGGTGTTCAAGGATTCAAGGAGTTCAAGTAGTGAGTTTCTTCTGTTTGAACAGTCCGTGGAAAATACTGAAAAAAAATATTTATTTTTATTTTTATTTTTATTTTTTAATCCGGTGATGCACCATGATAACTTCTTTGGGAAATTGACACGAATCGTGCACATGTGTGCCAACATGTGCAAACAAAATGCGGTTTCAAACAATCCATGAGGATGTCCCTCTCTAAGCTGTGCCTTGTGGCGCGCGGAAAGACAAGTAGAGTTAGACCAGTATTGTCCAGTTTAGGTAGCCAAACGAGACCCAAACGAGATATTGTTTGGCAGTTCCTTGTGGGTTTCAATTTTCGAAGCATTCGCATCAAATAGAAGCTATGGATATAGAATTGCTTCTATTTGAACAGTCCCCGGAAAATATCAGAACCCCCCTTGTTTTTTGAGTTTTGGTGAACAACCATGACAACTTCTGTGGGAAATTGACCAAAAAAACAGGGAGGGTACCTACCTTGATCATGATTTATGACTATTTTGGTGCTATATAGTCAGGGATTTTTGTCTGATTCTATGTGATTTTTCATCAAACATGCTTCTCCGGCACCCACCGCATTTCTGGTGAACCGGTCTGTTCGCACTCGGGGGTGATTTGGGTGACTTCTATTTGAAAAAACCTCTAATGTCTTCTATGTTTGTGTCCCGTAATGGATGATGATGTGGATGATGATGTGGGTGATGATGCGGATGATGATGTTGATGTTGATGTTGATGACCAAGACCATGACAATGATCATAACAGCCATGATGATGGTGATATTGGTGATACTGGTGATGCTGCTGATGCTACTGATGGGGGCGCCAGTGACAGCGCTGTTAGGTGATAGATGATAGACGATGGATTATAGATAATAGCTTATGATAGTTATCATGCGTTATGGTGGAGGATCCTAGGTGACGATAGATGCTCATAGATGAGAATAGAAGAAAAATATTGGAGCATGGATCAACAGATATGGTCATGGATGAGGTATGATGGATCATGGATGATGGTTGATGATCGATGAAGTGCACGGCGGTGGTAATGGTTGACATTTTGGCTTGATTCATGACAATTTTTAAATTCTGTTCATAGTCGCCGATGAGAATCATGTGATTCTTTGGTTTGCACTGGGAGCAGGTCATGGACACTGGGGTATGACACCTATGCATCGGGCACGTGAAATTGCATAGGCATAGGTGCAGGTGTCTTCGTGTGCGAGCCCACTTGTTTCAAATGGGGAAGAAATGAAGGGGCCTCCCTGTAGGCAGCGTGTACTTCGAAGACATGAATTTTGTGCAAGGTTTCGATCGCCCAGGTTGCTGGAGCCTAGTGGAGGACATGCTGAAAAATTGTGGTGTCCCAAAGTGGCGCTAGCGTTCTGGATGCCAAGGGACAGTCAATGCTACCCTGACAGGAACTCTTTTCCAGACTGCTGGGCCGGTCTGAGCCAAAGTGGAAGCCTCCAGTTGCAGGCGAGAGCATGGGCATCCAGAGCTACCAAACCTATGCCAAGGAGCAGTTTGGCCGAGAGTTTCCGGGCGAGTTCATGCAGAAATTTTACACTGGAGGCAGGGTGCCCAGTTGGGAGGACAATGAAGGCCACGCCTGGGGGATCTGGAAACTCCATACCATGGTGAGCACCTCCCGTGCTGCTGGCATTGATCCCATCACCTTGACCTATCCCATGGAACCCCGGGTGGCCTTTGACCACCGGGCCTTGGCCAAGATGGCGTCAGACGGTTTTCGCTACTTTGGACCGATGGAGATTCAATATGCCAACAATGGGTTTTATGGGGCCTCAGTGGTGGAAAGGCTTCTGCAAAGCCGCAGAAGGTCAGACCTGCTGGGAATGTTGATGACCGACAGCGTGTTTGGTGCTCATTTGGTGTACGAGAAGGGGACAGGACGATTTCACGTGGATTTGAGTGGGACGAGAAGGGGACAGGACGATTTCACGTGGATTTGAGTGGGATGTCTGCGTACCAGCCCATCCCCGGCTATGCTGCTCTAGGTGGCAAAGCGAGTTTTGAGAGAGATGGCTCCAGTCTTCGTACCGTGATGCTGGAGTACCAGGGAAAAAGCTACCGCAATTTCACGGATCCTGAGGTGGACAGAGCATACGAGCAAAACAACACTCGTCTTGGCTGGCGCATGGCTGAGGGTGCTCTGATTGCTTCCCTCCTCTCAATGACCAACTTGGTGATGCACGTGAAGGATCTTCACATGGAAATCGCTGCAGCCTTTCAAGCCGTGACCGTAGATGCCTTCAGCAACCAACCGAAGCACCCCCTTCGACGTTTGCTGGACGCCTTTATCAGCCGCAGTGTGCAGGCGACCAACGACAACATGCGGCTACTCTTTGACTTCCACGCGGCAGATTTCTCCTTGGCACCCTTACCCCATGATGAGCAGTTGAAACTGATCGATGATGCCATCAAGAAGAATCCCCTCAACCTTGCCGAGATGGACATGGAACGCTATGGTCAGATCCGACATATGGATCCCGCCTGGTCCACCAGGGAAGCCATCACCAACACAAGCCGCTGGGGATGGCGTTGGCACTATCGGGCTGTGACTGTGCAAAGGCTCATCGCGAAGTATGTGGAGTGCTTTCTGGAAGCCGAAGGTATGGATGAGGACACCGGGCCAGAAGTTCGCCAAGCTGGCAAGAAAACATCTCACCTACAGTAAGGGGTTCAAAAGTTGGATCAGAAGCTGGCCTCCTAGGGTGATAACTTCAGTGATAACTTGATAACCCGATACCGAGCATGCTATCCCCACTGCCAGCATGCAAAAATGATCACAAATCAGCTCACCTTTGGCCATGACTGAAATTAACCATCTGAGAGGCTGCGAATTGTAATTACACAATGTCACAATGCCCCTCAAAAATGATGATCCCTGCGTGAACTTCAGGACTTCATTAAAGCCGACTCCTATTTGACAAACTGGTGGCACTCCTTGGTCTTTCACTTGCCATCCTTGAGACGTGCGACCGAAAAGAGCCCCAGTTGGTCTGGCAGTGGCAGTGAGGCGAGCAGATCGCAACTCATCCGGGTCTTGAGCACCATCATGGTTTGGGTGTCCTGGATCCATGAGGATGTGGGGCATTCTGCAGCGGCCTATGTGAACAACCCCATCTACACTCCCATGTGTGTACCAGAAGATGGTGTGGGTGTCCCCTTGCGCTCCTGGGTCTTCAATGCCATGGCCTATCGGGGGTTCGTGTTTTTGCATCGCAGCGTCCTCTTGGATGAACCGCCCGCTTTCTGGTTTGATGGCAATGTGGAGTCACGCAAGTGCTTCGAGACCTTCCAAGATAGTCTCAGATCATTAGGTGCGGGAGCTTTTCATTTTAGTTCCCCGGAATTCGTCTTTCTGGATAAGACATTTGGGAGTTGGTGGGGCCAGTGTTGTGGCTAAGCTTTGGTCGATTTCTCCTGCATGGCCAGGGGAAACCGATGTGGCCTTCAGCGAATGCGATAAGAATGGTTTCTTCTCATGTGTGGACCGGGTTGAGACAGCAGTTTCTTCCTGATGACCGCAGATCGGAAGAATTTCAAGTTTTGCCAGAATGGTCCTCCCAAGATTGGGCTGATAGCCACTGTGTCCATGTGCAAGATGAAGTGTTGTCGCGCTTGGAATCACAGTTTCTTGACCCCAGGGTTTAGGATCTTCAAGGAAATTTCTTTTGATATTCACGGCGTTGTACATAGATCCGACGTCACTGGAATGATTACCAGCAAAATGACATTATTTCATTTCAGATTAGTGAGTCCTTGTACGCTTTCCAGATACATACATACGGTACAGTACAGTTGACAGTGTACAGTACAGTAGATAACATTGCATTACATAGCCTTACATTACATTACACTACATTGCTTTACATGACACCCCACAAACTGACATGACATGACACGACACGACACGGCACGACATGACATGATACATCACATCACATCAAGTCAAATCAGATCACATCACAGGCGCGTTGAATGGACGATGGATTCAGGCCCATGGCCCATGTCCCCACAAGCCGTATGTGAACTTGCTGCGGTCCAAAGCGACTTTTGAGTGGTTGCGGGTGCCGGAGAATCCGGATTGCTCCCTGCAACATTTTTAGTTTTTGCCTGAGGAGGCAGTGGAAGCTCCATGAATCCTATCATATCCTCTCTTAATTGGTGATATATTTCTTGAGTGGCCAGTGGCTGAGGATTTTTTGGTTGCCATACCTCCTATCAGGTGCGTAGCTCTTTTTTGCTCCACACGGCACTGTTTTGCCGGGATTGGGAGACTTGCCCCTTTCTGAGGAGCTTGAGGGGTGACAGCGGTGCCGCACAGAAAGAAACCCAGGCATCGTCGATTTTTCCATTTTTTTCACCACAAATCATACGGGCTCCATGGTTGATACAAGTTGATACACTCACCTGGTCAGATGTGGATTAGATCAGATGCTTGTCTCAGCTCCCTGGTCGCTGGCCCCAAAGTTTCTTGCCTAAGGTAGCGTGTGCCCTGCTCTTGAAGGTGGATGGGCTGCCTAGGGGATGGAAAATCAGATTCGTTGTGGAGCAACAAGTTCGCGCAGACTGGGAACCGCGGTAAGAAGATGTAAGAAGTATTGAAACCACAGCAGCAACACCTAAATTGATGCAATCAGTTGATGCAACTGATACAACTCTCCCTTTCCCACGACCATCGGACCATCGGTTTGTTTCCTGTCTTGTCGATGCTCAGGGGCAGCCTGTGGGTAGGTCTCTTAGACAACCTCAGTGAGAAGCCTCTTTTTTTGACAGCATTGGTTTTCAGCCACGGGCTTCGCATGAGGCGCGCTGATGTCCACCAAACCACCCAAGCCGGTGGTAGAATGGAGCCCAGTAGATCTCGGCGCAACCTCTGCCTGCGACATGGTGAAATGTTTTTTCATGCCGAGGCACAAGATAAGAATTTTCAGCCAGTGGAGGTGCTGCATATTGCTGAATGCTCTTTGTGTGATCTAAACCGATCAAACACCTTCCATTGTTTGCGCGAGCATGCGTTAATATCTATCATGTTAATCGTGTTTGGGTGTCAGAAGTCTTCACAAAGTTGGCATCGAAAGTATCGTGACATGGCAACGGACCGATTTTTCGTACCATTTTAGATTTATCAGGTGCAAAGCTGGGTGCAAGCCTCCAAGGGTCAGCCTGACCTTGTCATTGGACTCAGAGGTGCTGGGAGTTGGGATGGATTGGGATGGGGATGGCTAGAGACCTGGCAATTTTATAGTGGTTGAAGTTCGAAAGCTCATGATGCATGGCATAGATCCAGTATAAAGCCAGGGGTTCTTGGTGTTTTTTTGTGCGAGAGATAGGATTAAATTAATTGATCGGTGTCTTGAGATATGTTGGGACCACTAATTCGCCAGTAATAGTCTTCAGGCCATTTATTGACCCTGAAGCACACAAAGATAGGTACAAGTGTCCATCTGATACGCACTTTTCGTAATAGTATATACGCATGCCCATTCGCAAAGGATTGGGAAGAGCGGTTGAATGACCATCCCAATACACATACAAACATGCATGCATGCAGCACCGCACAGGTGACCCATACTATCTTCTGCCTGGTCAGGACGGGCTTCCTACTCAGCTAGAGGGAAAATTCATTTTGATTTTGCTTTTTGTATAGGTAAAAACGGATAGATAGGTAGGCAGGCAGACAGATGGACGGACAGACAGACAGACGGACGAACGGACAGAGAGATAGATAGAGAGAGAGAGAGATACGGTAATATATAGTATACTGTATAGATAGATAGATTAGATTGGATTAGATTGGATTGGACTAGATTAGGTTAGAATATATTAGACTTGGTTAGATTATATAGATTAGATTAGCTTACCGTAGAGCAGATAGATAGATAGATAGATAATTAGATTAGATTAGATTAGATTAGATTATATAGATTAGATTAGATTAGATTAGATTAGATTAGATAAGATAGATAGATAGACAGATAGATAAATAGATAGAACTATTAAACAAATGGAAAAGATAGATAAGACAGATAAGATGGATAATATAGATAAGATAGATAGATAAGATATATAGATAGATAAGATAGATAGATAAGATAGATAGACACGATAGATGGATAAGTAGATAGATAAGTTACCTAAGATAGACATGATAGATAAGATAGATAAGATAGATCAGATAAATAAGATAGATACGATAGATAAGACAGATAAGATAGATACGATAGATAAGATAAGATAGATCGAAGGAAGTTTAGAAGTCAAACTTCCGACAATATGGACAGATGAAAAGCAGAGATGGGAAGAGTCAGGGAAGAGAAGAGAAGAAGAAAGAAGATCAAAAAGATAAAGTCTCAGAAGAAAGAAGATCCAGGTGCGCGAAAAGGTAGCAAAGTCGCGAAACACTGTGTTTTTCCAATGATTTGTGGCTCCAGAGGGTCGAAAAGTAACCTCGCTAAAGCGGCGGGATGCGGAGCCATCTGGCCAGATGAGAAATGAAAAGTTGCACGCCGTTGTAGCGCGAAGCACATTTCCAAGTCAAAATGCGCAAAGCACCTCAGCTTCGGAGCAGTTCTAGAAGTCGCGATGTCGAAAAAGTGAACGCAGTTGTGGCGCGAAGCACATTTCGAAGTCAAAATGTACAAAGCGCACCAGGTTCGGACACTTTTGGAAGTTGAGATGTCGAACAAGTGCACGGGGTTGTGGCGCGAAGCACATTTCGAAGTAAAAACGTTAAAAACACAACATGCTCGGACCACTTTTTGACGTTCAGATGTCCGTTCGTGTGGCAGGCGCAAGGGATTGTGCACCGTGTCAAAAGTGAGCAAAACGTGAGGGTTTTGTAGCATTTCCAAAAACAATGGCAGGCGTGGGACATTTGAAGAGGATCTGCAAAGATGCATTTTCCGTGGCAGGCGCAGTACAAGAGACATGTTCATCAGAGCTGTTAGGACGTCCGGGCGCTGATCGTACTTTCGACAGGTGGAGCGGAAAAATCGCAAAACGCATTGGTACGAGGCCGCTAGCTCTGCACTCAATTTTCCATTATTGAAGGAAGTCTCGCAGAATTGCTTCGTTCTTGATGTTGCCACCTTTGAAAATTGAGGAAGTTTCGCTGAATTGCTGCATTTTTGATGTTGTCAAGTTCAAAAACCGAGGATGTCTCGCAGAATAGCTTCGTTTTCAAGCTTGATATAGACAGATAGATAGGCAACTACAACTGCAACTGCAACAACTACCAGTACCACTACACTACACTAGTACTACAACTACAAGTACAAATATGCTACGCTACATTACACAACACTAATGACACTACACTATACTAATTACACTACAGCTGCTACAACTACTACAACAGCGGCTACTACTACTACTACTACTGCTGCTCCTCCTACTACTACTACTGCTACTACTGCTACTACTACTACTACTACGACTACTACGACTACGACTACCATTGCTATTACTACTACTACTACTGCTACTACTGCTACTACTGCTACTACTATACTGCTACTACCAGTACTACTGCTACTGCTACTACTACTACTACTACGACGACTACTACGACTACTACGACGACTACTACTACTACTACTACGACGACTACGACGACTACTACGACTACTACGACTACTACGACGACGACGACGACTACTACTACGACTACGACGACGACGACTACTACTACTACTGCTGCTCCTGCTACTGCTACAGCTACCGCTACTGCTACTACTACTACTACGACGACGACGACTACTACTACTACTATTACTACTACTACTACTGCTACTGCTACTACTACTACTACTACTACCACTACTACCACTACTACCACTACTACCACTACTACCACTACTACCACTACTACCACTACTACCACTACTATCTACTATCTACTATCTACTGTCTACTATCTACTATCTACTATCTACTATCTACTATCTACTATCTACTATCTACTATCTACTATCTACTATGTACTATGTACTATGTACTATCTACTATCTACTATGTACTATCTACTATGTACTATGTACTATGTACTATGTACCATGTACTATGTACTATGTACTATGTACTACTACGACTACGACGACGACGACGACTACTACTGCTACGACTACGACTAGGACGACCACCACCACCACCGCCGCCACCACCACCACCACAGCTACAACTACAATGACAGTTACAGCTACACTGCATTACACTACTACGCTAGTTAAACTACAGTACATGACAGCTACAAATACAAAGACGCCTGCAACTACACTACATTACGCAACACTACGCTACACTAATTACATTACATAACGCCACAACTGCAACTACGACTACGTTGCACCACACCACACTACAACTACATATATACAACTACGCTACTTTACGCTACAATACGCTAGACTACACTACACTATACCACGCGACGGTGCGCAACACTACTTTGCACTACAATACGCTACACTAATTACACCACACCACAACTGCAACTGCAAGTGCAAATACGCTACACTAATTACACTACATTACAACTACAACTTGCAAAAATAAAAACTCCACCACACTACAACTACAACCACACCTGCAACTGCAACTACAACGGCGCTACACCACACTACATCCAACAGTTGTGGTGAGGTGACCACTGCAACCATTGCAACCACTCCAGAAAACACAACTCCAACCACCTTTCGGTCCATCAGTGGATTCGCTCTGCCATCCGTGAGTCACAACAACCAACCCTTCCTATAGGTGTTCTATTTGTGAAACTTCCGCCACCGCCTTGTGCGGTACCACTGGTAAGAAAGATTGATAGACAGATCGATGGCTGGACAGCTGGACAGCTGGATTGCTGGATAGATGGACAGACGGATAGGTATATAGATAGATCGATCGATCGATAAATCAACAGATAGATCGATCGATAAATAAACAGATAGATGATAGATAGAAAAAAAGAAAGAAAGAAAGAAAGAAAGAAAGAAAGAAAGAAAAGATAGATAGATAGATAGATAGATTAGATTAGATTAGATTAGATTCGATTCGATTCGATTCGATTAGATTAGATTAGATTAGATTAGTAGATAGAGCACAATCCTTACTCACAATATCAAACGCATAAGATTTTTGGTGGTTTTCCAGCAATACTGCGACGCGAGGATGGAGGTGCCATTCGAAATTTCGCCCTTCGAGCGGAGCGGGAGTCTGAAGGGTTGGCCTGGTCATACTTTCTTCATATTTCGGATGCGGGGTATGATCACCGCCCAGGAGATGGTAAACATCATAGTATGATGATGATTTTCTTCTTCTTCTTCTTCTTCTGCTTCTTGTTTTGCCTTCTTCTTCCCTTCTTCTTCTTCTTCTTCTTTCTTCTTCTTCTTTCCTTCTTATTGTTCAAAGGAAGCTTAGATAGAAAACTTCGGAGTTTTCGCCGACTCTCATGGTTAGCATTCCCACATCATGTCAACCACATCATCATGTCAACCACATCATCATCAAGTAGGGAAGTGTAACACTTCGGAAGCGTGTGAATTCACGGGTGAAAACACTCTCGGGCGCGGACCCCTGCGTTTTTTCGGGTAATGTGGCTCTTGTAACAGCTGCACAAAAGGTAATTTTAGACTGCTACTCTTGTGCGATGCGGGATTGCAGCTGGAGGTTGCTAGACGCATTGTAAGAGCTGCTTTGCCCAAACTATTTCCCACGGTTTCCCTTCCGTCCACTTTGTCGTCGCTTCCATCCCGCTCCTTCCCAACGGAGCTCTCCCCACGCTATTTCCCACGGTTTCCCGTCCGTCCACCTTGTCGTCGCTTCTATCTCGCTCCTTCCCAACGGAGCTCTCCCCAGGCTATTTCCCACGGTTTCCCGTCGGTCCACCGCTCCTTACTGACGGAGCTCTCCCCAAGCTATTTCCCACGGTTTCCCCTCCGTCCACCCTGTCTTCGCTTCCATGTCGCTCCCTCCCAACGGAGCCGCTGGGGTTGCCCACTGAAGAAGTAACTCAACAAAGGAAAGTAGCTCACTTCTCCATCCATCCACCGAGGTTAGCGCCGCGTCTGTACATGCGCTTTTAGCTCGTCTGTGCACGAGCTCGTTTGACTCGTCCTTGCACGCGAAGGTTCTCCAGTCTTTGATCATACATCGTTACTCTTCTTTTTTACTGCAATCCTTTCCGTTTTTATCTATATTAGATTGTAATCTACATGTCGCTACCCGACCCCAGCCCAAAGCACGGTACTGCTTCTGTGTGCGTGGAAACTTGAACGTATATGAACGTTATTGGCACCCCACCCCACCCCAACCCCATCCCAGACCTGAGTGCACAGATGGGTCAATTTTGAATGACTTTGAGTGCGCAGAGAATGGAATGAAAAGGGTGTGTGCAGATGAGTCAGTTTTGAGTGTGCAGACGAGTTCCTGACCTCCACCCATCCATCAAGTCATTCATTTGTTCATCTGTTCATTCACGGATTCATTTGACTGATTCATTGATTCATTGGTTCATTGGTTCATTGACTCATTGATTCGTTGTTTCATTGATTCATTGGTTCGTTGATTCGTTGCTTCTTTGATTCATTGATTCGTTGTTTCACTGGTTCATGATTCCTCGATTCATTGGTTCATTGACTCATTGATTCATCGACTCCCTACTGCACTCGTTCATTGATTTATTGGTTCATTGGTTCGCTGCTTCATTGTTTCACTGATTTCTTGCTTTGTTGATCGATTGATTCATCCTTTGATTCATTGATTCATTGCTTCGTTCCTTCATCGATTCACTGATTCATCGTTTCATTGGTTCATGATTCATCGACCCACTGGTTCACTGATTCATTCAGTTAGTTGTGCATGGATTCTTTCATGTCCTTCCATTGGCATCTCAACAGGCATTTGCTGATACGTTGATGCACTTCACAACTTCAACACTTCGTTGCTTCTGCATTTCACAAATTTTCCTATAAGCCACCTTCTTCCTATAGTGGTTTTACATTTTCGAAACTTCCGCCCCAGCACTGGCCCGGCACTACCTAGTATTGTTCTTATCTGTTGTGACTTGTCAATGCGCTTGTCACATTGCCCCGACATGGGATGTTTCAACGTTAAAAATAACCAGAAATGATGGTTTTCAGAGCCGCGCTTCTTTGACAAGATGCCCACTGTGGTGAACCTTGTGACATGTTGACATCGGCAAACTGAGAACCTACAGGTGCACTCATCTTGGCTGCCTTGCCAATTGGAACCGTGTGGTCAACAAATTTGTGTCATGGACTCGGGGGCAGTTGGGGACCGCTTGGAGGACTGGCAGAAACCTGGAGGGGGTTTCAACAGATGCTCAGTTTGGAATGCTAAGTAGAGATGTTGCGGGTTCCACTGGCCATGGAGCTGATCGGCGAGGTGTCCCTGCCACGGTTCTGAGTATGACGCGCAAGGATCAGTGATCAAAGGGTACGGCTCTGAGGAGGATGGGTGTTGCAAGGGTGCTGGGTACAAAGAACAGGATGTATGTGGGCGTTGGATTCAAACATGTTTTGCCACTGACTCAAATTGAAGTGCTATGTCATAAAATAAACTTATCACAAGGGACTTTGTAGCAAGTCCTGGAATGAATCATACCAAAAACAATGCTACTATGCATTTACCCATTGCATCTTGCATTGGTTGATGGGCTGACGGATACGCGGGAGCGGTGATTCGTATCCAAAATCAATAGTTCAAGATGGAAGCATCCCACAGTCCCACAGTGTCTACAGAAATAGTTAGATTCCAATGGTTCCCAGTAAGCTCACATGAGACATGCTCATTCATTCGGGTAGCTGGTGTTCATGGCATGCTCCAGTTGGTGTGCCCAAAACATCTTATCGAAATAAATCACCCAATTTCACAAGGTCAATTGTTGGCCATTTTGGCGCCAGTTTTGAACAGTTCGAGTTTCAACACCAGTTTTGGCTATTTTTATATTCCCAATGAAATAGCCATTTAAAAATAGGGATCATGTGCAGCAAAACCATTGGGTTTAGGGGTACACAACATTTTCAGACACACCCATATTAGAGTTATAAGATCTTATAACCAAACTTACCCTCTGGTAATTTCACATAGCTATTGAAAATCACCATTTATAGTTTTTTGTTGGGATATTTCCGGTGGCTAACCCTGTCACAGGGTTTCAGAGCTCCCCCAACACCGAGTCCCGCGCCCAAAAGCCTGGCTTTGGCGCATGTGGAGCTAACGGACTCGCAGAAGGCAGGCGTTTTCAGCGGCCGTTTTGAGGGGAAATGGCGGTTAAAACCTGTAGCAACCGGCAACTTGTAACCGGCAAAAAGAGAGAACAGTCATTTATAACTCATGAGTCATAGAGTCATAACTATCATAGATGATCATAGATGATCATAGAGTCGGATGTTCCTTTGATACTCGCAGAGGAATGGATGGCCGCCATGCCAAGGTGCGCCTTAGTGCTTGGAGCGAGGAGGACTTCCGGGATGGCACCGAGCCATGGTCAGCGCCCAAGGGGCGATGTCACTTGTCCCGTGTCACACGTGATGCTTAGCCTGCTCAGCTACTGCGCCCGAGGTGGGCGTGAAGCGATGTAGTGAGATGGTGGCCATTTGGGATATTTGGGATATTTGGGATATTTGGGATATTTGGGATATTTGACTTTGCGTTCCTACGATTTTCTAGGTGCAAACTGTGCAAACATCTGTGTTAGGGGAACCCACAAGAGATCATTGGTTGAATTCAACGACTGAATTGGCCAAAGATTCGCAGTGAATTCTGCCTGTTTCGGTCTCGTGGCCTGAAAGGCAAACGGGAAACGCTTTGAGCCGATTACATAGTCCGTAGGGATCCCATTCATAACATTTCATAACTATTAATGCGTGGGGATGGTTTCATACCACTGCAGCTTAGCCTTGGGCGATGCTTAGCCTTGGGCGATGGCAAGTCCTAACCTGTGGAGAGCGGACATTTAAATTCACAGACCTGACGTGACCCGACGGCCATAAAAAATGTTTCAAAAAACTAGCTTGGAGTGAACATATGGGAACATGGATGCCCTGACAGAAGCAAGGAAACCACAACACCAAACCAGAGTATGCCGGAATGGCAGGAGGACACGTGAGGAACTAGTGCTACGGCTCATTCAATTTTATTCACCCAGAATAGATGATGGACATGGATTTTCTAATTAAGTTGGGATTATGACATTATTTTTGAACCATTCTTAGATCGACAGCGCGCACACACACACATATCCTAAAAGGGGACTATGGAATGCCAGCAGCGTTGACATTTTCTCATCTCATGACTCTCCGCGATAAATGTGGCTAAAAGAGTGGATCACCTGGCGGCCCAAGCTTCAAGTCGGGGCCTCAACGGCCTCAGTGCCAGTGCGGATGCGACATGGTGCATGGCACATTGTGAGGATGATGAGGGAGGGGGCCAACTTCAATACGATGAAAAAATGGAAAGCTTTACAAGTTTTCGCCACAAAACCAAAGGAAAGTTCAGGAAATTCAACATAATTCAACATAACTCAAGGATTTTGAAGCTGTGGCTGTGAAGGGCGCTTGACCAAGGTGCCCGACGACGCCATGGGTTGGGGCGGATGGGGCAAAGGTAAGGATGGCAAAGGTGGTGGCTGGTCGCCCTGGCAGCCCATGCCCCCTGGCGGCCTTGGCGTCGTGGAGCTTTGATAAAACGAAGATGATGGCAATGGAAGATTCCCATAGATTCCACATATATACATACATTGCACCTAACATACGCAGATGCATATATATATATATACATACACATATATATATATACATATATATATATACATATATATATACATATATATATATATATGCACACACCTGCGGTTCCATTTAAAGAGGATTTTCAATCAGCAATGCTAGTTCGTCATTGCCATGTCCGATTCTGGGAAGGCTCAATGGTGCATTGGATCCCCAAGTCCAGTGCTGAGCCAAGGTTCATGAAGTGGGGCAAAGGCAAAGGCTTCGGAAAGGCTCAACTTGGAATGACCTCACCACACCACGAATGTCACCATTTCTTATGATGATCTAGGGAGCAAATTTTGCAACCCAGCCGGATGGTGTGAAGGTAGTGCTTGGATTGGCAAGGTGCATTCTGCTGTGCGCCGGTAAGTAGAACATATGAGGTATGCTTGAAGACAGTGCTTCACAATCGTATTGCTCAAGGTTCAATAGCAATGAGGCCATGAAGACGATACTGAATTTCGGATCACAAAACAAGCACCAGCTTTATCACCATGGTGGTTTGAACAAGCGTAGCGCATTTTTTTGGCAAGGATATCAGTCTGCAGATAGGCCTTCGAAATGTATGTGTTCTCTCTCGCATGTGTCTGAAACGGTCTTTTCGTGTGTTAGGAACATCAATGGAACACCTAGGACCCTCAATTCACCTCGGCGTCACACGCAGAGTTCATGAGCTTTAAGATGAAAACAATAGGCTGTAAACTAGCCACTTCTCCAGTTCGCACCTGCTCACATGTGCTCGCATGGATGCTATCATCAAACAGTTCTTCGACAAGAAGGTGGGTGACTTTTTGAAGGTGGACGAGGGCAACCTGCACGTGGATGCAGCGACGGGTCACTTCCTGTTGAAAAAGGCCGCCATCGTAGGTCATGCCTTTGATTCCTTGCACCTCCCACTGACGCTCACAGGCGGCTTTATTGATGAGCTGTCCATCCACCTGTACCTGGATGTCTTCAATCCTGGGGGCAATGTGTCGTTGCAGATCCTCATCAAAAATGTATGTTTGGTCTTTGGGGCTCATACCACCGACTGGTCCTACAGTCATGTGAAGCAGTGCAAATCCAAGTTGGTGGATCTAGTGATGAAGGTCCTTGAGCTAAAACCGCAAAAGAAGAACAAAGCCGCTGAGGATGGCTCTGCCACTGGCTGGCTGAGTCATGTACAAACTCGGCTGAAGCAGGACCTCATGAAGAAGGTAGCAGAGATGATTGAGGTGAATATTTCCAACTTCCATGTGCGGCTGGAGGATTCCAAGACGCAAGCGGTGCCCTTTGCCTGCGGTTTCAAGTTGGGCTACTGTGCGGTCTTTGCCAATGAGGACAGCAATTCCCAGCGGACCACTGGCACTTGGCGGCACACGGTGGATAATCTGGCAGACCCGCTCTTCAGCCAGACGATTGTTGCTAGGAGGATGTCGATCTATTGGGACCTGGACCAGGCACATCGGCATTTTCCCTCCATTCCATCAGGCTGGGCCTGGAAAAAGACCTGGAATGAGATAATCAGATAGTACGGACTAGCACTGACTACTGTCATTGAGGTTACCAGGTTCCTCACTGAAGTGACCACCTTTTTTTTTTGTTTTTGCCAGGTGAGGAGGTCTTCGCTCACTTCAAGCGGCTGAATCTCCGAGAAACATTCTCTGCCTGTGTGGTGGAGAAATTGATGGAGCTCTATCCTCCATCCCACCCACGGCGGAGGTACATGGAAGGGCCCACCTTCAGGGAAAGATTGGACTACCACCAGTACATCGTCTTTCCTGCGGGCTTGAATGCCCATATCACTGCCAACAAGAACAATGAGGCCACCAAGGTCCAGAAAGCTCCTTTGCGTGATGCTGATGTGGTGGTCTATTCCTTGGACGTTGCCATAGATTCAGAGCAGTTGCGATCTGTCAATGCTTTGCTGTCCTATGTGAAGAATTTTGCACTGAAGGACACCCTGATGTTGTCGCGTCCAGCCATATCTATCAGAGATGCAAAGGCTGGTTCCTCGGCAAGTCGGCGCAGCTTGGTAAGAGCTTGGTGGCAGCATGCCACCAAGGCAGTCCACATCATTTGCAAAATTCCCAACCGGGAGCTTTGTGCGGAAGACTTGCAGCACCGTGCTGGGTTGCGGGAGAGGTACATTGTGGCGGTGAACCGTGCGAAAGACCTGGCGCAAGGTGAGGCCAGTGAGGCTCAGAGTGAGGTCTATACTCGAGCTATGGATGAGGTCACTGAAATGCAGATGATGTTGAAGTTAAAGGACATCCTTGATTGGCGCATGCAAGCCCGCGATCGCAGAGCTGTCGATGCTTCACCCACCTCAGAGGTCAACACTACTGAGATCATGGAGGCCAGTCCCAAGGAGAGGTCAACGAAGGAAAGGCCAAGACCCCAAACCTTGCAGGTCAAGGTGACGTTTCATGGTTTCCAAGTCTTCTTTTTGGTGGCTCAGGACCGGGGTGGAGCAAAGGTAGGGTGTGATTTTTGATGATTTTCAATGATTTTCGTCTTTTTTTGAATACCGATGACATCTGATGATCTCGAAATCCCCGGTGAGCACCGATGGATCCGATATGATCCGATGGTTCAACAAGTTCAACCCTGCCGAGGACGGCTTTTGGTACACTAAGTGCAAGCCAGGCACTTTGGTCGATGAAGAGCGGCCAGAGGATTTGGAGCCGAGATCATTGAGCCGGAAAAGGATGCGAACACGACAGCCAGTGGTATCCACCTCCATCAAAAACATCACCCTTGAAGTCATCCAAAAGGGCCATCCAGGCTACAGGATTGCCCAGTGGCTGGAGGTGAGCGTTGGCAAGTTGGAAGTGGTGAATCTGAATGCAGGGAAAAAACAGCCCAGCCGCAACATCATGAGCATGCAACCCATCCGGAAGCACAAGGGCCTTCCCATGTGCTTCTTCCTGGGTTTGAACACTTTTCAGTTACTGGATAATAGCTTCATCATTGGTGACACTCCCTTGTCCGCAGTACTGGAGCCTTGGGAAGGTCTGCTTGGTCACACCAAGGACCAATTCTCACCTGCCACCCCAGTGATGCTTCAGAGCTTGGGATTTCTGAAGGACCAAGTGCATGACATGGGAAGGCTAATGATCTTCGTCTTTGCCCGCATCGGACAGGTGACTGCCATCGATTGGGCCCCTTTCCGTCGACGGATGATTTTCTTCATGAAGCGCGGCCTGAACGACATGGATTTGGTCACGGATTTGGTCCGTCGACCTTCCCAGGATGCGCTGATGAAGGAGTTGTTGGAGCGTTTGCAGCGCAAGGTGGAATTGGCAGTTGGGAAATCCAATATGTTGGGCAATTTTGAGGTGGAAATGGATGGCATCCAGGGTCGCACTGTGGATCACTACAACAATCGCCTGGTCTTGTGCAAGCAAGCGCAACTCAGTCCCTTGATGTTGAAGGTGCGCCGAAGTGGACAGCCTCAGGCAGGGCGTTGTGCAAACAGATGCAGTAAGTAGTTGGAAACCTCTTTTCGGCCGCAAGACCCAACATTTCCAACATGTTCCAACTGCCTGTGAATTGTTTCTCACTGGACAAGCAGGCTGGTTGAGATTCCATCTATCTCATGTTCTACATCCGGTAGTGAGCGTTCTATTCTTTTTCTTTGTTCAGGTGATTCTCTTACCTTTGACTTTCAATCACTTTTGGTTGATATCTACCTACCCTTGGTTCTAAAAGTTGAATGATATACACTATTTATATTACAATTTTGGGATTCCTCTGAGATGGTGCCCTCTTCCAAGCATGGCTGGAAAACTTTCACCATCGAGAGGCAAATTCATCCATTTTCCATGGCCAGGGTACCAGAAGGATTTACCAATCAACGGGATTCACCCAGCAATCAAGGCGGGGTTTATCATGGTAAATACCAGCTTTTGATCACAGGTATTTACCCAGCCACCATAGTATTTACCGAACCTAAATGTGGACTCCCCCCCAAGCCCTGAAGCAGCCACTTCACCAACAAAAAAAGTAGGCCCGTAGGCTCAAAGCAAACTGGAGCGGATTTTGTCATGTGGAGTTGAGATGATTGTCGACATGGCAACATGGTCAGGCTACGAGATAAATCAGTAATATTTCTTGGTTTTATCAACCATTTTGTTTTACTTCCTTGTCATTTGGCTGCTAATTATTGCCGTCGAATTGGCTTTGAGAACCCTGCTGTTCTAACCGGCGAGAAAAACACCACGAATCACACATCACACGTACGCAGAAAATCAAACCTGGTTCCATGTTTTGTGGGCCCAACATTTTCCAAAAAATGTTGAACCACACAATGCGACCTTTGCAGGCCATTGAAATCCAGATCTACCACCTGCATACAGATGCCCTCTCAGCTCCATCGCTGTCCATGATCGCTGATGGTGGGGTCAACCTTCTTCCCTGGAAAACATCCATGATGTTGCTTCCCCAGGACGACTTCCACTGCACGGCAGGTTCGGATAAGAAGACGCCCCGCAGGGAACCAAGTCCCAGCCCTCGGAAGGTCAGCGAAAATAAGCGGAAAGGCAGCAGCGCCCTACGGAATCGTCTTGGATCCACCTCGACTGGGGTGATGGCTACGTCTACACCACTGGAAGCCGCATTTTTCCTGAAGTGGTGTCGAAATGGCAGGGCGAAGAGGCGATATGTGGAATTTGATGATGGGCTCAAGGCGATTGTTTGGAAGGATCATGCTGCGGCAAAGAACGCAGGCGTTTTCCCCCTTTCGAACATCCAGGACATTTGCATGGGCATTGTGACGCCAGTCACAAGGCAGGCTGCTGAGACGCCGCCTGTGCTATGCCGTCGCCCCAAAAGTGGGCAACGCTTGGATCCCAATCTTCTCATTTCCATCATCGCAGAAGACCGCACCTTGGACTTGCAGGCCTTAAGTCTCCAACAGCATCAACGTTGGGCCGACGGACTCATCAGCCGATTCCGCAGCCACATGGAGAATTCCACCGAGGTGCCTGGGCAGGTGCAGTATCGGCCCTACCCGCAGAGGTTGAGGAGCGATCGTTGCGAACTGCGACTGACCTGTGAGAGGCTGCATTCCATGACATCCTTTAGCACCACGGTGCAGGTCATGCAGGGCTCCGTGGCAGGACCCAAGTTGTGCCGTTCTTGCGGCTTGCCCTTGAGCTCCTCCGGTTGTACCCATTGTGGGGCACCACCTGATGAGGCGATGATAGGAACAGCGAGCCAACAAATTGTGTGGAGACCGTTTGGATCGTCAAATTCACGTCGAATGCATGGGGCCGGTGGCCACTCGTAGAAAGTTTCACCTCTGTCCAAAGGACTTTTCCAGGATCTGCAGCATCGCCATGCGCGAAATGAATGGACTGCCTGATTGCAATTGGTTTCCTTCCAATTGACTCCCTACTCATGTTCTGACCCATCCATTAGTTCTTGGCTAAATGTGGCATGACGGGGCTTCAAATTTGTTCCGACGCTTGGATGAATCTTCCAGTTGGACTCTTGAAACAGTAACTCTGAGCTTGTGAAATTTGGTTGACGATAATTTTCGGGTTTGGTGTCTTGAACCCTTGTTCAATCCTTTCTGAACGTTTTTTTTTGCTCGAAGTTGGCAAGAAAACAGGAAAGATGGCATGCCGGTGTGACCATCCAACTTAATGTTTGCTGCACATGAACCTTGACAATCCATGAAACTTTCGACTTTTGACATCTGACTGCACGAACTTAGCCGACTTAGCCGTGGAGTGGCAGGGCAAGAACGGCTTGAAGGTGGACCCATCGTTGAAGTGCTGGATTGGCAACCTGCCCGAAGGAACACAATGGAAAGCCTTGCAGGAGCATATGAACCAGGCCACGGCTGCAGGTGAATCTACTTTCCAAATGGCCCAAATGGAGATCTTTGGAGATCTTTGGAGGCTATGATAGGCTATGTAAAGATCATGAAATAAAGATCATGAAATGATAATGACATATTCACATTGGCACCCTTTCGGCACCTTTCTTTACTGGCGAGGCAGGCAAGACGACCTGGGTAGAGTGCTTCAGCGGCAAAGGCGCTGGCACCGGAGGGGTGTCCTATTCCACAGCTGAGGAGGCGGCGAACGCCATCACCATGCTCAACGGGAGCGGCGCTGGGCATGGGACCATACTTGGGAGTGCACTTGGTGTGACTTTCATGGGTATAACTCGGTACAAGTTTATAATTAACTTCATAGCTATGGCAATCATCCTCATAAGTTGGGATATAATTGATATAACCTCTATAATCAACACCGGGAAATATCCACGTACGACTCATGACCCCCAGGAGCTTGTTGAATGGCCAAGCGATCATGGTGGATGTCTGGGTGAAGCAACAAGCTTCCTAGCTGCCTGAATGCACCAAATGTCGGATCCTACCCTATAGTTTTCCAGCTACGTCTACCCCAGATCTGACCTGAAGAGCCCCACAAAATCGATGTCCACACTAGGCCGTTTAAGCCTTGAATCTAGAGGGGTGTCGTTTCCTGCTTGTTTCGATGGCGACTGATTCTGCTATCTCTTTGGGGGGCAACTGCGAAGATCCCCAAGCCAGGGTGTTACCCCGAGGCGTGGCGATTTCTGCACCTCTGCGATTTTGGAAGCTCGGCCGACCAGTGCCAATATGTGGAAAAGGACGGGCCTGCTGGTGGCGTGGACCATGTTTTCTTCTTCGCTCGAGAACTTTGGGCGCTTCGTCAACTTCCTAACTTTATTCGGGTCAGATGGCTAGCAAAATGGGGTTATCCAAAGACGACCCGAACCTTGCGATTAAAAATGGAACATCAACAATCAACTTTTGGGTCACCCAATTTTTCAGGAAAAAATCACATGCATAAAAAGGCATGACACGATGGGGGAAGGTTTGCAATGGTTTGCAGGGGCAGGTCAGGGTTCCAGTTTGCGTGCAGCCTGAGCAAATCTGATGCTCGGCTCAAGCCATCTGGCAGGCGGTAGAAGCAGAAACAACCGATTGAAGGTGATAGAAAGACTTCGAACATATGGCAGATTGAGAGGTGTGTCGAGCTTTTTTTTGGGTTTGGATGACTTCCAGCTATGCACATGAAATGGGGGTCTCAAACAACTTCTCAACGGGGCATTGTCGTGTAGACGTTCAGGTTGGAGCCATTACTAAAATTGTTGTCAGATGCAGAGCCAATATCTTCCGTGGAATTGAGACTGTCTGTGACAGAAGTGGCATACAATAAACGGGACGCCCAATAAATGAACCCCAAATGGTTGATAATTGGGATGGTTTATATATGTTTATATATTATATATCGGGTTTGGCACATTAATCTTGAGTAACATAAGCCAATCAGTGCCACTGGTGCCGAGCACATAAGCTGGAGACGCACTTTGGTCTGATGTCCGGAAGCCCACAGTAAACAGGCTTTGAAAGGAATGGGGGCTGTTTACACCTCAAAACGGTTGCACATGAGACCCCAAGCTAAACGTTTGAAAAGTGCAGCGTGTATTTTTGAATTGGTCCTTGTTACCGTGTTGAGGCTTGATCCTGTCAGAAGACTGAAGCAACGTGAGAATTGACGGTATATATTTTGAGGCTCGACAGCGTGAGCTTAAACAATAGCGGGTAAGGATATAAAGCAAACCTTGTAACTTGTAATTGATGTTTGTCAGCAAAAGGAACAGCCCGCACACCTCGTCAATGGCACTTTTGAAGCTTAGGTGAAATTGTTGGAATCTTGTCATGACTGGAGTTACAAAATCCAAATCCCAAACGTCACCAAGTCTTGGCTTGGGCTCGGGATGCTCGGGATGCGACAAGGCCCGTGGCCTTGTCGCAATCCAATTGTCTTGATCTCAGGTTTCAAGCTGCTGTTGGGGCCTTGATGCCGATGGGGTCACCGGGATGTGTTGGAGGTGCCTGCCGATGAATCGCAGAATTTCCGGTGATTAAAGGAGGTGCCTGCCGCAGCCTACCACCCCATTGAGCCTGAGGAGGTGTGATGGGTGGCAGCATTGCAGCACTCCCAGAATTGTTTGAGAGGAAAATTATCAGGAAACCGATTTAGGGCGTAAACACATGTAGAGACCATGGTTTCTTGTAGGTTTGCCCTTACATCGATGCCTTCAGTCGCCCGTCCTTGCATCATCAGCTGTGCACAGGTTTGCTACCCCTGCACCCTATGCCAACGGTGCCCTGACTGTGCACCCGGGGATGCATGAGCGCTGAAAGGAAAAACACCAGAGGCAATGGGAGAATTATTGTTCTCACATGGGATAGCACATGAATCCGAATCCAGCTGATTTAAAGTGAACTATATATATTCACACGAGCCAATGTGTATGATTCAAGTATGGATCAAGACTCTGATGCTATTCCTTTCCATCAACATATCCGTGCTGTGGGTCTGCCAGGTGTTGCTGCGCCTTTCAGGAGTCTTTGGAGACCACGGAAGGGCGCCGGCGGCTGTTGCTGAACTGCCTTGCGACGCTGGTGCGGAGACCGTGGAAGAACCAGCACCAGCAGTGGTCATTTTAAAGATTTTCGCTGCTGCACTGCCGGTTGTTGATGTTTCCGCCTTCAAAGGCTGAGGGTTGGATGTTGGAGGCCATTTGCCTGGGCGGCTCCGCTGATTTGTGCAAGGTGGTGGTGATCCTGCTCAGAGGACCCTTGCTGGCCATCCTTGGTCCAGTGGGCAAGGTTGGAGAACGGCAGGGTTCAACGGGAATCGTTTGCATGGAGAGGTGGATTAAACGGCTTACAGCAGCCTCAGGCTACCTCAGCATGAGTGAAGGTCTAGACCACAAGATGGGAAATCATCCCCAACTTGGCCAACACTTCAGATGTTTCAACAACTATAGCTCGGCCAGAGTGATACTAGGGATAGAAGAGCTGCCCAGAGGTCTTCGAGTGGATCCTAAAGCCCTTGCTCTTTGTGGACGAGGTGATTCCTCCGTTGGGGTCGCCCAAATGTGGTTGAGCTGATGACTGCCACGGACCCATGGTTGGTTTAAGTGGCTGCCAAGGCAAGTGCTGGAGGTGGTGCTTGTTGTGACCCTTGGAGGCAGGACTGGGCTTGAAGCATGAGAGATCCCAAACTTGAAGTCACAGTAACACTGACAATCTCCAAAGTGACCTGTCCAACCCCTGGGAGAGGGATGCTGGATGATGCTGGATTTTTTCCGGTCATGTATAGTTCGAGTTGGTAGCAAGTCTCTTTTATTTATTGATATTTATGGTATTTTGATGTATTTTGCGGTTGCAGTTCAGAGGATGCGTCTTTGCGGCCAACGTTCAGCCTCTTTGCAACTGGAGGTACGTTGACCTACTTGTGCTACAAAAGCCTGGGTCCCAGATTTCTGCACATCGTGGATGTGATGAGCTTGGCAGGCGGACGTTTCATCCCAGTAACGACGGCTTTTTGGTACTTTTTGTTTGTCTCTCGTGTCCCATCTGCACATTTGAAAGATGAGAGATGTTGTGAACCAAGAACCTGACGTAGCTTGCCCTGTGGTGCTGCTGGTCCTCCTGGTGGGTGGGTGCGCCGCTGGACAAGCTCAATGTTCAGCACAACAAATTAATCAATGGATTATGCGGTGGTGGCAGTCGGTGGTGGCCGTTCTCATTCACCAACGCACTGACTTCTGGCTCTGCAAGCATTTCTGGATCACAGTTCGACACTGCAGTCCATGAATCATTGAACATATTGTGCATATCATACATTTGCACCAGTCAAGTGTCAAGTTGGTTCTCGAGATTGGCGGAGGTATTGGTTTCTTTCTGCGACCATTTGGTACCGCCCCATCGACGCGGCTGAAGACTTTGCAATTGGCAACGTGACGCTCATCACATGACGAACAACAGGTCAGAAATCCAGATCCGAGCCAGATCTGTTGTGAAGCACAGATTTAGGATTTTTAGATGCTTTAAACTATTAGTAGCCATTGTTTTTGGGGGTCAATTATTCTGTTCAAGAAAAGGGACAACCTCTTGACCCATACCCTGCCGGTTTGAGTGGCAATAGAATAGTTGCCCTTGCCAATGGGCTCAATCTTGCCGAATCGATTAGCAAAAATGGAGGGACACGAGAGCGGAGAAGTGACTTTCGCCATGGTTACTTGAATGCTTGTGAAACCCATATGTTTGCCCGAAAAAGTCCTCATGTTCTCAAATCAGCTGAAACCATTTGAGATCATCTGAAATCACAATGGTGGCTAAAATGAAAATAAATGAAAGCCTCATTTTCATTGCTGAAATCACTGAAATCCATGTCTTGTACTGATTTTTAGTTTTTTTTCAATGCTGAACTCATTGTGATGCCTCTTTTGGCTGAAGCTTGGAGCCATTGGAGCCCTGCGCCGGGTGTAGGCGGGATGCCCGGATCTTTGCATGTCATGAAAATGGAGCAATTTATAGACCAAGGACCTTTGTAGAAGTTATTAAAGGGCTACGCCCTCTGCCGCCGACCCCTGGACTATTGGGATAGCTACCCCAGCGACCAACTTCCATCATTATCATCATTGCAGTGACGGAGAAGGAGATGAGGAAACGTGATGAAAAGCAAGTATCTATCGTGAGTTACCAGAGTGGAGGTATATAATGCTATAGCATCATATGACCATATTACTATGGTATATACTAGTAGACTCAAAATATGTGCAAAACCATAATGGGCAGAAACTCCGATAAAGCCTCTGCAGTGATGCGATCTGAAGTGTGAAGGCAATTTTGGACGAAGACAAAGCTGCTTCAAGTGCGGGATGTTGTGGACTTTAGGTCAATCAATGTTGTCGATGTTTAAACTATTAAATATGGAAACAACAATAGAACTGATAATATAATGTATGATTATGTTGAGTCGAGCATAAATTCAGCAAAAGTATACTGATCTGCTATAAATTGGATCCTTTCGGGGAGTATCCAATAAACCTTGCCATATACATGTGTAAACACGTGCATTCTGAAGTTTGTGGTTGGGTGACTTTCTCGAGACTTTACGGGTTCGTGTCTGATCTTTGAGCGTTTCCAAAAACCTCTGAGGGCATTGATTCATCACGGTTTTGAAACCATAAGACAACACTGCATGGGCTTCAAGATGAATGGTAGATGGATGCATCCTGATAGAATTTCAACATGGTCGAGTCAAAAGGTTTGCCCCAAACATGCGCCAGGCTTGTGTGTGCCTCACGCTTGTGCCAAACAAATGTTCGACCCACACCGAAGTAGCACAGAATCTGGCAATACACCATGAATACACCATGAATACACCATGAATACATGTGTTCAACTTGCGCAGAACGAAAACAAAGCACAGCGTTCACGCCTGGCCAATGGAAGCGCAGCGACACGGACCGGGTGTGTCGCGAATGCACAAGACATTATATACATTATGCAGATGCTGGAACCCCGTGGCAATGCAACGTGTGCAAGCTGTGGCATGTCGAGGCCAATTTTCCGGAAAAGCATCGCCAACGGCAATGTAGTTTTTTCCGTGTGTGTTTGACATGCGAAGTCAAGAAACCATGTTTCAAATGTGGGGTTCCCAAGCCAGAGAAGGACTATGGCCCTGCCGCCTGGAAAGCTCGCCATGCTGACCGACGCTGTTGCCGCGACTGCGTCCTGAAGCTGCGGGGGTATTGGTCCTGCGCCGAATGCTCAGAGCGAAAACCACATGCAGAGTTTAGTGCTTGGCAAAAAAGCCGCGATTACAATCAAGATGGCACGCAACTTTGCAACACGTGCATCAGCTTAGCCTTGGTGTGTCAAATTGCGCGTCGCGCGAACCAACGGTTGACACCGTAGCGGCGGCGCGAGAAAAGCCGACGGCAACAAGCCATCATAGACGAAGTGCGTCAAGAAATTCTGGCAAGGACCAAGCAGAAAATTACGAGTGCACTCACCCCAGAAATGCAAAGCTGCAAAGAGCGACTGCCAGATTGCGCAACGGGTTCCGTGAGTCCTGAGGCTGCCACTGCAGACGCCGCCAGCCAGAACGAACCGTGCCCGCCAGAGCCGGATGTGACAACGAAGAACGGCAAACAGATGCGCGGGTACCAATGTCCATTCTGCCAGCAACATGTGAACAGCACTATCGAAACTGGACAAATTGATCATAGGTATGCGTGCGGAAAAAAGTTCCGTGTCGCTGGCGGCAATGTCACCGGCCGCATGCACAAGCACGCATGCCCAACCTGCGGAACAATTGTTCACTCAGAACAGGAAAGGGGCCAAATCAAAGCGACGCACAGAAACACTGCTGGACGAACATGCCGCCGGGAAAGCTGGTACGCGACGACACCGCTACACTAACAACAACTGCCAACTGCCAACTGCCAACTTGCCTGCGTTGTCTTGCAGCTGGCTCTTGTGCTGCACGGCTCCGGTCAAGGGACCTCCTCGCAGGGCTCAAACACCATGGCAGTGAAGGACGGAGCGGGCCCGCGGCCGGCAGCCCAGACTAGAAACTAGCTTCAAACCTTGCTTTTACTTGCCTTCCTGCTCTGCCAACTGCCAACTTGCCTGCGTTGTCTGACAGCTGGCTTTTGTGCTGCGCGGCTCCGGTCCAGGGACCCCCTCGCAGGGCTCAAACACCTGAAGGCCGGAGCGGGCCCGCGGCCGGCAGCCCAGACTGCCAAACGTCGCTTTCTGAACTGCCTAGAAACTAGCTTCAAACCTTGCTTTTACGTGCCCTCCTGCTCTGCCAACTGCCAACTTGCCTGCGTCGTCTTGCAGCTGGCTTTTGTGCTGCACGGCTCCGGTCAAAGGACCCCCTCGCAGGGCTCAAACACCACGGCAGTGAAGGACGGAGCGGGCCCGCGGCCGGCAGCCCAGACTCCAGACTGCCAAACGTCGCTTTCTGAACTGCCTAGAAACTAGCTTCAAACCTTGCTTTTACTTGCCCTCCTACTCTGCCAACTGCCAACTTGCCTGCGTCGTCTTGCAGACGGCTTTTGTGCTGCACGGCTCCGGTCAAAGGACCCCCTCGCAGGGCTCATACACCATGGCAGTGAAGGACGGAGCGGGCCCGCGGCCGGCAGCCCAGACTGCCAAACGTCGCTTTCTGAACTGCCTAGAAACTAGCTTCAAACCTTGCTTTTACTTGCCTTCCTGCTCTGCCAACTGCCAATTGCCTTCCTGCTCTGCCAACTGCCAACTTGCCTGCGTTGTCTTACAGCTGGCTTTTGTGCTGCACGGCTCCGGTCAAGGGACCCCCTCGCAGGGCTCAAACACCATGGCAGTGAAGGACGGAGCGGGCCCGCGGCCGGCAGCCCAGACTGCCAAACGTCGCTTTCTGAACTGCCTAGAAACTAGCCTCAAACCTTGCTTTTACTTGCCTTCCTGCTTTGCCAACTGCCAATTGCCTTCCTGCTCTGCCAACTGCCAACTTGCCAGCGTTGTCTTGCAGCTGGCTTTTGTGCTGCACGGCTCCGGTCAAGGGACCCCCTCGCAGGGCTCAAACACCATGGCGGTGAAGGATGGAGCGGGCCCGCGGCCGGCAGCCCAGACTGCCAAACGTCGCTTTCTGAACTGCCTAGAAACTAGCTTCAAACCTTGCTTTTACGTGCCTTCCTGCTCTGCCAACTGCCAACTTGCCTGCGTTGTCTTGCAGCTGGCTTTTGTGCTGCACGGCTCCGGTCAAAGGACCCCCTCGCAGGGCTCAAACACCATGGCAGTGAAGGACGGACTGGGCCCGCGGCCGGCAGCCCAGACTGCCAAACGTCGCTTTCTGAACTGCCTATAAACTAGCTTCAAACCTTGCTTTTACTTGCCTTCCTGCTCTGCCAACTGCCAACCAACTTGCCTGCGTCGTCTTGCAGCTGGCTTTTGTGCTGCACGGCTCCGGTCAAGGGACCCCCTCGCAGGGCTCAAACACCATGGCAGTGAAGGACGGAGCGGGCCCGCGGCCGGCAGCCCAGACTGCCAAACGTCGCTTTCTGAACTGCCTAGAAACTAGCTTCAAACCTTGCTTTTACGTGCCCTCCTGCTCTGCCAACTGCCAACTTGCCTGCGTTGTCTTGCAGCTGGCTTTTGTGCTGCACGGCTCCGGTCAAAGGACCCCCTCGCAGGGCTCAAACACCATGGCAGTGAAGGACGGAGCGGGCCCGCGGCCGGCAGCCCAGACTGCCAAACGTCGCTTTCTGAACTGCCTAGAAACTAGCTTCAAACCTTGCTTTTACTTGCCTTCCTGCTTTGCCAACTGCCAGCCAACTTGCCTGCGTCGTCTTGCAGCTGGCTTTTGTGCTGCACGGCTCCGGTCAAGGGACCCCCTCGCAGGGCTCAAACACCATGGCAGTGAAGGACGGAGCGGGCCCGCGGCCGGCAGAGACTGCCAAACGTCGCTTTCTGAATTGCCTAGAAACTAGCTTCAAACTTTGCTTTTACGTGCCCTCCTGCTCTGCCAACTGCCAACTTGCCTGCGTCGTCTTGCAGCTGGCTTTTGTGCTGCACGGCTCCGGTCAAGGGACCCCCTCGCAGGGCTCAAACACCATGGCAGTGAAGGACGGAGCGGGCCCGCGGCCGGCAGCCCAGACTGCCAAACGTCGCTTTCTGAACTGCCTAGAAACTAGCTTCAAACCTTGCTTTTACTTGCCCTCCTGCTCTGCCAACTGCCAACTTGCCGGCGTCGTCTTGCAGCTGCCTTTTGTGCTGCACGGCTCCGGTCAGGCTCCAGTCAAAGGACCCCCTCGCAGGGCTCAAACACCTGAAGGACGGAGCGGGCCCGCGGCCGGCAGCCCAGACTGCCAAACGTCGCTTTCTGAACTGCCTAGAAACTAGCTTCAAACCTTGCTTTTACGTGCCCTCCTGCTCTGCCAACTGCCAACTTGCCTGCGTCGTCTTGCAGCTGGCTTTTGTGCTGCACGGCTCCGGTCAAAGGACCCCCTCGCAGGGCTCAAACACCATGGCAGTGAAGGACGGAGCGGGCCCGCGGCCGGCAGCCCAGACTGCCAAACGTCGCTTTCTGAACTGCCTAGAAACTAGCTTCAAACCTTGCTTTTACTTGCCCTCCTGCTCTGCCAACTGCCAACCAACTTGCCTGCGTCGTCTTGCAGCTGCCTTTTGTGCTGCACGGCTCCGGTCAGGCTCCGGTCAAAGGACCCCCTCGCAGGGCTCAAACACCATGGCAGTGAAGGACGGAGCGGGCCCGCGGCCGGCAGCCCAGACTGCCAAACGTCGCTTTCTGAACTGCCTAGAAACTAGCTTCAAACCTTACTTTTACGTGCCCTCCTGCTCTGCCAACTGCCAACTTGCCTGCGTCGTCTTGCAGCTGGCTTTTGTGCTGCACGGCTCCGGTCAAGGGACCCCCTCGCAGGGCTCAAACACCATGGCAGTGAAGGACGGAGCGGGCCCGCGGCCGGCAGCCCAGACTGCCAAACGTCGCTTTCTGAACTGCCTAGAAACCAGCTTCAAACCTTGCTTTTACTTGCCCTCCTGCTCTGCCAACTGCCAACTTGCCTGCGTCGTCTTGCAGCTGGCTTTTGTGCTGCACGGCTCCGGTCAAGGGACCCCCTCGCAGGGCTCAAACACCATGGCAGTGAAGGACGGAGCGGGCCCGTTGCCGGCAGCCCAGACTGCCAAACGTCGCTTTCTGAACTGCCTAGAAACTAGCTTCAAACCTTGCTTTTACGTGCCTTCCTGCTCTGCCAACTGCCAACTTGCCTGCGTTGTCTTACAGCTGGCTTTTGTGCTGCACGGCTCCGGTCAAGGGACCCCCTCGCAGGGCTGAAACACCATGGCAGTGAAGGACGGAGCGGGCCCGCGGCCGGCAGCCCAGACTGCCAAACGTCGCTTTCTGAACTGCCTAGAAACTAGCTTCAAACCTTGCTTTTACTTGCCCTCCTGCTCTGCCAACTGCCACGGCCCCCAGTGCCTAACGTTGCTTTCTGAACCGACAAGAAAACTAGCTCTCTGAGCTGTCTGTCTTCCAGCCGCGAAGGCTCACAAACGGCGCCTTCGCCACGCCGAAACAGCAGGGCCCTGAGGGACGGACCGGGCCTGCGGGCCACGGCCCCCAGTGCCTAACGTTGCTTTCTGAACCAACAAGAAAGCCTAGCTGTCTGACCCAAAACGGCGCCTGCACCACAGCCAAACAGCCGGGCCCTGAGAGACGGACCGGGCCTGCGAGCCACGGCCGTGAGTGCCTGAACCTACAAGAAAACCTAGCTGTCTGACCCAAAACGGCGCCTGCGCCACAGCCAAACAGCAGGGCCCTGAGGGATGGACCGGGCCTGCGGGGATTGCTTCTTGTTCTTGCTTCTTCTTTCTTGTTTTCTTGCTTCTTGCCCTTGCTGCTTGTAATGACTTCTTGGCCCTTGCTGCTGGTAATTCCTCCTCTGACGCGCTCCCCCTGCTGCAAGCGGGGTCGGCGGATATAAGTCATAGTATGTGTATATATATATATATACATTTTTCAAAAATCTATCTATTATACTGATCACCCCATTTTCCGACCTTTATCCCCACTATCTTCTATTCTATGATGTAGATATGGAACATGTTGGGCTACTGTCCGTTTACACCCAGGGAAAACCAAGGCTTTTCCACATCTATGTTGCATGATGATTTACTGTACGGTAATCATCATGGAAGTTGATACATGACATTGACAAGGGTGATTTCCCCTCTCCTGTCTTAGTTTGAAGATCAGGTTAGCTAGGGCTGAGATCCAAATTTTTGTTTGGTGATGTTTTGACCCGACAGAACTTGGGCCAAGGCGCCTAGATGTGGGAGGCTCAGCAAAGTGGCGAGTTGTGCCTGCCAGTGATGGCTTGAAACCATGGTCACGCTGAGGGGTGATGGGCCGCCGCAAAGGATGCCGGGGATGTCAGTTGTCTGGCTGTGGTAGCTGGAATCAGGTGGATGTGGGAGATATTCTGGGCCTCAGATCCAGGGCTTCAGCATGAGCCATCACGAAGCTGCGCATCCAGATCACCAGACTCTGCAAATGACATCAAGGTCAAACCACATCAAAGGACCCTCCCCCAGGTGAGGACATGTAGGCAATGTAGGCTCTAAGAGTCTCACCACTCGATTTCTCATGATTTCTGGGTGCAAAAAAGTGCCCAGCAATCCACTTGAGGCCGGTGAACATGGCGTTGAAGATGCTCATCTCACCGAAGGTGAGAGAATTCATGGGTGATGTTCCATTGGATGTACAGATTATTTGATATTATTTGCACTTAGTAACTTCATGTAACTTCAGAATTGATAGAAAAGCACCTTATCAGTCTTTGGTCACTATTTTAGTAGGATTTTTAATTGTATACTTTGCTTTTTGGCTTCTATACTGCATACAAGTTACGTGAGCATGGATATATGAATGCACATATTGACAAGCGAAATGGGGGAACTTGACCATCCACAATGTTGCGACAAATTTCTGGCAGCTGCATCTCTAGGAAGGTGCTTGCATATTGGGGCCCAATGGCAGCTACAGCAAGCAGATTGCTGACCGAACGGGAGTGAGGCACTAACCTGCGGCTGCTTCCTGTTGTTAATTCTACCAGGTAGCTGCTCAGGACCTATCCTTAAACAATCCGTTCCATGTCCTGGTTGGGCCAAGTAAGAACTTTGACACTGTTTTGCAACAAAATTATACAAAAGATACCTGCTTGAGACACTTCTCAAAGTTTGCACATTTAGTCAAGGCCGGGAAGTGGTTTTCCAAAATGCGTAGCGCAGGGTTCTCGTTAATTATATCTTTTGGGGTCTGGGTGAGCCCTTGTTTATGCTCCACATTGTTTTTACGGCCGCGCGCCCTTAAGGTCGCAACTGCACGCAATGAGGACCGTACTTAAGTCTCATAAAGTGCTACTTGTGGACATTTTGCCACTTGTGAAATGTCATTTTCTGTGGCAGGCATGGCAAACACAGCGTGAGATTCCGATGTGACAGATTGAGTGTCGAAAGTGGTCTGGTGTGATAAGCACAACTCTTTGTATACTTTTTCGAAGCTGATTTCTTTTTTTCGTGGCAGGGGCAGTGCTTGTGTCAATTTTGGTAGAGAGTGTCTCAGAAGGGTATGTATCTTACGGGAGTGTCTCACAAGAGTGTCCCTGGAGTGCGTCATCAAAAGGTGTCTTACAAGACTGTCCCAGCAGTGTCCCTCAAACGTATCTCAGAAGAGCGTCTCACAAAAGTGTGTCATCATGATGGGGGTTGAAGCAGCATGTGTTCTCAGCTTGTGTTTCATTCGGGTTGGTGGGGTCTATCAGGTGTTAAAATAGCAGGACGCCCTAAAGCCCGGGCAACACAAATTGAAGAATTCAATGCGCTTGAGCCCTCCCATGCCTCATCTTCTTTTCAGTCGACCACCCGCTAGGCTGCAATTGAGCCAAAAAGGCGAGTTCTACCCTGGCACGCAGATGCAGGACAAGAGTGAGTTCACCATGGTTTTTTTTTTGGGGGTGATGGTCACACAACTTGCATCAGGTTTAGCTGCTCTTCATCTATTGATGCCGTAGGGTCGGCAGTTCACCACAAGCATCAGCTCCTGGTCGTAACAGTCGTAACATGATTTTCACTCCTTGGCTCCAGCTCTTTGATGAGCTGATTTTCTTTACCGCAGAATCCCTCATTCTGCGCCTGCGCATTCTGCGCCATGGGTGCGCAGTGCTGCAAGTCTGTAGACACAGGCCCCGATGGAATGGGTGAAGCCATGCCCACCATGGAATCATGGCCTCCCAGTGGCTCGCCCATGGAACTGCCAGCAGTTTCGGGTGGCAGGGTGGAGGAGCGCATGTACAAGGTGACATTGGTGAAGAAGGAGGGGCAGAAGTTGGGCCTGGATGTAGACTTCATGGCTGAACGCAGTGTCCTGCCCATTCTGACGATCTCGGGAGGCATCGCTGAGCAGTGGAACAACCAACACCCCTACAGGAAGATGAGCACTAGCGACAGCATTGTGGAGGTGAATGGCGTCCGAGGCAATGTGGCCTTGATGTTGGAGAAGTGCAAACATGATCCAACTTTGGAGCTCACCATTTGCAAGTGCCTGACCTATGGACACCTGATTTCTGACCTTCAAAAGCTGATGACAATCAAGGGTTGTGGTCCAATCATGATCCGCTTGTCTTGGCACGATGCGGGCGTGTTCAACGGAGTGGATGGCTGCCCCAATGCAGCCATGCGTTTGGCCGGAGGAGGCGAACATGCCTTGGGAGCGAACGCGGGCTTGCCTCAAGTGGCCATTCCTTTGCTGCAGGCCATTACGGAGAAATATGTCCCAGGCCTCATTTCCCATGCTGACTTGTGGGCCTTGGCCGCCAACGTGGCAATCAAGGTGATGGGTGGGCCTGACATCATCACTCACTTTGGGCGCTTTGACTGCCTGACATGTAATGAGGGAGCACAATCTGCAGCTGGGAGACTTCCGGACGGTGACAAAGATGCTCAGCATCTTCGGGAGATTTTTTGCCCCAAGGGCTTCACAGACAAAGACATTGTGGCCCTGTCCGGTGCACACACGGTCGGAGCATGCCATGCTGACCGCTCTGGCTTTGAGGGCCCATGGACAGATGACAAGTTGAAGTTTGACAATTCCTACTTCAAGGACTTGCTGAACAAGAAATGGACACTCGAGACCCTGAAGCCCGGCAAGCCGCAGTACTGGAGTGGCAAGACAATGATGCTTACCACTGACATGGCTCTCGTTGAAGATGCCAAGTTCAAGGAGCATGTACAAAAATATGCAAATGACCAAGAAGCTTTCTTCCAAGACTTTGTGGAGGCCTGGGTGCGGCTGCAGGAGTTGGGATGTGGTCAGCTTCGTGATATTTTGTGAATCTGGGCCGCGCGGCACTTCGCCAGTGAGGAGCAACAGCTCCACCCGTTGTCTCACCAACTTCGTCGCAACTTTGCCAATTCATCAAGCAGCACTGTTTCCAGTTTCTTAAAAGTTAAAAGGCAGCTGCTGGTCCCCTTGCCGATGGCAGCACCATGTATGAAGACAGGCTGAGGTTAGCTAAAGGCTCAAGCGGATCAAGTTTTAGGTGGTTTGGTTGGTTGGTTGGTGTTGATTGCTTGTTGTTTTTTTTGCTACTCGCTTGCAGTTGCACTCTCTGCTCCGAACGCAGAGGAGTTGTGCATCAGGGGTGCGGCCAATGATATGGTGCTGCAGGGTGTCATGCAGGCTCCCCTGGAGACGGATTTGCACACTAAGGGCATGCTAGGTATGGCTTGCAACGATTTGAGTGTATCTGAAAGTGGGGAAAAGAACACAAACCACTTTCAGACAAACCCATTCAGACGTCCGCTTGGATGCAATTTCGCTTCTTTTCCCTTTTCTGGTGTTGGTTTGTTTTTCTCCTTGGCATTCTGCCACTTTCCCTCTCCGTTGGGCCAGACCTATGTAAGTTGAGCCACATCTATGCAACTATTAGACATGGTCAGTTAATCGTTTTTTTTTTTTTGCGTTTTTAAGATTTTAACTCACAAAATGCAAAGGTTTATTGACGGTGGCCATTGTATGTTGACCTGGGGACTTCTGAATGGTACCCAAAATGATAGATGGATGATGTATACACGTGTATGCACGTCATATGCTGCACACCGTAGGTCATATCCAGGATGAGCGAAGATCATGGCAGGTCGCGCAGTGGTTTGCCAGGTGCTGGTGGTTTCAGATATGACATTCATTACAAAATTATATTCAATATTAATCATTATTCAATTATTCAATTGATATTCTAGATTTTTGGTTTCATCCGCTTTGGGACGACGCGCTTGATCAGGATCTTCGGGATGTGTTGAAACCACCAACGTCAGAACTGCCACAGCACTCCATGTGTTGCAAGATTCCTTTGGTACTTCAAGTTTGTCCATTGTTTCTGATTTCAAGTATCAGTCAGTATCAGTGAATCACTCTGTTTGTCGGCGGTTTGTGCAGGATCTTTGGCGTAGAGACTGACGTCGAAGAAGGTGGAGCCCGCGTGATGGGCTCAGCATCGCCAGCCGCGAGATGTGCTGTAAATTTCTTTCAAAATCATTCTGACCCCAACTCGAATATGACCTCCAGGCAACGGTTTTTTTTTCCCTTTCCGAAGCTTTTTTTTATGACCAGAGCCAGTGAATTGCAAGAAGCCAACTCTGTTTGATTGCCCTTGGCACCTGGGGTTGTTCGAGGTCCATTTCGTGGTGCCTGTGCCGTTGGGGCCTTGCATAAGAATTTGTAGTATACGGACGAGGACTTGTCCTGCTATTGTGCGTAGCATTTTTTGGTGAGTTTTTGACACGCATAGACCATGCAGTCTTGAGCGCCACCAGATCTCAGACTTCCTGATAGAATCCATGATCCCACAGCAACTGGCCCTGCAGCCTTTGTGGCTCTCAGAATTATTTGTATCCGATCAACGCAGTGCCGAGAATGAAGTGCACGTGTCTCAGCATGGAGCTTCAACTTCAACTATTGCAAGTGGTTGGTGTTGGATGAAGTGTGGAGGGCCCTGGTCAGATTTGGACGCCCCTATACCATGTTTTGACCATGGCCCATCTAAAAGACAATAGAGAAGACTGAGACTAGGCAGTGGGTTGCATCAACATTTTTGCAGATGATTTCCTCAGTTTCCACTTTGAGGTCTCATCTTCCTGCCGGTCGTGGACCCCAGTTGTGACCGGTTTGCGGGGCTCTGCGAGTCAGTTTCATTGAATGAGGTTTGCAATTTGTGGTCCTTTTCAGAGACCGGTATCTATATCAACCACTGGCTAACAGCTGGTTTGCGACTATAGAGTTACCGCGTCATGATCAGTTCCTTCATATTTTGGCTTTCCAATTTCCAACACACTTCCAGACCACCAACCGGTGTAACCAGGATCAACCAGTGTCTCCTTGGTATCCTTGATTCTGGCTGTCGATAGGTGTTTTCTAGATTCTTCTAGTTCATATGGCCCAGACTTCTGAACTTCAAAAAACGGTTTCAGATCATTGGTCCTGGTATTTCAGCGCTTCACCATGCTTCACCTTGTGAACAACCATCACTTCAGGTCTTGGCGGCTGCGGCGTCGGTGCAGTCGCCTGTGCAGAAGGCTGGGGCTTTTCAATTTCACAGAGGAACATGAGAGGGTTGAATCATGTTTAACTATACACTCCAAATATGGATAAACATTAGGGATTTAAGCAGAACAAAGCAGGCTTTGAGTGTTTTGATTTCATTTGAACACATCGTTGTTTGTTTTTTTGACACTTCTGACTTGACTTGACCTGACCTTTTTTTTCCACATTGGACATCATTGGACATCAATGTGGCAATCAATCGGTCCATGTTGGTTTCAGCAGGTGGTGACGATGCTGAAGGCCATGTCTGAGAAAGGTGAAGCCGAACTGCAGGATGAAAAGGTCCAGTATGCCAAGTGCGACATGGGCGCCAGGGGAGTGAGTTTTTTGCCTGTAGATCTATGGTGATCTATGATGATCTATGTAGCCTATGTAGCCTATGTATTAAGATGTAGTGTGACGAACGTGATTTAAGATGTATTACATGCAACCCCCAAACTCCCCAAGACGCATATCTCCACTGCTTAACCAGGGTTTCTAGGGCGGTATTTAATACTCTGAAATCGACGCTGTGAGCGCCCAGTTTTTCAGCGTTTCCTTTTTTGTGATACTTTGTTTTCACCTCTTCATTGGCACCCTTTCCTCACCAGTCTTCTCTGGAAGATCTGGAAGTCTGTAGTTGAACGCTGACCGCTAATCCACACAAACAAAATATACAATTAAAACTTTGGCAACCATAGCAGCCCTCCTCCACTGACCTTTGCTTGATACTATTGGTTCCCTGGCTTCAGTACACTATTTCTATGCTGTACTTGGGTAAGGTGGTAAGGTGAGGGGGAACCAAAACAAGCAAAAGAACATAGATTTGCCAACTATGTCAGCCACCCACCTCCCCGAAACATTTCCCCAACATCATTGTTTTTTTTGTCGCCCCCCCCTTTCCCATACCCCAAACAAATGAATGCCGGAATTCGGGCTTTTGGCAAAGAGGAGCTTCGGAGCTGCACTCAAGATGAAGGTTGGATGCAGTATACTGATGCTCAAACTCTGGGACAAGCCCCTATGTGTACAGAAAGAATTCTTCTTCGGACAATTTTTTGATTTTCCTTGAGCAAATCTGCAGCATGAAGGAAGATGAGCAGTAATTCTAGTTGCTATCAGTAGAAGGAGCCAGTTTCCTCGTGTTTGACAGTATAATTTTAGCATGCAATTGTCTTGTAAATGCTTGTTCGCATCAATATGATTGCTAATCATGAAATAAAGCCAAACTTGCAGTTTCTGCAATCTAAACGTTCTGTTCTTCATGTTCTTCTCTCCTTGATTGTTTACATTCCATTTCCAAAACAAGATGGTTGTCTAGAGCCTCAAGAGCACCGCTGGCATTTGTCAACATTTGCCCTACAACATTAAAGCAAAGACCCTGTAACAAAGGACAGGTCAGTGTATAGAGTAAGAGTCTATCTTGAAAATACGAACTAGAAAGAACGACAGTTTTGCCGAGGCAGACTACACGAGATATTCACTTTCGCTACCTGCAGTACCATTGGCTTTCTTATATCCAAACATGTCTGCGACATTTTCTTATTGCACATTTGTTTCGCATCAGATCAACACACCTAGCAAGCTGTTCGGACACAAAGAACACAGTAGAAGAACAGAGTGTCACACAGATTAAAGAACAGATTATGGGGTAAAACCATTCACGATTTCCATACTACATCACGCTAAGGCAAGGAAGGCCTTTCAAATACACGGAGTTTACACTTTTTCATGAAGGGAGACACACAGAGGCAGATATAGACAGGAGAGTAGATGAGAGAAAAGAAACTAAAAATCAGGTCGCAACGACTTTCTATATGCATATATATATAAGATTTTTTTTGCGCGCTGGGGACGCTCACCTCTCTCAGTGTTAGGGAGGATTATATAATTAGTTTGGATCCAAGAAATTGTGAGGGAATCCCCGAAGCAATGTGGTTGCTATGATGCTGCAATCTTTTTAGATTGTTTACATGTCGGAGTGGGAAGCCTATCATCTGAAGAAATGGAGAGCATTAAGATCTAAGAGGATTGTTCCAACAACATTTTGCCGCCATTGTGTTCTGCCCCCAACAATTGGCTACGCATCTCCAACGTCTCGAAACCACGTGTCGAAACTGGGCCATCTTGGTTGCATACGTCGCATCATTTTGGGACATCACCGACATCACCGACATCACCACCATCATTGCGCAAGGTATGCCCAGTGGTGCGAGAGCACCAAGGCTGAGAAATCCACTGCTGTGGATGAAGCCACGGGAAAAATTGAGGCCTGGGCCCTGATTCCCCATGCCTGGGGTTGGTGGCAGGGTAAAACCACGAAGCTATGAGAAACTCTAACAGGATGAACAGCTGGGGACCACATTGGGAAGCCTCTTTCGACTGGAACTGCCATGGTGAAGTGCCATGGTCTCTTCCCCTTCCAGGGATAGTTTTCACGCGGCAGGTGTTGAAAGCCGACATCGCCAAAGCACAGACCGATGCCGAGGTGCTGGCCAAGGCAGGGGTAAAGACGCATGCACGTTGGCGACAGGGCATGGGGTCTTCGCTTCCAAAATCATATTTTTTTCTTGGTTGGGGCTCAACATGATTCAACCCCGTGGTAGATCACATGCAAAAAACGTGGTAGTCACAGGTCCCACAGTTTGCAAAAACGCGATGGAAATGTTGCTGCTGGGCTGCACCCCGGGCTAGCTGCTGCCAAGCTCATGCGAGGACATCGAGGAGCATGGCGCTCAAATTGAAAAGATCGGAGGGGAGAAGACCAAGGCAGAAGAGGCCTGGAGTGCCGCCTAGATGTGAGAGGCAAAGAACCCATACGAATCCACCATCAACTCTTCGGGTGAAAAGAGGGAAGAGGGGGATAAAGATGGGATAAAGATGGGATAAAGATGGGATAAAGGGGTCAAGATAAAGCATGGAGGTTTTAAAAAAGGCATTGCGGCATGGGGGATCTGGAGGCCGATTTCAAGGGTGATTCTCTAGCTCCTATAGGCCATGACATAAATGAAATCGGTTGGGCGGTTGCCACATGAGGTGCGCAAGAAGGAAGCTGAGGACTACGCAGTGGAGTTCAAGGCGGGAGGATGTGGTTTTCGTCGGGTTTTCCTGAATTTCCTTCATGGTTGGTGAGAACTTACGCATGCTTTCAAGCATTTGTAACCTATCATGACGCCTACTTGAAACCGATCAGGTCGCATCTGCCCATGGATTTTGTGGATCTTGTAGCCTGGCTTCTGCCTGGGTCCGAGGACTATTCCGAATCAGTGGATGCCATTGGAAGAGCCCTGGAGACCTTGGAGAAGCAGGCTCCAAGTAGTCCAAGTAGTCCCAAGTATTCAAATTGTACCAAGTGAGATTTGGTCCTGTCTAGACACACACACATATATATAAATATTATATTGTATACATACATAAACATGTTGCTAGAGAGTACTGGTTGATACTGATTGTTGCTCCGTTTGTGCCCTTGAGAACCCCACTTTGAAGGGAATAGCCCTTAAATCCCCTGGTCACTCCAGTCTTGGTCGTGTATATCCCATGACATCCTAGCTATATTCCCACTTTATCCCCAGTGTATTCCCACAATAACAGGGTTGCTCCAACCTATTTTAGGTGAATGATAACCACTAAGGGTGTAAAACTCGTGATTTCAGCAAGTTTACCACCCTGTATTTGGGCTGTTGAGAGCAACCCTCTATGTTAACACTGTTAACATTCTTTTTCTGCGTCACAACGTGTATTTCTGCAGTCAACACCTTGAGTTGGGAGGCTGGCAGCCATCCTCAAGCCTTGATCCAGTTGGGCACGGGACGACATGCCCAGGCTGCTGGTGATGTGGGACAAAATGGTGATATTATTTATATATCTATCGATCGATCTATCTATATAGAATAAATATGGCATATATGCACACATGTACACATACAAACGTAGATATTACACGCACACACACACACGTATGTGTGTGTATATATATATGCACATGGAGGTATGTATTTTTTAGATGATAAAGACATATTTCGACACATCGGTGTGACGCGTAGACAGCACTATCTACATGCCTTTGGCCAGCTATGGCCATTGCTTGCAATCCTCCAACATACATCCCGGTTGAACCGTTTTTCCCTCAATATTTCGAAGGACCCGGTCCCAAACGTTCCTATCAACTTGTTCTCTGCCTGGGTAGCTTCAACAACCTCCGTGTGACCACCCTGAATTCATTCCATCGCCTCAGGAAGTGCGAAAGTTGGCTTCGGCCTCAGGGCCTCAGGGTTCGTTACTTCGTTCAAGCTTTCCAATCCAGTTGAGAAAGGAAGCGGATGATGGCTCCAATCATGTCCAAAATCATCCAAAATCATTGTGTTTCATCCCCAGCGCAAGTTATCTTTATGAGAGTAGGTCCACTAGCCGTCACTAGCCGTCACTAGCCTGGTACTGATGGCTCCGGCGCCAGTGGTTGCAGATGGGGATTCCGATCAATGGCATAGCCACAACTGAAAACAACAGAGGTGAAGAATAATAAGGAGAGAGAGAAAGAGAGAGAGAAATTCATCAGCAGAAGCAACATAGGTGAATTGTTTTAGATATTATAACAACACATTGGTATTTGTTTAGCAACATGCCTTCCGGTTTCTGTCGTTAAACGATCCATCAGAACTTTGAAATTTAGGTTGTCGCCTGAGGTTGCGCTTGCTACACCCAAGGCACCCGCATATGACGCTTGGCAGAACTGGAGTTGGAATTGGGTCAGTCATCCCTGCCCGCAGGCGTTTGACCCCTTGGGGGAACCATGAATTGAAGGACCGGATAACCCCTTCTTCCAATAAGCACAAAACAGGTGTGACAATGGTACGGGAAGGCAGGTGTGTGAAAGATATGTATGTGAAGGAGTTGTAGGTGAAAGAGCTGGGTGTGAAAGATGTGCAGTGACAAAATTGTGTTTAAAAGAGTTGTTTCTGACAGAGTTGTGCGTGAAAGAGTTGTGTGTGACAAAGTTGTGTGAGAAGGCTGTGTGTGAAAGAGAGAGAGAGAGAGAGAGAGAGAGAGTGGGAGAGAGAGAGAGAGTGGGAGAGGCAGGCGGACGGGACAGGCGGACGGGACAGGCGGTCGGAGGACGGGAGTGCACAAGAGAAAAACTAGAACCCCACACAATCATGTGGGGAAAAACCTAGATCATGGACCCCCAAGAATGCGGCAGAACATGGCAGAACCACTCTTAGGGCCTTTCCCTTACCCTCTGCAGGGATTGCGGAACCCACCCAAGGACTTTCAGTCTGGCAACATCACTGGAATGTTGAAGACGCTCCAAGATCAGTTCGTGACGGTGCGGCTACATGCATGGCTTGCCACAAGGGCAGGGCTGCAGCACCTGGTTTGCCTGGGATCCATTTTGCCAGGGATAGCTGGTTTTTGGATAGCTATTTTCGGGGCTTCTGGGCCTGTATTTGATTCAGGTTCGTTGAAGAACATTACACTCCTGGACGTCCAATCAGCCAGATCGTTCGAACTTTTCCAGTTGGAAATTGTGATTTTTTGGATTCCAGTTGAACTCAGTTGGCTTGCTCGGCGTCTTGTGGTGTTGGCCTTCCACCTGTGGTTCCGCTTCCGGATGCTGCCAGGAGAAGCGAGAGCTGGAAAAGGCCGAAACGTGACTTGGTGGCGCAGAACGGAAGTTGTCTCCAGGAAGGGAATTGACAGGAAAAACATGGAAAAACACTATGCAGAATTATAATAAAGACTCGAACTATATAACTGTATTCTCTCTAACTGTCAACTTATTACATCCTCAAGAAGTGGATCCACGGTGGAGTTTTTGCTTCATTTTCTCGCTTTTTTGGAGTTTCTGAGTGGCTCTGGTTCCAAGGTCCAAGGTGCACAGCTACCAGCTGCTGCTGGCCAGCCTCAGCAGTCAGCAGGAATCCGAGGGCGAGGACGCCTCGTTGGAATTTCAGAAGTCACCGGAAATGATGAAATAAAAGGGGAACCATGGGGAACCCCAGAAATTACGTAGATCAAATTAGATCAAATTACTTGAAATTCGGTAAAGACATGGTGATACTTCGGGTCGGCTTGGGTTAGTATCAATTTGGTCATGACTGGGCATGTTCATGGGTGATGCACGCAAGTTGCTGCTCAATGCGTCCCCTCGTAACTGCGGCAGGGGCAGGTAGTCTGAGTAGCTTACTGGTCTCTTTGGCGGGGGATTTACTGAGGGATACACAACACGTTCTTCCTACACCATCCGAACTTTGTTCTGTTCTACCCCCTCTACCTGAGATTTGGTCACCTGATCCTTATTCAATTGCCATTGGATTTGCTGCTGGAATTACAGTGGGTTTTCTGGTTGGACCTTTATTTGATTTGCTGGTGGTCATCCGAATTGCCTGGGCTCGATTTATTCGAGCTCGCCTCGGCCTAGGAGCCGGCTACTCAGGACCGTTGTACCGGATCCTTGGATGAGTGCGGGGCTTTTCAGCTCTCTCAGAGCTGAGCTGAGTAGTCTGCGGGCTGCTCTGAGGTCGCTGATCACCAGGACAGATCAGCTTGAGAGGCGGTTGGAGGAAGCTGAACAGTCAGGTTTTGATTTGATTTCAGACGCTCCCAGTGAACCAGCTAGAGAGACAGAGGCTAGGAGTGAGGTCACGAGGTCGTCTCAGTCAAGTGCAGGTAGAACAGTGGAAACAGAGGACACGGAAGGTCGAGTGGCATTAGCAAAAGAACTTGGTCAGTTTTTGCGCCGCTGCCTCTCAGGTGAACCCCGCGGCCCTTCGGGCCGAGATCGCCTGCGGCTTCAGAACCGCTTCTACAGTGTGTGTGCCGACTATCACGGCAGGGTCCTGCCTGAGCCTTTGTTTTTAGACAATTTTGCCACAGTGAGAGGGCTGTGCAAACAGGGGTCATCAGCGGGGCAGTCCATTTTTCTAGGAGTGGCCACAAAGTGGGAAGCGAGGATTGTTTTCAGAGAAGCAGGTTTGAGGGTGCCAGAAACTCTCAGACATGACTGAGCGAGCTGTTTGCAGTGAGGAGATTCGCCAGTCTCTACTTGTCTCGGAGACTGGCGAGGCTAAGGTAGAGTATCAGCCTTGCCATTTAGTTACACAGACTGAAGGTGAGGAATGCATCATCAATTTGGTGCCAATAGCATTGCATCAAGGAAAGCTTCTTGTGGCCGCTCCTGCCGAAGCGTGGAGCCGCACAGTGGCAGACCGGCTGCTGCCAAAGAATTCATTCAAGAAGCCAGTTTTGGTAGAGGTTTTGACCGCTACGGTTCTCGCACCCGAAGAGCTGCGAGCCGAAGCGCCTATGAACGTGTGGGTAGGCCTTTTGGAAAGAGCTTGGAGCATGCAGTTGGAGCCAGGCCGCCACGAGCTGCCCACAGCAGACATTTGGCATCTTTTGCCGGAAGGGGATCACAGCATTCCATACGGGCCCGGCTTGGCCCAAGTTTCAGAAGAGCATTTTGCCTTTCTGACGGCTCAGAGTGGGGACGCCGCCGAAGAGCCGCCTCCCGAGCCCAGTTTTGCACCTTCGCACGGTGGTGCGAGATCCGGTCTGAGCGATCCGCCTCCGGTTTTGGAGTCTCGAATGGCAGCTATGGAGAAGACGCTGGCTTCAATGCAGGGAGCGCTAGAGCGCCTAGCTGGGGAGCCTCCTCGGCCGTCAGCTCTGCGAAAGCCAGGCGTGAAACCAGCCAACCCCACTCCGGCGAGATTGCGAGCAACTTTTGCTCCAGGCACCATTCCAGGATTAGACCCGACCGTGGTCCAGTCAGCTTTGGACGCTGGCATACCAGAAGAGCAGCTGCGCACTTTGAGCGGCCTGTTGCAGAAGCCCAACCAGATGGGAGATGCTCCTTTGCCAAGCACCAGCAGCAAGCGACGCAAGAGCGTCTCGGTGTTGGAGGAGACAGACGACGAAGAAGAAGTAGAGGCCGACAGAGAAGACGGTTTTGGAGTGGAGGAGGACGCCCTACCAGACGAGAAGGCTGGCACGGGAGATCCCGTAGAGCAGGCACTGCTAAAGCTGACGGAGATCGTCGGTACTTTGGCAAAAGACAAGAGGCCGCGAGACCTCGATGCCATGCTCGACGGCTTAGATCCAGAGGTAGGAGAGGCTTCGAGCTCTGGGTCAGGCAAAGGCAAAGCTGCAGTTTACAAAAAGCTGCAGAGCAGTTTGACCGAGAATCCAGCAGTGATCTACCAGACCATCGAAGCTCAGTTGGAGAAGGACTTCAACCTGATGCGAGCGGCTCCAGGAGCCACGATGCAGCAGACATCAGCCAGAGCCTGGTTGGAGCATCGCCCGCGGCTCGGGTATTACCCGACCACCATTCGCTATGCTTGGGCGCTGACGGGCATTTGGGACGCGCTCCGCAGTGGGGCCGTCAAAGAAGCCAGAGCCCGCTGCGCGCTGGCTGTGGCGGCGTGCGATCAGTCTTCCATCGATCAAGGCAGCTGGCTTCTCAGCCAAGAGGTCCTGTTGGAGCAGCCTGCTCCTCTTCAGTCTTTTCAGGGCCGCAGGAGCCCGGAACCTTGGGAGCAGAGCGGGTCGAAGCTTCTGGACGAACGCTGGTTGGAAGTCTTCATGTGGAGGCTGAAGAGCAAGGACAGCTATCTGGAATCCAGAAAGCGCCTGAATCAGACTGGAGGAAAAGGCAAGACCGATGCGGGAGGAGGAGCCCCGCCCAAGACAGAACGCGACAAGGACAAAGACAAGCAGAAGAAAGGCAATCAGAAGGGCAAAGAGGGCAAGAAGGAGAAGGGTCCGCCGGAGGCGGACTCAAGCCATCCGTGAAGGACGCCACTATGACGGCCGATGCTGGCGGCCGAAAAGTGCCCGGAGCAGGCGCTACCAGCGTTTTGGGCTATGAACTATGGAATGGCCTTTTTACCGCGCTTTCTCGAGGGAGATCGCGCCTAAAACTTGCTTGGTTCCACGCCAGGGCATCCCGTGCTCAGACTCGGGCACCACCTGGGGCACTGTGGCCTTTGCCGGTCCCCTTTCCTGAGCTCCATAGAAAAGGAGCAAACCGTGGCCAGAAGGATGCCAGTAGAAAGCTTGGCTTGAACTACTGTGTCATCGTGCTCAACTACTTGCATGGCTCCGAACGTCACTGGAAGTCAGTGATTCCTCCGCTTGGCACACCGCTGAATGGTTCCCAGTGGGATTTAGTGCAGAGGCTGAGGAGACAGGTAGATGTTTGGAATGCAGAAGCAGTTGTGACTAGCGCGGAAATGGGCAGATCCGCGACAAAAGTTGAAAGCCTTGAGGATGTGCTGAACCAGCTGCAGGCAGAAGCTGAGCTCGTGCACTCTGGGCTCAAGAGCTATGGCAGTAAAGCAGAGGAGAGACTGAGGACTGATTGGGGCATGAAGGGGGCACCGGGAAGCGTTGTTGGTAAACTAGATGTTGCACCAGCTCATCCTGCAAAAGCTCTTGAACCTGATCGGCTGCAGTTTTGGGGGGAACCTTCTTTTGATCCGCGACCCTTTATGGATCCGGCCAACGTCTCAATGTTTGAGTTCCCCTTGCAGCATGCCATCGACCCTGCTGAGCTGCCAGAGCGTCCTCCAAGAGTCAGGGTAAGGTGCCCGCCAACTCAGAGGTTAGCCTTCTTACGGAAGTTAGACAGCTGCAAGCGTTTAGCCCTCAGGCCTACCCGGACTATCCGGGAAGGGTTTCAGAATGGTGTTTTTGCCATTCCCAAAGATGAGCAGCGGGATCGTATGGTTTTAGATGCACGGCCCCCAAATGCACTGGAGCAGTCAGAGCAGCGTTGGATCAAATCTCTTGCTGGTCTTCACCAATTGCAGCATTTCTTTTTGCAGGAGGACGAGCGTTTGTACTTGTTTGCTGAAGACTTGCGTGAGTTTTACCATGCCTTTGTGATTTCCGAAGAGAGGATCCTGCGAAATGCCTTAAAGATGAGCTTCAGACCATGGGAGCTGAAAGCATTAGAGTGTTTTTCACACAGATTGCTGCGAGAGAAGAGTGTCACTCCTTGTCTCAAGACCATGGCGATGGGCGACACCAATGCCGTTGCATTTGGCCAAGCCTCGCATCTGGGGGTTCTCCTTCAAAGTGGTGCTTTAGAGTTGGACCATTTCATTACGTTGCTGGGTAGACCACCAAGACAAAGGTGGCTGGCTGGGCTCATGATCGATGATTTAGTCCTTCTAGAAGCCAGGCCTGACCAGGCGACTGAGGAGACAGAAGCTGGGGCGGCGCAGGCTGAGCTAGACTGCAGCCAGCGAATCCGCCAAGTGCGCGAGCAGTATGAGAAAGTGAGACTTCCGAGACACTCTGGCAAGGCTGTTTTCAATGAGACGAAAGGCAGTTTTTGGGGAGTACAGATGGATGGTGTTGCTGGTGATTTGCGCCCAAATTTGAAGCGCAGTATTCCCTTGAGTCACATCATTCTGCGAGTCTTGAATCTAGGCTGCTGCACTGTCGCTCTTCTAGAAGTGATAGCTGGTTCCTTGGTTTCAATTTTCTCTTTGCGGAGGCGTTTCATGAGCGTGTTGCAGGAGATTTATGAGGCACAGAAGAATCGGCAGAGAAACGAAATTGTTCGTTTGTCACCAGAACTGCAAGATGAGCTGTGTTGCTCGCTGGCCCTCGTTTCTCTCACTCACCTAGATATGCGGCTTCGCCCCTCTGACTATTTAGTTGCTTCAGATGCATCTTCTACGGCAGAAGGAGCTGTGGCCACAAAGATAGGGCAGAAAGCCACAGAGGAACTGCAACGTCATGCGCTCCAAAAAGGGCTGTGGAATAGGCTGGTTAGTCCTGCTCAGGCCTACTTGAGAGAAAAAGGGATCGAGGACCTAGAAGCTTGCGAGTTGCCGGAAGGAGAGTATGACATGCATCCCCTTTGGCAGGAAATTGTTGAGACTCAGGAGTTTGCGCTTTTTGGTGCAGTGAAAAAGGTGCGCAAACGAAGACACATCAACCTGGGAGAGATTTCAGCGGCATTGCAAGCTGAGGTAGAACAGGGCAAGAAACAGCCAGACAGTTTTTATTTACATTTGCAAGACTCTCAAGTCTCTCTTGCTGCTCTCACAAAGGGCAGGTCTTCCTCTCGATCTGTCAATGCCTTGATCAGGCAATCCATTCCAGATGCAATAGCTTACAACAATAGAGCTTTTTATGGATATGTCAGATCTCGTTTGAATCCTGCTGATGACCCCACCAGAGACGTTGTCATCCGCGCACCCGTCAGGACTGAAGCCGAGTGGCTGACTGACCTGAAAGCGGGCGAGTACGAAAAGCTTGAGGCTGCATTAGCAGAATGGGATCTGACCATCTCCGCTCTTCGCCAGCTGCCTGATGAATCCGAACTGCTTGCGCCTGCGCCGGTCGACAAGAGGACGGGCCTAGAGGCCCGAAAGCAGAGGAGAAAAGACCGGCGCAAGCATGCAGCTGAGGTAAAGGCGAAGGCAGCCGAAGCAGTTCAGCATGAGGTGGAAGAGCGGCAGGCCTGCAGTTTGAGTGAGGAGGCTCTTGCGCTTCTTCGTAGTTTTCCTGAAGATCAGTTTATTTGGCACCAGAAGTTTGCGTCGCTTGAGGACGCTCTGCAAAGTGGCGCAGGAGTGCTAGATTTGTTTTCAGGGTCTAGAGGTTTTGCTCGCGCTTGCGCGAAGATGGCAGAGACTTGGGTCCTCACCTTTGACATTGCCCACAACGTCAATGAGGACTTGCTGCAGGGTCCCCTCCAAAGTAAGATCACTAAGTTACTCAGACTTAAAGCCTTCCGAGCCATGGGAGCGGCGCCCGTTTGCTGCTCATTTAGCACTGCTATCACGCCTCCGTGTCGCTCGAAGCAGCACCCGGATGGTGTGCCTTGGTGTTCAGAGAAGCAGAAAGTGAAGAACGAGCTGGGAAACGAGATGCTGCGCTTTGTGCTTAGCCTGATTCCGATCTGCTTGGCGTTTGGTGTAATTTTCTTTGTAGAAAACCCAGATGGTTCATGGATGTGGCGCCAGAGAGGAAGTTTAGCTTGGGATCCTGTTTTGGGTACGGGAAAAATAGGCGATCTTCGCCTTGACTACTGCCGCTTCGGGACCCGCTGGAGGAAGCGGACTCGGTTCCGTACGAACTCACACCTGAAAGGGCAAAGAGTGTTTTGCCGGTGCAATAAGCCGCACATACAGTTGCGGGGAAAGTGCAAGCATACTGGTGTCAACTTCACTAAGTTGGCTGAGCCGTATCCAAGACAAGTGTGTTTTGCTCTGGCTTCTGGTTTGCTGCGCGATGCAGGTTTCCTTGGCAAATGCGGGAAAGTTGATGTAGCTGCATGTGCAAAGGTCACGCATGCTCGGATTGGCGAAGCTTCCAATCCGGGACCTCGCCGTGGCGTTCCAGATCGAGCCCCGGAAGATTTGGCGCGGGCGGAGCTGCTTGAACCCGCCACTATTGCGGTTCGGCACCGCATGCTGACTCAGTTTTTCGACTGGTTTGACTCCAATTGTGGCGGAGCCTGCTTCGTGGAATGGTCAGCTCGAGTGCCCGGGCTTGCAGTCTCAGCCCTGGTCGCTTTTGGCCATCACTGTTTTGCAGCTAGCGTGCCCTTGCACTACTATAGGCAGCTTTTAGCGCATTTTCAGAAGATTCACTTGCAACTGCGACCATTTATGGCCATTGCCTGGCAGCTCGTGACCAAATGGGAGCTGCTTGAACCGGTACAACATAGACCGCCACTGCCTGAGCCTTTGTTACAAGCTATGACTACTTTGGGCATTGCTTGGAAGTGGGACCGCTGGGCAGCTGCGCTCTTGGGGTGTTTTTATGCAATCTGCAGAATAGGAGAGTTTCTATCTGCTCGAAGGAAAGACATTTTGACGCCGCATGATCTCCTTTGTGAAGACGATGTCATTTATGTTCGCATTTTACTTCCCAAGACCAGGCGCCGTGGAGCTTCCACGCAGTATGCCACTATTAGCGAGCCTTCTGTAGTTCGTTTTCTGGTTTCAGTTTGGCAGGAACTGCAGCCCAATGATTTGCTCTATGGTGGTTCGCCTTCTGCTTTTAGGCGCCGTTGGGATGCGACTTTGACAAAGATAGGAGTGGGCCCTCAGCATCGACTCACCCCGGGTTCCCTTAGAGGAGGGGGAGCGGTGTCTTGCCATCGACGAGGCATGCCCATAGCAGATTTACTTTGGAGGATGAGACTGCAAAACGTCAAAACGCTTTCTTTTTATTTGCAAGAAACGACAGCCATGTCAATTCTTCCAGCTTTGCAACCTTCTGTCAGACAACGTGTGCAGTTACTTAGGGACTTGTTGCCGTTGTTTTTAGCCCAACGAGGCCCCGCAGCGCACAGCCGTGCACCTAAGTTTTCAACTTAATGCTTTGCTGTAGGCCCGGGTAAAACGTGGATCTGCTGTTGTGACAGCTGATCATGTTTTTGGTTGGCCAGCCGAACTTCCGCGTAGAACGCGGCTACTTTATGCACCAAAGCCCTGTGGAACCAAGTGAAAAGGGCCGAGTGAGTGCAGAACCAGATTAACATGATATTTGGGGTGTTTTTCATTGACAAGCTTTCATGAGTTGTTTTTTCTCTCAGGGTTAGAGACCAGCTAATTATTGTTGCTTCATTGTTTACTGGTGCCATGTCACAATGTAAGTAGTACTTATAAGTGGATGTGGTGCCGCTGGCCAGGATAAAGAGCGGAAAGTGGGGCTCAAGGCCAAAAAAATGCAACTCAAAGCATCCAAAGAGGCGCCAAAGTGCTGCGATTTGGATGTTTGAACTGAAAGGCCCCTGGGTTCTGGAAGTTTTTAACTGGAAAAAGGCAACAGAAGTCGCCACCATCTTTCCATCATCATATTATCATTCCGGTACATACGTACGTACGTACATGCGTACATACACAATTACATAACAGTACATTATAACGTAACATAACATTACCTTACCCAACATTAATTACGTAACATTACGTAACATTACGTAACATTACAATTATATACGCTACACAACATTACATGCAATTGCATACCATTACACTACATAATATTACATAACATGACAGAACATTACACAACATTACATACCATTATATAATAATAATAATATCTATATATCTGTATATGATATATCTATATATCTATATGTCTATATATATTTATACCTATACATCTACAAACAATATATTTTTACATCTACATGCCTATATATTTACATATATATATACATCTCTCTCTCTCTCTATACGTATCTATATCTACACACACACACATATATATATGTATATATATATATGTATATATATATATGTATAAATTATATATGTATATATGTTTATATCATATAACCATATATGGTATCAGAGTTTCATCAGCACAGATTGATGGTTATTCCGTGTTATCCAATGTCATGCTATTCCATCACCATCATCACCACAATTGAATTACCACCAGCAGCCCAAGGACGAACTCACCACAACCAGCAGCTCCAAGGTGTGGGATCCCGTGCAGCCACTTACTACCTGTTGGGTATTGTTGGGTAGATTTTTAAAGAATCTGAACTTTTCTCCCTTTCTTTCTTTCTCTCTTATTCTTTCCCTTTCTCTTCCCGTGTGTTTTAGATATCTTTACCTTTCACTTTACATGACTGAATGGCCTGAATTCTCTTGGACAAGATTCCTGAATCGTGCCGAATGCTCAAGGACGCGGACACCAAGTACTTGGATGTAGGGAGCTCAGTGGATGTATGGCCCTCACTCAATATTTGGCCACCAGGTATACTGCAAATGAGGTCCCAACCACCCATGACCGGGACGAACTAGGTGTTGATTGGGGTTACCGGTGATATCAATTATATAAATGAGGAATAATGAGGATATGGAATTAGGATCACAACTCCTTTCACCCCCCATCAGTGCCTATTATCTCCTATGAGTGTAATGGGCCGCTTATGTCTCATGTAGGGATGAAGCTGAACCCAGGATGTGACCGCCACATGTCGGCAGAAGGCTTGGGCCGAGCCGCGTTAGTTGAGTGTACCGACATGTTTTTCGATCATGAACTGTCTAGTTTGATCATGTTTTGATAGTTGATCCTATTTTACGACAGAGATTTGGTTCTCCTCAGATCATCTCAGATCAAGTTTTCCATTTTTCCCACCTCCAAATCTGCAAATTTGATCTGAGACAGCCTCAGGCGGCAGACTACGAGTCCAATCAGAAGCTTCGCACGGACGAGTTGGAGGCGCACGAAGGGTCTCTTCAAACCACATCTCAAAGTGGTTGGCTTTTAGTGAGATATGTTATTTTATGTCATGATATGTTCATATATATACTGTAATATACCACAGTAGACGTAATAGATTTGTAGAAGCCATACAATTACATCAACGTCTATAATACACGCACAGAGATATACACACATATATCTATACCGTTATATATATATTATATTATATATTATATATATGTCATTCATATGTCAATGATGTCCAATGTTGTAGTCCTTTCCTTTCCATACTGAGTGGTTCGTTGCACCGCAGGCCATCTCCAAGGCGGTTCAGATCGTGTCGCAGAAGCTCTCCCTGTTGGAGGTAAACTTCCAGAGCCTTTTGCAGCTGAGGAAGGCGCAGTGGCGCAGTCGCGCAGTGGCCGAATGGGAGGTGTCATGGTGCATCAACTTTTGAGGAGATTTCATGTGCCATTTTAAGGTTGTATTTAAGTGGGTGACTTTCATGAGGCAACTCGTAGATCTGAGAGATCTATAGTCTATAAAGATCTTATTTTCTGGCTTGGTGGTTCATTTTTTGATGTTCAAACCCTGCATGGAACATGCTGGAACATCCTGGCAACATGTTGACATAAATTGACGATATTGATATGGGTCTACGGTTTTGAAGATATCATTGGGATGGGCTAAAACCACCAGTCCCGAAGCCATGATGCAGAGATGGCAGGCCACTTCCCTGGCCCTGCTCCGCAGTGCCAAGAATGATGATGTGCTCAAGGCCGTTGATCAGATGGGAAGCCCGCGCAAAGGGTTATCGAGGAGGATATAAAGATGTGTTTCTGTTTATGTACACATGTACATCCATCCATCAATCTATCAATCTATCTGCACGCAAAGGTATGCACAGACAAACACACAAACACACAAACACACACACACACAAACACGCACATGTTTCACGTACGTACGTGCGTACGTACATACGTACATACGTACATACGTACATACAGACATACATACATACAGACATACAGACATACAGACATACAGACATACATACATACATACAGACATACAGACATACAGACATACATACATACATACAGACATACAGACATACAGACATACATACATACATACATACATACATACATACATACATACATACATACCTCCCTGCATGCATGCATGCATGCGTCCATGCGTACATGCGTACATGTGTACATGTGTACGTGCATACGTGCACCCTACACCCCTACACACCTACATACCTACCTACTTACCTACCTACCTCCCTCCCTGCCCGCCTATCTACAGAACTTATCATACATCTAATCTATAGATATCTATAGCATTCTACAACTGCATGTCTGACTCTCTTGTCAGGGTGTCCAGGACTTTGGAATTTGGAACGGCTGCGCCCAGGCCAAGCTGTTGGGCTTTTTGCAAGGCGAAGCACAGCGTTTGAAGAGCGCCGTCCGGGACGCCCATGCCGCGCCGTGTCCAGCTCTTGGGAACCCGGGGCCGTCCCTAGGCGTTGACCAATCTGCTGGAGCCAGTGGCAACAGCAGCTTTGGGCAAAGTGAGGCCAGCTTCAGTTGTGGCTACAAACAGAAGTTGAAGTATTTTCAGATTTTTTCTGTGCTCTAGAGAATGGTTAGAGGTGCGACATCACACGATGTACGTAATGGACATGTAGAATGCAGAGTCATGACCGCAATTGGAATGACTATTTGGACAACGACATCAGGGATGGGGTTGTGGAGTGTAGGGTGATGTAGGGTGGATGGACACCATGCATAGTGTTGCAGCGTTGCGTGGAGTTTCTTCTCATGATGATTCGCACATGACCATCTCCCTGACTCAGAAACAACTTTGGCCTGTACAAGAGTTCAAGCCCTTAGCAGTGGCTATTGTTTGCATGTCGGAACAAAGCGACAGAACATTGGCAGCCAAAGCCCTTTGGGCCAGGGAGACGATTGAAGGTGTGATCCAACGGCTTGAGGAACAGGCCTGAACTGCGATGCGGCACAGACGACTCCTAAGATGTAGGCACAGTCTCTTAAAACGTCCGACTAGGTCCACATGATATCAAATGATCAGATATGATCAGATATGATCAGATATGATCAGATATGATCAGATATGATCAGATATTAAGTGATTTTATATATAAACTTATAAAACGGCCAGATGTTGCAATCATTTCAAAGGTTCGACTTCCGAGAACATCATGGCGTCAATGCCACCGGGTCAGGACAACCAGGACACCGAAAAGCAGACCTGGTGCGCCTCGGAACTCAAGAGCAACGAGAAGAATCGCAGGTCGTGGGAACTGGAGTTGTGATGTCCCTTAGCTTACCCATAGGATCCATGTATGCTATATATGGTAACATTTACCATCAATATACCCCAGTCATGTTAGCATATATACCATACATGGATCCTATGGGTTATGGCATTCTTATTGGCCCTTCAAACCTCGGATCTTCCAGGATTTATCCGACTTCATCCATGCACGGGGCAGCATTTTTGCGCGGGCTTTCTTCATCGGTGATTGGTGGATGATTGCTACCGAATATACCCTGGACTCGAAACCATCGACCCAAGCCAGCTAGCCAATTTTGTCGTATTTCTGGAACCATCCTGCAAAATTAAATTGGACAAAAGCATGAGATCCTCCGATCCTCCTGTATGATTCTTACCCGGCCACCTGCAACAGTTTGGGTGAAAGGCATCAATACCCCGGGTTTTCCCAACTGCCACTGGATGATTTCTCCAGTCAGTATAAAGTGACTCTACAAACTGATGCAATGCAGGATATATCTATCTATTGATGTATCTATCCGTCTATCATTCTATCTATCTGTCTATCTATCTATTTTGCTTTCTTTCTTCGTATCATCGTTTCTATCTAACTCTGTCTGTCTCCCTCTCTGTGTGCGTTACAAATACACATCAACATACTTGTATCATGCATGTATATATATATATTATTATTTATTTATTTTTTATTCATTCATTCATTTATTTATTTATTTATTAATTAATTATTTATTTATTATCATTATCATTACTAGTTTGTGCTAAGGGTTGCAACCTGAAGCAAAACGCAACATCTTTCATGAGACCATTTTCAATCAGAAAACTCAGCTGTTGTGCAGATCAAACCATGTTTTTGGCAGAATCGTGCGACGCTAACGAGTCCGCCGTTTTTTTTTTTTGTGACTGTTCATTGCGCCTCTTACTATCCACCATCTATCCACCCTGCTGTGCAGGTCCAAGACTGTGATGGTGGATGAGTTGAATGCCGACATCGATCGTCTGAACACATCGATCATCTCCCTGGGCGAGGACGCGGACGTGACGGACGTGACGGATGTGTGCTGAAACGAAATGAAGCACTTGATTATTTAGAGCTTTGTGACATGAAGAGGGAAAATTACATCAACTACCACTGAATCATTGGAGAGGTTTACAGCACGGAGACGTTTTTAGATTGATTCCAATAGAAGTAAATGTGAGAAGGGACGTGCTATATGTGATTTGACTGATGTGTGCATGAGTCACCTACGATAGGACAATCGGCTGATGGGGGATGAACATCCCTTGAAATTGGTGTGTCTCAAAATGGGGTTTATTCCGAAACGGCACTTCCAGTGGCAAAATAATGACATTGACCAGCTCATGGAATGGGGTATCGGCTATCGGTATCGAATATCTTTGCCGACACACCAAGATATCCAAGATCGTATGGTTGCCGACGCATATCCCATTTAGGTATCCACCATTGTGGTTGGTTTAATTGCCACTTTGGTTGGTTTTTAAGGCCAGCCACATCTCCCGCTCTTCAGGACATCGGGAGCATGCAGAAGGACTTGTCGGATTCCGCCGAGGCGACTAAGGGTTAGGGTTTAGGGTGACACCGAAGAGGCGAATTTCAAAGCACCAAAAACGGGGGATTGTGACTAATAGATTGGCATTAGATGTGGAAGATCTATGATTTCCTTTGGAAAATGATCTACAAATCCATATATCTGTGGTAGCGTTCTTCATTTTACATGGAAAATATGCAGGTTGGGCCGCAGCCATGGTTCCTTGCAGACCGGCTGATGGGTCAGATGATCATAGATTGTCAAAGGAGGTTTAGTGTCATCCATTTGAAACCCAAACCAGCTTTCCAGAAATAACACCCTCTTCTATGTAGCCTTTGGCTAGACTCTTGGAGATGGCGATGGAGAGAGAGATGTTGCTGGGATCCTATAGTTTTTTTTTTCAGGTGCCCGATGTGATGTAACCAACATGAAGGGTGGGTTGCCTTCTGGTGCAAGGCCCAAGGAAATTGAAACTTTGAAATCCAGCCACACGTCGGCAGGTCTCATCAGGTCTCAGTATAGCTGTCAGCCACTGACAATCCTTGCCAGAGGCAGACATCTTCACGCATTGGCTTTCACCACCCAAGGAATGTTCATTTGATGTTAGACATTTCGAAGCATTGACCTCTTCGCAGCTGAAACCCTCTGGTTTCTTTAGTTAAGCAGATCCCCCAAAATTGCCAGTGGTATTACCAGAGGGTAAACCTCCATTTTCCTATGGTTTTCCTATGGTTTCAGTAGTCTTCAAATCAAATCAAGTCAGTTTTCCCGCCATCTGCAGCCATGGGCCGCAACCGCCGGAGCCGCGGGAGCAAGACCGTGACGCTGGCCCTGGCCCTGGTGGCCTTACTGGGCGTCACGGTGCAGCGGGCCTTCATATTGGCAGGCCGATGGTGGCTGGCTATGGCTGGCTAACTGTTAGGGGGTAAACACTGGAAGAAATCATAAGCAATGTGGGCTCCGGAGATCTTGCTCGTGGCGTTGATAAGCATCCCATTAGAGCATATTGGAGCCACATTTTCGTTTACGCCCCTGTTTCATCCTGTTTCCTCAAACAGTGTGTTCACACTAAGGGTTCTTACAGCAACTGTTGGAAGCGGGGTTGATCGAGCGGTCGCACCTCTGGGCATGGACTTTATGTGAGCCGCCTCGCAGTTCCCTCTGAGATTTTGATGTTCGTTTTGACTTCGCCGGCGCGCCCAAAATTTGTGTCACACTTTGCTCTCATCTGAACGCGTACTTTTACCGACGCGCCGTGTCTGTCTGTGAAACTATGTGCTTTTTGTGCAGGCACAAGAGATCCGGGTCAGAGCCTCTTTTTGTATGACAGGAGCAAGGCTTCGGACACTTTTTTGCCCGCTGGCAGGCGTAGTTTTTCGTGCACAAAGCTAGAGAGCGTTGGCAGGTGTGGGTCAAAGATAAACGGTCCCGCCGGAGGTAGCATTGTATGGCAAGCCCACAGTGCTTGGTGAACTTGGACGATGTTTTCAAAGCCTTGAAGCGGTCGTTTTGTGAGAGTGTCGTCATGATCAGATTAGGTACCTGGTACGTGGTGATCAGGCACTGTACTTCCGATGCCTCAGGTTCAGTTTTGTGGCAGGCGCAGTAGTTTAGGTATCTTATCTTTCTTATGTGTTCAAAACCTACACACAATATTGACATATTGTTTTGGTTTGTTTTCACGAAAGCTAGCTTGTGCTAGCCAAAGTTGCTCTTGCTTTAGCAAGGAATAGGCAGGCACCAGGACCGTTGGAAACCCTGAAACTTGCAGGTTAGACCCCCCCCTACACATCCTACACGCTCCCTGCACCTGCCCCCTGGACCATGGGTTGCGTTCAAGTAGAGGGTCATCATCTCAATAATTCATTTTCAGCATTTCATTGTCGGCATCTGCATCACCATCATCAGGTGGTTTTGGGGCAGGCACAGGTTTCTACGTTTTTATCTTCGCCTTCTTCATTTTCATCTTTCTTAGGAGCATTGCCATCATCATTGTTGTGGTCCTCCTCGTCGTCGTCGTCATCATCACATTATCATCAGCATTATCGTCAAATTCATTTGTACCCACCATCATCGTCATCAGTTCATCAGTTTACTCTTGCAGCTGAGCAATCTCCGGTACAACATTAGCAGCGTCCTGTTAGCTTCAGTGACTCCCCCCCGGCCGCAAGTTCACATTTAGAACATTCATGTTTCGCGCTGCGCGCAGTGCTGGTGGCATTGTAACAACTCGCCGTTGCCGGCGCAACCTCTTCTGCATTTTGTTCGTGTCGGAGCGCTCTTGTTGTGGCATAGTGCACATTCCAGTTGGGGTATATCAGTATATCCAACGAAACTACTTCCCCCAAGTTACTTCTCACACTGTTTGGCCCCCCTTGCTGGAGTAATTTTTGGATGTATATATGCGAAGCACTCATGGCCAGCCCTGGGTTCAAAACACAAAAAGGATGTTGCACGCAATTTCCATGGGACATTTTTTGGTGAAGCGACCGAGCAGCATGGCACTGTGGTTGCTTTCAAGAGTTTCACAATTTTATTTGCCCCTTTTGATATGTCTTGACTCCTTTGATCATTCCTTTCCCCCTTTTAATCTCAACCCTGGTTCATTATTGGATCTATTCATTTTGGGGTCCTTTATTGGAAAGGTTTTATATAAATATATGTAAAACATTTTAAAGCCTATTAAGGGAATGTGATCATTGAAGATTGGCAGGTCCTATGGGTCAACCCGCACGACGAGCAGCTACAACCCGCACGCGACGCACGGGGTCCAAGGAGCAGTTTGGGTGGACATTGGTCGCAGCTCAGTGATATACCAAAAAATGGTATGGTTTAGAATGACCCTATATATATATATATATACGGCAAGATTTGCATTTGCATGCATTTGAGGTATATTGGCCAATACCATCCAATACTCATGGGATCATAGGGGATGAACATCCAGCTATGCCAGCAATCTTGCTGTTCACCGGAGGGTTTTGCGCTATTGGTGACAGTGGAGAACATGGTCGCCAGGTATGGCCGTGGACAGCGGACCCATTAGCCAGGAGGCGAGGGCAGCACCGTGGCATGGTGATGCATGGTGATGCATGGTACCCTCTGGTAATTTAACATAGCTATGGAAAATGGCCATTTATAGAGGATTTTCCCATTAAAAATGGTGATTTTCCATGGTTATGTTAAATTCCCAGAGGGTATATGGTCTCAACAGCGAAGAAATTAAGGAATCGGATTCATCTACAGTCTACAGTATATACAGGTCATGGTGCCCCCGGTAGTCTATATACTTTTTGATGGAACCCACGCATTTGCACATATTCGCACAACGATCACACCCAGTACTGTAGTGGTGACGTTCTCGGTAGTGCTAGCCACAGAGTTGGAACATTCAGGCTGATAGACATCCCAACATGACACACAATTTCGCAGATACCTGGAGGAGGATTCTTTTTCTACTTAAAGCATGTGAAAATCATATTCGCTCACCAATTGATATGTAATTGCGCTGGTACATCCCAAACTTCAGCCGGCTGGTGGTTTCACATATTTTCTCTTTCGTAAATGGGATGATCAAAATTGGTTTTCAGATGGTTTTTGTGCTCAAAATTGGCTCAACCACAAGCCATACCTGCTATCCGTTGCTCAGAGAAATCTGCAGGACCTGGAATTTTTGAAGACCTCCGGGGTGGACATGACTGAGGCCAGCAGCTCAATGGTGGCGAAATGTTGACATGTTTGAGCCGTTGGCAACCTGGCACTTCAAAGATCTTCAAAGTTCCTGCAAGCTAAGGGCGGTGGATCATAGCTTGCAGTTAAGATTGTCCTTTACCATCCTTTACCCGTCATTCGATTTCTCGAACCGCATCATTTTTTTTGCACATGGAGATTTTGGAAGTTGCAACATGTCTAGTGACGGCGGCAGTCATCAGAGGTGCAGGCGGATTCCAGTGTTGGTGACTTTTTTGCGCCCGGGCAAGCATTGGGCAGCAGGCATTGCATCGGAAGAAGTAGCAATTCACGGTGGGGAAATCTTTTCGGCGTTTGTGCCTCCAAAAACTATGGAGCCTAAAATCAACGGGTTTTGTTTCCGAAGTAAAGCATGGACTTGTTGCTTCTTCCTTTGTCGGGGCTGCAAAGTTGCAACATGTGCGACCGAGCAGCCGTTTTCATGTGCCAAGGAGGCATTGCTGCCAAAGACAGGTTCCGGCTGGGCAGGGTTGTCCGAGGGATGCTGGGCCAGGGTGATCCTAGGAGTTGAGAATCTCAACAAAGCGCCGCTGCTTCCCCCAAAGCGAGCCCACTTGCAGGTTGGACACTCAAATAGCGAGGAATCGTATATACATGTATATACTGTCCCCCAAATCAACATAGACCCCGCCAAATAGGGCTTTGGAAGATTACTTTCCACTAAGACGTGGCTATTTTCAGAGTCTATGTCAATTTGGGGGGAAGGCAGCGTGCACAGGTGTGACTCCTGACTTCTTGGGCAAGATCTTTCTGTTTGGCCTACTGGTGACTATCATCAGTGCCGGTGCCAACGCCCTGTCACTTATAAACAATTGCTGGGATTGGGGTGATGAGTGACGATATTCATTTGTATCACAGTGGACACTGCGTGCTTTAAGTATATAGTTCTTGAATGTTCTTGATAGTTCTTGGACATTACCATCTCTGTATTGTATAGCTTCTCAAATTGCGCCTGTGCTTGTGCTCTTCCTGTAGCGACCATCCTTGACTTCATAGACCCAGGTTCGACAAGTTTGTACTGGGCAAGGAAGTCAATATTGACCTGTCAGGTGCGGTGAGCTTCGAAGTTTAGAGCAGAAGAGGGGGGGTCATTTGCACATGCAAGCTGCACATGGACAAATATCTTGATATCAAAGCAATCAATGCACTGTATCATGCCACGGATGCCAGCTGGCCGCCAGAGGGTACAATGTTCAGAGCTCTTCATCCCAGGCCGTACAAGCAAGGTAGGCCGCATCCTGCGAGGAGAAGATGTGAGCAACCTCCCAGGCCGAACCCTGGCGATTTGGGCAGATGTGCACATGCAAGCACCAGGTGTGGGGAGGTAATGGTACCACCATCGACCATACAAAGTTTGATGCCCGGCTTAGCACCCACCTTCCCCTTCCGCAGAAGACGAGTCGGAGCTGGACTTCTACAAGGGCAGCCTGGAGGACTTGGGCAAGATCCGCGATGAGGAGGTTCCAGTTCAATCCCTTGGGGCGGCATTTTTTCTGCCAAACAAAACTCTGGGGTGTGGCCAGACCAGGATCGGGAGATACTGTGAGATACTGTGAGATACTGTGAGATACTGTGAGATACTGTGAGATACTGTGAGAAAGAGAGTGAGAGTACTGGTTTCCAAGTTACGTCTGTGTTCTTTCAGTTCTGTCGCATTCGCATCGGGATTTGGAGCGGCGCGAAAGGCTCGCCAGGGCTTGGATCCCTTGGCCAATCTGGGCATCAAGAGGTCGAAGAAGTTTTTTGCCGCCCGGCGCGGCCACTGGAAAGGAGAACTTCAATGGGGATGAACGAGTTGTCTGATTCATCTAGTATCATCTAGTTCGTTTGGTCCCTGATATTTCCTCGAATCAATGTGGGGTCCCTCATCAACAGCACCTTCACGCCTTCTCTCGAATTGTCAGGAAGTGATCTTAAATGATTTAAAAATTAAATGCATCCAAAGCGGGGGAAAATAGAAGGACACCCGACAATGAAACATGATCATGAAATTTCACCATCCGTAGACTTGTCTATTGATTCTATTGTACCAGGTCAGCACGAGGGGTCGGGGTCGCCTTTAGCATCTGACCCTGTGTGGGAAGCTTCGCCCTCAGCAACTGTGCAATAAGGGCAGCAAAGAGTCGTGAGCGCTGCAGAGAGGCCAGAGTGAAAGTGCCCATCGAGGCAATCTCTTTCTCAGGATGTTCAACAATTTTCAACAATCCATTTCCCGCTCAGGGATACCAAATTTCACCTTGACTATCGTTGACTCCATTTCAAAAACGTTGTCGTGAATAGTGACCCAGCCATACCAAGTGCTTTCACATGTGACAAGAGCATACTGATATGGTTTAATCTTTTTTTTTCCATTCTTTATCGATATATATATACTGTATCATTTGTTGTTTATTATTATTATTATATTTATATTTATATACTTGTTATAAGCCTATTCCTACAGATTCCTACTATTTATTTATTATGTATTTCGTTTCATATATGCATATTTACTAATTCTTACTTATTATTCTTTATTGTTGCTTATTTTTCTTCATTATTATACTATATGTATTATAACTATCAACTATCATTATCATGATCACTATTACCGGTATTATTACGCAGTGTTAAAGCTTAAGTCGTATCAAGTGACCTGAAGTCGTATCGCACCTGCGTGCGCGCCAGTGTTTCGGATAGATTTTGATAGTTCTTTATTTGACTGGCTATTGATTGAAATACTCTTTCATCGCTGTGCGCAGTGTTTTGTTGACATGATTCTAGTTAACCCTTTATGGTATTGATTGCATTCTTTATGGTGATGCCATTCTCCACAATAAGTGGTGAGAGGCGTGACCATTGAAAATCATCATGTTTAGGGTCCGCCTGCTGGTGGGTTCTGCCTGCTGCTGGGTTCCGCTGGTAGATTCTGCCTGCGCCTGCTGCTGCCGCTGCTGGGATATGGACAACAGTGTGCCAATGGGATTCGTGATTTGAAGCTGTTGGCATGATGATGGTGCCCATCGCTAAGACATGGGGTTTTGTGTTTGTTCCGGACAAAGGTGAAAGTCCTTGGTTGCCCTGTGCCATGGTGATTCCTTTATATATGTCCTATGAACACATACATTGAAAATGTATTAACGCCGCAGTGTGCGCAATGTTTTCTTCATTTTTTGACATATAGAACCGTTGCCTGAAAGCCGGTGTGCCATGGGGATTTTGATATTTTGATGTGACTTTTGGCCAAATTGATCTGACTTTCTTCAACCTCGCTGTGCCACGGGGTTGGTGTGACTTTTGCACAACTAGTGTGATTTACTTAACACCGTGCTAGTATTATGCATCAGCATCATCAGCATCATCATCATCATCATCATCATCATCACCATCACGGTCACTATCATCATCATCATCATCATCATCATCATCATCACTATCACTACTAACTTACCACTAAGTATGTAATGTTGCAATAGGATGCAGTGATGCTTTTCTGATGCTTTTCAGAGGAGTCCGCCCATGAAGGGCTTGAAGATGATAGCCATGATAGCAAACTAAGCTGACATTTATTGGATTTGTATGGATTTGTGTCAAACTATCCCCCCCTGGCAGGTGGGCCCTTTTTTGGCAGGTGAGTGTTTTAGCGTTGGATGTCGCATTTTCGGGTGATCTCCTCAAGAGAGGGGCCCTGGAAGTTCCACCTGTTCCACCTCCACCTGTTTTTGGTGGAGCGACTTGGCAGAGCCCCTGGCCCCAGATTTTCCATCCGGGGCTTTGCCAGAGATGCACCGTGTTGTGCAAGTGACCAACCTGTTCACCAAAACCCACAACGAGATTCTCAAATCGCAGCTCGCAAAAGAAGATGTGCAGCAAATTTTCTTTATGGCAGCCTGAGCATCCTGAGCCTACTATAATATACAATAATAACCTATACTACATGGCCGATCCTGGGTGCAATTAGAATCAATTGTAACGTAATCGCGGTATTTCACCCCACTTACCTACAAAGTGAGCCCCTTGGACGGGTAAGTTTGTTTGTAACTGGGCTGACTGGAGTTAATGGCGGACATATCTACTGCATGCAAGGTAAGTTTACAAATCAACTTGCCTTGTTATGGGTTCCACCGTGTAGGCCAAGAACCTGGTAGCGATCATGATTGAAGTTTATCAGTGGTTGTAAGTTGCAGGATTCCCACGTCTAACCATCTAACCCGTTGAGCCGCCACAGGCCATGGCAAACGCCACAGAGATCCGCCAGCAGGAAAAGTCCATGAATGCCCGGTGGTCTCAGAGTGTCGATCCATCCCCAAGGGTGCCTCGCGTCAAAACTTGGATGATATACCTGGATTGGGGGATGCCATGATAAGGATTCCCATTAGATGACCATCCAAATACATCCAAATACCATGACCATTGACGACTGGAAGCCGAGGCCGCCACAATCGAAGAGGCCCTGAGCGGGTGATGTTTGTAGCGCCCACCACTTCGATGTAAAATACCCCAGCCGATGGAAGTCAGACGGGACTGATCCGAACATCATCTCCACCCCTAGCAGACTCTAGCAATTTGAAGCTGTGTGCTTCTCTTCGAGCTTCAATGGCTCTTCATTGATTCCAAGCTGTGAAAGAAGTCCTCAACGCACTTTTACACTGGATAACACCATTTCTTGAAACTCCACTTCCAAGGAACAAATAATGATGCAATGACTCGCTGGTTGTTTGGCACGGAATCTTGACCTCGTGATGTTTTGGCAGGCCCAGAAGGCCCAAGCGGCAGTGCTGGAGGCCATCAATGCGCTGAAAGAGTCGGGAGACCTTAGGATTTCACTGGTGGCGGTGGCCTCATAGGAATCCAATGGAATCCAATGATATCCGGGTGACCTGAAACATGTTGGGCCCGTTGGGCCCATTGGGCCTTTTGGGGCTGAGGTTCTACGAGTCCAGTGGCTTGGCCTTGGTGCAGAGAAGCAAAGAACCTGCGGCCTGGCTGCAGCGGCTGCAGCGGCTGCACTGTGTTCCGTTCCAATCCGTTCGGCACGCCATGGCGTGCCATGGCCCTTTTGAGGCCATGACCGGTGCCTACGGTGGTATGACCAGCGAGACGGGTGGCGTGGTCAGTTTGTTGGAGACCATCTCTGCAGACTTTGCGCGCTTGGAGGCAGACACCAAATCCGAGGAGACCATCGAGCCGGGACCTGGGGCCAGGATGGGCCAGGTGCAAGCGAAAGGGACTGATGGATCTGCACTTCCACCTTGATGATCTCAAATGACTCAAATGGCTGTTTGGATTCGAAAGATACAGGAATGCGATGATTGTGATGATTGTGATGTGACTGTGACATGGCTGTTTTGATTGTTTTTGCGCGCTTGCACCTCTAAGAGCTATGGTCACCCGTACTGGATTGCCATATTTAATGTGAAGCCCCTCTTTTTTGTCAACATTGATGGGCACATTCCAATGGGAGTCTGGTGGCATATGACGCCATGGCCCATCATCAGCAACAGTCGAAGAGCTTGCAGGAGCAATCGGCCGCTGAGGAGTTTGACAAGCTACATGATATGCAAGAGTTGAATTGTGAGATATTGTGAGGGCATACTGACGAATCAGAACCACAGGTTCTCAGACTCGGGATTTCGAGTACTTTGGCGTGTTTCTTTCCAATTTTCGATGTCGAGATTTAGAGATGGACGTCGGGTATCCTTGGCTGACATCCGTCCGTTAAGTCCCGAGGCTGTCCAGCGACTACAAAATCAACAAGGCTGAGAAGGACAGAAAGAAAGAAAGATGAGCACTGTGCGATGTGGATTCCGGTTGGTTGATGATGATGATGATGATGATGATGATGATGATGATGATTGATAAGGAGTGTTCTTGTTTGCCAGATACGGAGATGAACCACCGAAATTGAGGATTAACTTGAACCTGCTAAAAGGGGGACCTATTGCCCGGAAACACCGATGATGAGCTTGATACCTTTGACAAGGGTAATGATGATCTAGTTTGGGGGCCCTTGTTGCCCGTGTCACCCTTGTCACTTCTTCAATGTACAGATCCAGCTGGGAGTAAAACCCTGTGAATCAGGAGACCGACCTGAAGCACCTGCAGTCAACCAAGGTGGAGAAGACCTCACAACTTGCCACCAAGGGCAGGGGGCCCTAGCATTTATCCTGCCCATTTATCGAGATTCTTCGACTATGGGCTGAACATCTGGATGGAGGATGACTTCAGATAATTCCAGATCACCTAGTCAGATCAAGTTGGATAAGTTGGTAGTTGACCAATTCCAGGACTTCCCACCCCACAGCCTGCTGCAGAGGCTCAGAGCTCCAGAGTGGTGAACAGGAGCTCGCTGCAGCTCTGCAGTACTATGAGGAGCTGAAGTCTGGCGCCCTGGGGGGACCCTGCTAACTTCTCCACAGATTTTTCAGGGTTTTTTTGCTCATTGCCACGACTCTCACCCCGAAGATGGGGTGGGGACCTATCCCGAATCTTGTTCCCCAAGATGAAGTTTGCATGTCTTGGCCATGCATTGCTGAAGGGGGGCCAGGGGATGCTGCTGAGCCCCCGAGGCCACCTTGCGTGAAGGGAGGTGAGGCTTGGAAGGACACCGGGAGTCTTGTTGAAAATTGCTTTGTTGCTAAGGATGCGGAGGGCTTTCCACACTTCTCTTACTTGCCATTTGCTTGAGATAATTTTTAACATGGGAAGATGCTGGATCTTCCAGTTCCAGGGCAGTTGCCGCACTCAGTTGCCATAGTTGCCATAGATTTTCAATGATTTTCAATTCCTCTGGAGGAGCGTGAAGAGCAGCGACAAGAGGAGCTGGAATCCCTGAAGAAAGCCATGGACATCATGTCAGCTGCCAGCGCCTAGGACAGATCAGTACGCAGTGAAATCATTGCATCGCCACACATCAGATGGAGAAAAGGTTGGGAAAGCGGGCGGCAACATGGCGCCACTGCAGCTTGCCAGATGGTCTTCTGGAAAAGAAATAATTAGGTGCTTGTGGTCATTGGACAGTTTGAGGATGTTTGAATGTGAAGGGGTGGTCCAATAACCCCACAAAGCTCCTGCTCTCTGTCATTTTTTGTTGGCGCAAACAATGGCAGTTTCAAATTGGTAACATGTCTTTTTTATGGCTTCCTAAACTTTAAACCACATATAACACATAAACATGTTTCTCCATGTTTCTCCTATCTTTTTTGGCACATCTTATTTTGGCTCAAAGGTGGTGAGGATTGCTCGCTACCCTGCCTGGTGAAGTAGCCAGGCCCCCGACCAAAGAAGTGGCCCAAGCCGCACCATGGCTTGCCGCCCTTGGCCCGTTTCGCTCGTGGCATTTCTGTTTCGTGGTGCTGATTTATTTGATTTTATGGCAGATTTTAGTGATTTCGTGATTGCGTAAATGTTGGTTGTGTTGGATCGGTTCATGAAATGGTTTATTATATTGATGTTGACATTGCTGATTTTTGTGCAGATTATCCAAGATTGGCTGTGGTAAAGGGTACTGCGGGTACTTCTGGCTTGAACTCCGTGGCATGGGAAAAACGGGACTGGAACACCTGACCTCGTTCCAGCTGAGGCTGTCATCGTGCTTACACTGCTGTGAGAGTCACTCGGACATTTGCATCAAGCGACACCTTTTCAATCCTTTTCACAGGTTCAAGTTTGGTTATTGTCATTAATCATTGTTGAGTCCCTGGAGTACCTACTGTCATGAGTTGCTGTCATGCTAAGGTGTTCTGATAGAAGGCCACTCAGCTTCAGTCCGAACTGGTTTGAAGTCTTCCCACTCCGCCACTGGTTTGCACCATGAGATGCTGCCAGGGTGAGGCCCAATTGAGGCCCGCCCGGTCTGAATGACGTGTGCCAAGGTGGTGCTCAAGCGTGCCAACCACACAGTGGCGCAGAAGTTGAGTAGGGCCAGTAGATTGCAGGCAGGGTTGAACAATGCCCTTGGAATTATTTGGATTTGGCGCATTGTGGTTGCCATGACGCACCTACATTCATCATGAAGGACAGAAGCAAGAGTCACTTTGATGCTTCTATTTTTTTTGGCTAATTGTCGGTGAACGATTCAGATTCAGATTCCCGTTGTAGGCATTTAGCAGTGTGGATGCGTTAAGCTCGGTGGTGCACAAGACTGCGCGCCTTGACTGGAGCTCGGGCAACTTTTAGATCTTTTAGCATTAGAGGCTGCACGGTTTGATTGAAACGAGCAGGATACATTCTCAACAGGCTGAGTCCTTTGAATGCATTTATTTACTTGTTCATTTTCGTATTCATTTACTTACTCATTAATTCGTTTGTTCGTTCGTTCGTTCGTTCGTTCATTCGTTCATTCATGATCATTCATGTATTTATTATATAATACTATATATATATATATATTTTTTTTTCTCTCTCTCTCTCTCTCCCACATCTCACACATCTCACACATCTCACACATATTATTTGTCTATTCGATCTTTTGATGTTTTTCCGCCCTCAAATGCAGCATGTGTGTGTGTATGTATGCATACAGACATACATATATACATATATATATATATGTATATAATAATATATATATATATATGATATGCACATCTATATGAGACTATATGTGTATATGTATATATCTACCACCTAAGATCTATGACATGTTTATCATTTGTATACCACATCTGCTTTGGCACGCGCATTCAAACAGATAATGCCACAGTCTATCGATATGATATGAGTGGTTAGTTCTCTTTTTGGCACTTCATTGCGTAGCGGGCCACAATGAGGTACTATGGCAACATCCACATTGGTCATCCAGAGCAAACCGCAACGGTAGTATTCGACACAGGCTGGGGCAGCCCTTCAGACTCATGGAGTGAATTTCATTTTCAGCAAATAGAATAGAAGGTATAGAAGTTACAACCACACGTGGTCAACAACACACTGAACCTCCGTAGGATATTAGATACGCGTTAACACCAAACATGATCCGTGGAGTCTTCTACTTGCCGTGGAATCCGTATCTGAACCAACAGCTTCTCCCTTCCAGGTAGTGGGAACTTGATGGTGCCCTCCACTTTGTGCGATGACGCTGCATGCCTGAGGTGCCACCCAGGGACTAAAGTAAAGGACCGCACTGTTCAAAATCATTGTCTTTAAGCTCTAAGTGGAAAAAGTGGGATGCCCAAATATCAATTTGCTGTTAAAGTTTGCCATTTTGGGTTCCATCCTGGATCGCAGTAGTATTTCACAGTGCCAGGCACAAGCGTTTCGATGCCTCTAAGTCTGCTTCAGCAGTGTGCCTGGTCAGACTGGCTGAATAGATGAGCCACTGCAAAAAAACACTTCTGCCATAGGAAACATGTAAGGGACGGACATTGGTTTTCAGAAGTTGTACAAACATGAGGCACACGATGGGACCTTCCCAAATAGCGATACCCCCTTTGAAGGTTATGTCACACCTGTGACCTGTGCGCATAGATTCTCTCCTTGAAGCGATAACCCTAAATTTGCCAATCATACATAATTTTTGTACAACCGTGCGGTAAGTGATGGGACCTTCCCAAATTTGTTGATGTCCTTCTTGAGAACCTTGAGTTTCCGAGATTGCTCACATGTTGACAGCACATACCCACAGAATCCCACAGCTAGAAACAAAAAACATCAAAAAACCAGCTCCTACTCGAGTGGTCTTGAGTGATAATCCGATAATGACAGGTTCGGTGGGTCTCAGGGTTTCGTTCATGGCCCAGGAACATGCAGTCAGATGGATCGAAAGCCGGTGCCAACGACCAGCGCGATCAACTCACCGTGACCTTTGGAACCGGTGAGCCCTTTGGCTGGGAAAATGAACTTGTGAAATGATCACCATGTGTACCACTATCATCCACCATCCACTGTACTCGTACTATCCACCACTCTTTTTCATTGGGATTTGAGGACCAGAAGACATAGAACATTTGATACACAAAAGGATCCTTTCGTATCCTTTTGGATGCGCTTGTTTTTTCAGTTTCTTTCTCCAGCCTTTAGAATTGCTTTCTAGGTCCAACAGAATCAACAGAGTTGATGCTCCAGCGTCTTCAGCCAAATTCTTCAGCTCCAGCCATCCAAGGATCACCGGTGTTTTCTTGAAAGACGACGTTTGCATTGGCAATTTGTGCGCCAACATGAACTTCATTGGAGCTTCCCATGAGACCGCGGAGCCCTTTGGATCTTTTGACTTTGACGGAGTCTTGGGCCTGGCTCTCTCTGGAATGACGCAGGGGCCACATTTCAGCATCATGGATCGAATGGAGGCTGGGTGTTGCCGTAGGTACCTGATGGTCATGGTCCTGGAACCACCCGAGTTACCCAAGCCCAAGCCCAACAGAGGCTTCAAGCCTGCTTCTAAGTGCAACGTAGTGCAAAGTAGGTCCTGGCTGCTTGGAGTCTGGGATAAAGATATGGCTCAATTTCTGCCACCGTTGCAGGCCGCAGGCAACCTGAAGCATCCCATCTTCGCAGTGTTCCTGTCGGACTCCGACAGTGAAGATTCAGAGATCACCTTCGGAGACATCAAGCAGGAGAGGATGGTGGGCGACATGTGGCTCGATCCCAAGGGAAAAGCTGTCCCTGATAGCCCCAGTAGTGGGTTCTAAAACTGTTATAAAACTGTCGCAAAAACCATGGTTTCTGAACATTTCCTTGCAAGTGATCCATATGATCAATGCATTCTCCCTTAAACGGAGCCATTGAGTGTGACTGTTGGTTTCAAATATTTTTACTTTTTCATCCAGCAGATGGGATGATGATCCTAAATGACTTCAAGTGCCCATTGACATTGGCGAATCCCTTGTCGCCATGTTTGGCATCTGAGGTTTTGGGTTCCGGTCTCCCGGCAGACAGGTTATTGGCAGGCAGGGTCGGGTGGTGGCGAGGACGCACCTGGATGCCCCATATGGGGCTGCGGCAGGTGCAGATGGAAGATATTGCCATCGGCAACCAGCAGCAAAAGCTCTGCTCCGACTGCCAGGTGTGGGTTAGAAGCCGAAGTGCTTCTAGAATCTTCTGAATTCAGGCCTGCAGGCCGTTTGAAATCATACTGGCAAGACAATCAAGACTTGCAGCCTTGATTTCCTGTCTCCCAGAATTGGTTGGAGGGAAAATCTGCAGGAAGCCCAACATGTAACTATATGTAACTGTCGGGGGGGTGGGGTTTTCTTGTACATTTGCCTAAACCAATCCATTGAAATCATTTGAAGCCTACTGGTACCTATTTACTATATAATTAGGGGTTGATCCCAGAATAGCGATGGTCACTATTAAACTAGTGATGGTTACGTATCAACAAAGATAAGATGGCTACCCTTCCTATTATTATTATTAATAATAATAATAATTATTATAGTATATCATAGTGATATATATAGATATATAGTTACTCTTCAAAGTATCATAAGTGTTACATATGCTTACTATTATATATCATTTTTTATTCAATAGTGATGCTTACAGGATCCATCAACTTGGAGACCTGGGACAGGTGGCTGTGGATACCGGCACCTCCATGCTGGCCGGGCCCAGCAGGGTGATCCACGAGCTCACGAGGCGAGGATTTCTAAATTGCTATAAATATCTCAGCAATATACATATACATACATAGATACATAGATACATAGATACATAGATACATAGATACATAGATACATAGATACATAGACACATAGACACATAGACACATAGACACATAGACACATAGACACATAGATACATAGATACATAGATACATAGATACATAGATACATAGATACATAGATACATAGATACATAGACACATAGACACATAGACACATAGACACATAGACACATAGACACATAGACACATAGACACATAGACACATAGACACATAGACACATAGACACATAGATACATAGATACATAGATACATAGATACATAGATACATAGATACATAGATACATAGATACATAGATACATAGATACATAGATACATAGATACATAGATACACAGACACATAGACACATAGACACATAGACACATAGACACATAGACACATAGATACATAGATACATAGATACATAGATACATAGATACATAGATACATAGATACATAGATACATAGATACATAGATACATAGATACATAGATACATAGACACATAGACACATAGACACATAGACACATAGACACATAGACACATAGATACATAGATACATAGATACATAGATACATAGATACATAGATGCATCGATGCATAGATATTTATGTGTATTCGTTTCAATTTTTTTCATTTCGCTTTCTCCGCAAATGAACGGAGTCAAGATCCATCATGGCCTGAGGCGACTTCGAGTGGCACCAGATTGCTCCAACTACCAGGCACAGTGGATGATGTAGAGCACAAAAACCAAGGGCTTTTACACATGTATAATACATATCACACATCTGCTGTATTTGTTTCTCTGATTGTTCTTTTAGCAATTATTGCATATCCACCCACATATATATGTGTATATATATATTTATATGTATATTTCTTAATACATGTATAAGGTATATATATATATAATGATATATACATACATATATTTAAAGATTCACATATGTATATATATATATATACACATACAAACACACACACATATATATATATTTATACACATACATATATATGTATATATATAAACATGTAGATGACTCATTTGTGGTTCCCATCCCCAGGATCTTCCAGACCTTGGCTTCGTAGTGGCGGGCCATGCACCTTGGAAGTGTGGAGAGGTCAAGATAACAACAGAACAAACAGAATTTATGGGAATCATGGGATTATATTGGAATATCATGGGAACGTGGGAATAACATGGGATTATAGTGCTGCAGTGGAACATTTCATAGCATATCTAGGTTCCAAGTATTGGTTGAAGGGCAAGTCTGCAGAAAACCCGATTGTTGGGGTAAAAACCAGTGTTTTCGGTTCAAATATGCCATGAAACCAATCCGTTCAGTGATGAAATCCGCAGGCTAAGCCTGCGGAATCAGGTGATGAATCTGAAACCCTCGGACTATGTGGACAAGTCTGCTGGCAGCTGTTCTCCTTCCCTCATGAGTCCCTTAGCTGCCTTAGCTGCCTTAGTACTGCCTTAGCTGCGTTGGCGGGAGGGGAGGTGGCTGGTGGCTGGTGGCTGGTGACTGGACAGGCCTGGATGTGCCACCTCCGAATGGCCCTCTCTTCATCTTTGGGGATCCCTTCCTGCGGAAGCGCCTTGGCAAAGTTGGGGATGCAACAACTTGGAGAATCGGGAGGATGCAAGAAAATTGTTCCGTGCGTCTTTTTTTGCCGCACGGATGGGATCATCTTGACGCACCACATGATCTTGGATGATCTTGGCATATTCTGGTCAGCAGTGCGAACACACGCGCACCGCGACGATGAACAACTCAGTTTCTTGCGGGATTTAAGCCAATTTAAGTTACTGACCATCCAAGAAATGGTCTCATCCCCATTTCCAGACCGCCAAAAAGGGGGTTTGGCTTGGTACGTGTCCCATCTGATATCCCCGTTTTGTTGAGTGATGTGTATATACATGGGGTATGTGACGAATACCAACCCTGGATGGCTAGCCTTCGTGAACCAAACATAGCAAAGAGAAATCCCCTGGATGGCAATGGAGTCAATGGAGCTTTTGATGGGAAAATCATCTAGAAAAGCGTCATGTCCATTGCCAGGTTTGATTAGCAGAGGGCAACCTTGGTTGATTAATTGCTGAGCTTCCCCTTGCGAACTGATTCAAGGGAACATCTGCAGGACACCTCAATATTTTGGATTATATGTTGGGCTATATAAACATACAAAAACCGTGTTTTCTGGTTAGACCTTTCACTTTTCCCTCAAGCCAATCCAATTGATTGGATTATCAATGCAGTTATTGCTTTGTTAGGTAGCCAATTACATTTGGTAGATATTCAATTTATGCTTGGTCAAACCAACATCTATCCCTTTGTCAATCCGTTGTTATCATGGGGATTCGACCACTTCCCCCCAAATTGACCGCCCCCAATAGCTATATAGTTGATAAGCCCTTAGTCGTGTTTTATAACCACACGATCTATGGACATGCTACCATGAACCATGGTTAACCGTAGTTCACCATGGTTAACCGTAGTTATACAACCATAGTCAACCATACTTAACCGTCATTAACTGTCATTAACCTACAATCTCTGACCAACTCAGCTAAGACTTTGCCTGGCAGGTTCTACTCCGCCTACGATCTGCGCCGCCAGCGTGTGGGCTTTGCCGTGGCACGCCACGTGGGAGTGCCAGAAGAGAAGGCCCAGGCGCCAGATGGACACTGGGGGATGTACCGCATGAAAATATGTGATTCCTACTCCTCACACGCACACACATATATATATTATATATATACACATATGAATATATATATATATGTGTGTGTGTGTATGCATATATATATGTATATGTACAGTTTTTGTTTTTTCAGATCTATTTATGTAGGTATGTATTTTTTCCTTTTCTGTATGGATATAAGGCAATGATTACATATTAATATGCAACTGGGACTGCAGGGATCTCTGCCACATTCGAGCTGCTTTTCTTTTGAGTTTTCTTTCTACCTTCTCCATTTTTAGCTCTATCTCTATCGCCATCTCTCTCTACACACACAAATGCATATATACACATTTATAAAGATGGGTCAGATAGGTATATGTAGCTTTGTCTTCGTCTCCTCATTTTGTTGGTGACCTGACACTTGGGTGCCAGGCCTTACTGGTTTCATTGAGCTCTGGCAAGGTCCAGAAGGCAGGTGCCTTCCTGTCGAAATAGATAGCAGTGCCGAAGAAAACAGCTTCAAGAAGGAGCTGAGGAAAAGAGTGAAGAGCGGTGCCTGCTGCATGCAGTTTTGATCCATATAGACTCTATATAGACCGCCCTCAAATTTTCCGTGGACTTTTGCCCGCCTTTCTAGTTGGATTGTTTGACTTTGCATAGTGGTTTACCTATAGACACAAGAGCTGAGGCGCAACGGTACCTCATTGTGGCTTGTGCTGCGACCCATGTGAGCAAGCCATGGTAGCCCTCAAGACTACCAAGGTCTGCCAACGCTTTCAAGGGCATCCAGGGCGAGAACATGAGATACATCCAGGCCCATGCTGAGCAAGAGCCACTAGCTGTGGCACTCTATACGGGTGGCTATCCAGCTGAAACACCTTCCCTTTTTTCGCAGGGGTGGGCAAGGTATCCAGGGTATCCAAGATTGCCAACTGTGACCAAATCCCATGGTGACCCAGCCATTGACCCTCCAGCCATTGCACAAGGGTGAGTCGGGCATGAAGATCCACGTTGAGGATGGGAGCTGCCGAAGAAATTGGAATTGGATGGTGATGTCGAAGATTTTCACCGCCGTATAACGTGGTAAATCCAGTATTAGGCCGCTGTTCCGTTAACTGCGTTCCCCCCCTTTTTTTTGACCCCCACCCTGAACCCGTCATGGAACTTTGCTTGTCAGGACTTTGTGGTTGGTTCGGGTGAGATGGCTGAGCAGGCACGGGGAGATTTGTGGTAAAAAAGTGAACCAGGGAAATCAATGGCCATTTCGGATACCTGAACTGCAGGTGTCCGCAAGTACTGTACCATATAAAAAATATAGTTGAACATATCTAAGATCATATTTTGGGAAACCTTCAACTTTGATGGCGGAGTGATGATTTGATGTATCAGTTCCAAAGATTTCCAAGGGTTCAACTATACTTCCTTTTGTCAGAATCGCAGGGTGCCTAAGGTGCTGGGTTTACCCAACACACATTTTAATGAGGACGATTAACCACTGGATTTGGTGAGCCCTGGTCGTATCCTGTACGCAGGTCGTATCTTGCGCTGGACCGCTGAGGGGCGCGGGGCTCAGGAGATCATTTCCACGTGGGGATGGTGTTTAAACATGTTTAAACATGTTTAATACCATCGAAAACAATCTTACAGTAAAATCCCTATGATTTGCCATAACAGTTGGGGGAGATTCGCGTGCCCAGCTATTGTATGCTATTGTGATGTGCCCAAAAGGTGGCGAGTAGAATGCCACAGTGGTTTGTAACTGGGGCTCCCGATATCTCCCACAGGTGGCTTGAAGCTACTCACCAAACTCTGAGATCATGCCACAATTTCGCGCAGTGCATGGCCTAAGGGCTGGAAGTGGTGGTTTCCTTCCTCTTAGAGAAGGCAGGGCGGCCTCCCAGAAGGGTTTGTGTGAAACTAGGGTACCCATGGGTACCCCTAAATCATCCTAAATCCACCGGTCAATCACCATGTGTTCCCCGTAATTGTTAAATGGCCTTTTTTCTGAAAAGGCACCCTGGCATAAAATCCATAGCGAGCCGGAAGGTCGCCGAGGTGTCTTCTCAGTGCCGTCCCCAGGAAACATCCAGCAATGATCACTTTTCTTGGTGGTATCTGTGGTATCCCACCCGATTCATCGGCCAGGCTTTACCCTCCCCGATCCTCCCCGGTTGACATGATATGGGAGTCGTCCTAAAACCCATGCAAGGCTTTTAGTATCCGAGTGACATCTGCAGATATGGATGTGTGTGTTTTGCTGCAGTGGCGAAAGGCCGCGAAAGCGCGGCGTAAGGTCTGCGAAAGGTCTGAATACCACTATTTACAAATATATAGTATTCATATTTGGCAGTTTTCCTTGCAGAATTGCCACAGGATTCATGTTTCGTATTGTCCCATGTTCTGACTATTGGAAGTGGCACCCTGCATGATTGGCATAAATTATAAAAGACACCCTTGCATAAACATTTAGTTTCTGAAATTTCATTTTTTGGACGAGAAATCTGCGAAAGGTTCGCGAAAGGTCCGCGAAAGGTCCGCGAAAGGTTCGCGAAAGGCGAATCCTCCCGGACCCAACCCTGGCCCAAAATGGGCTAGTTCTTTCTGCATTGTCGCAACTTCAAAATCTTTTTCAAAGAATGGGTGCAACTGCAAAACCAATGTCCAGAAGCCAAACGCCCTCACAGGAACTCTGACTTGCCCAATGCCATCGACTCTGTGGACTGGAACAGACTCATCACGCACAGCAGGAATGTAACTAGAGCAGCTTTGAAAACGGATCTCCAATCAGTAATGTTTTTAAATACAATCCTCCTGTGAATCTTTGTGACGAATTTGCACACGAAAACCCGATCATAATCCCATGTCCCGATTCTGCTGGGGCGCGAAAGGGCAGTTTTCGGGTACCATAATTTTGGACAACCCCCATATGACATGGATGATCATGGATGCAGCGCTGCTACGGTAGCAGTAGATGTGTGTGAAGCTAAGGCCATGGTTTAGGGACTGGGCCTTTAATCACAAAGCTTGCTGCTGCCTCAGAATTGTAGCCCGTTTGTTTGCATCAGCAGCAAGACCTGGTCACCACTAGATGATTGAAATACATGCAAATGCGCAGTGAAAACATCGTCACTCAAACATCACCTAGTCCCGTCCGGTCAAACCACTCATCCTGCTCGTAAATATAATTACGTGCAGACATCGGAGGCCAGAGATTTTCCCATGGGGTTGCAGGAGGAATGGCTGTGAAAATCGGTTTGGACTTGCAATACTGACTCTCCTGGCATTTCTTATCACTTACTTCAAAAGGCCGGCGACTTGTGCGCAAATCAAAGCTTGGATTCCACACTTGCTACAGAGGCCCCGGAGGAATTCCAGGGCAGGCTGGGAGAGAGGGGCTGTAAGACGAGCGATTGGAAACAGAAAAAACAACGCCTGTTCCACCTAGGATCATACAGCATGGGTTGGGCTACAGAACGTGAAACATAATGCAACTTGCCAATAGTTGGTCCTGAAGTCCCATCTCCCAAACTTACTGGTGCAATTGTGAACTCTTTGATCGAAGAGTGTAGCAGACCGTGTGCCCAAGGCTTCATTCACGTACTTCAGACTTATTTAAAATGAGGCCGAACACCTGTAATACATTTGCAATACTCAAAAGTTGGCTCCCGATGAACTCGTGCTGCCAATCATTGGCTAGTATCATAGCTTCAGATTCTCGATTCATTCTTGAGCATGTCAAAAAGCCGTGACCCGCATCGTGCTTAAGGCGCCGAAGGGTGGCGCTGGTGGCCATGGTGGCCTGAAGGGTGGCCTGAAGGGGCCACCAGTTGGAGGCTGCAGCCTGGGTGGCTATGGTCCAGCAGGATATGCCAAAGGCGGCAAGGATGCAGGTGGGGACACGACGGGAGACGGCTTTGAGGGCTCAGTTGTGATGCTGTACAAGATCATTTGGCAAATGGAATACCATATATATATAATACATACATAACATGTAATGTATATGCATGCACATTTGTATGAATACTGTATTTTGACATATGCATTTTCCATTTGAGTTGTGATGAGTTTGTATTGTTGGATGTCAGAGGGTGACTTGTTGCGGAAGATTGTTTCTTCGTGGTTGTTTGGTTCGACCATCCTCATGAGTAACACCAGTTTCATTGGCAAACACCAGCAGTGCCCAGGGAAGATGGGTGGCAAAGGCACTGAAACGGATCATGAGTGAGTCGGAGTAGATGGGAAATCATCGCAGTTGAGGGTATCCTGATATACATACATACATACATACTGTTTTGAATTACACAAACACACATATACATATTATATGAATGAACGTCCTCGGAAGTAAAGATGAATTGGTGGACACCTCTTTTTCTGTAAAGTTTCGGCTTCAGCATATGCAGACTTGTAGTGACTGCCAGCAATACCTGGCGGAGATCGACGGTCTGTGTGCCTTTTGCCGGTCTGTGCAGCGGCTGACCTCCGAGCTTCGGCGATTGGGGCCTTGCCTACGTGGTTGGGCCATTGATCAAACCCGCGTTTGGGTTTCGATAGTGCAGGAGGAGGCTGGGAAGTGGGAGAAAGGGGCTGAAGCAGCCCGGAAAGCCGCCGAGGCAGCTGCCACTTCGAAGGCAGCCTCTCCTGTCACTTTTACCCAGCCTGTTCCTGAGGCGGGGGATCAGCCGGCAAAGGAGGAAGTTAAGTCTGAAAAAAGGGAGCCTTTGGCTCCTAAAGGGAGAGAGGTCTCTCCTGGGAAAATCTCAAGCCCTTCAGAAGGAATTCCAGTAGAGAACGAAGAGTTACTGCCGCCCGCCGTCAAGCAGGAAGATATAGAAGAGGAGCCCAGAAGAAAGGAAAAGAAGACCAAGGAGGACATTGCTGCCCCAGAGGAGCGGAAAGAGAAAAAAGACACAAAAACAAAAAAGGAAAAAGCAAAGAAGAAAAGCAAGAAAAGTCGTTCCCGCCCGAGGAGGAGTAGAAGAGATAGCCGAAGGCCAAGGAGAGATAGAAATTCCAGGCCCACTTCGAAGGGGGGGGAATCTCCTAGGAGGGGAGATTGCAGACCTCCAGAGCCAGCCAACCCTCCATCTAGCTGGAGAGGATATTCACAACATCGAGACTATTTCCAGTCGTACTACTTGCCGCCAGGCAACTCAGATCGGTACGACGCCAATTGGGGCGAAAACAAAGGGCAGAAGAAGAGGAAGAAGCAGCAAGAGTGGCGAGACGCTCAGTTTGAGGACCGATACTACCGGTATCGTTGATGGCATTGCGCAGACCAGCTGCAGTCAAAGCCGCAGCAAAAGACGCAGTACGAGTCAGAGGAGTGTTGAGGAGGCCGGCCAGAGCCGAGGAGGAGAGAGATCCGGGCGTGAGAGGGGAGAACTTGGAAGATCGCTTCATTGCAGGCGAGTTGGTCGAGGCATCGAAGGTGCCGTTGGGCCGGCTCACCCAAGGAACTCTCCTGGTGTGCGAGGGAGAATATTGGGGAGCACCTTGCAAGGTATGTGGGGTGATCCGGAGTTTGAAGATAAAGGGAGCATCGGATGTGGAGCTCGCGGTGAAAGCCGAGGGCACGGACCACGAAGATCTCCTAAAGTGGAACTCCGAAAATCCCGAAGCGGCCATTCGAGTTCATCTATGCGGAGGAGCCTGTCCAGCCAAGATCGAAGCCAAGGACTTGATCCACGCTCAAAAAGTCCGTTTAAAGACACGAGAAGACGAAGGGGGATGGACAGAGAACATGAAAGGGTCTCTGGACGAGCTGGCCGCCTTGAGGAGAGACAAGGCCGCTCCCGGTCCAGAAAGAGAGGAGAGAGAGAGGGCTCAGAAGGCCGATGGCAAAGAAAGAGAAAAGAAAAAGAAGAAGAAGAAGAAGAAGAAGGCCAAGCGGAGCAGAAGTACCAGCGAGACCAGTCAAACAAGGGAGAAAAAGACTCCAAAAAAGAAAGTGGAATCACAAAAAAGTCTGTCTCAAGTTTTTGGGACGACGGCCTTGGATCCAGATCCCAAGGTACGGAGGAGGTTGCTGAAGAGAGTAAAGAGGAAGATGCGAAAGAAGAAGGACGAAAGTTCCCCAAGCAGTGGGAGCTCCTTGGAGGGGAGCTCGAAGGCATCGAGCTTGGGGAGCAGCGAATCTGGCCAGCTCTTCGAGGACAGTCACAAGGTGAGGAGCATCAGCCGGAAGGCCCCGGGCGCATTGACCTATGGTATGGTCAAGGAGATGCAGCGTCAGCTGCTCACATCGGCGGGCACGGTCTGGGAGAGGGACCGGTCGGCGGTACCGCCAATAGCCTTGCAGTACTACAGGAGTCAGCTTTCCAGCAGGCTGACAGGAGGAGCTGCTCGGGAGGCCTTGACGTTGAGCTGGGCCCTAGACCTAGCATTGCAAGGGAAAGTGGCCAATCTGGCCGATTGCTTGTCTCAGCGGCTGAAGAGCATAGAGATGAGCGCAGGCGGCACAAGTTGGATGGTAGCCCAGCGGGTGGAGGTGTTGCCCCCAGAGAAGGGCCACCTATCGAGTCGCGCCGAAGCGCAAGCTGCGGCCAAAGAAAACAAGGACGAGTTGAAGGCAAGGAATTTGGGCAAAGGAAAGGAAAAGGGCAAGAGCGACAGCGCCTACCCCGCATGGCGCCCCGGAGGAAAAGGGGAGCAGAAGGGGAACGACAAAGGAAAGAACAAGAAAGGAAGCGACAAAGAGGAAGGGAAGAGAGGCTCCTAGACAAGGGAGCAGCGGAAGGAAAGAGTCCAGAGAAAGAAGCACTCCTGGAGGAGTATAAGGGAGTGGAAAAAGAGAAACTCCTTAGGAGGGGAGTGAGTGAAGAGAAAAGAGAGGAGGACCAGTCTCTCCTGAAAACAACAAAGGGAGTGAAGACTGGCTTGTCATATCAAGATGACCCTTGCGGCCCTTTTGAGATCCAAGGGATGAGCAGAATGACTCTGACGCCTGGTGAGGCCGGGTTCTTGAGTACAGATGCCGCTGGTGGTGCAAGGCCGACTACCAGTGCCCAGTTTTCCAACAAAGAAGATGGGACCACTTTGGAAGATGGCTGCTGTGGTAATGCGGCGGCGCTGGCAGCTGCTAGCCCTAGCATGGTGGGCTTTCGTCGAAGTCTTCTAGGAGCTGCTGAAGACTGCTTCCGTGCCGGTGGTCCTGAAAAAGACGCGCGCAGCCGTGATGAAGGGTCTGGGGAGGGCCAGTTTTCAAAAGAACTGGGTGGTTGCAAGTTTTCTGCTGTTTCCCCCCTCCTTAGGTCTCTGTTGATTTCAACGGAAAAAGAGCTTAAGTTTAGACGCGGCGAGACCCAGACCACGGGTGACGTTTTTTCCGTTACCCACCAACATTGACCTATTACGCGGGGTGGGGAAGCTGGATGAGGATGCCCTCCTGCTGCTTAGTTGTGTTTGTCTAGGTTTAAACAGCTACGCTGGAACCGCGTTAGAGTCAAGTGCACCTTTGAGTAAGGTTCAGAAATTTTTCCTGGAAGGATTGGTCGCATCAGTGGAAGATGTGATGGGATGGTCTGAAGTGTTTGGAGATATTTCCTGGCAGAGTTTTTTCCAGCTGAAAAGCCTAGACTATGTGGGTGATGAGGTGGCTACAGCCCGGGTCACATCTTGGGCAAACCTGCAATCGGCAATCCCTGTGGAAGTAGGCAGTGTGCCTTTGAGTCAGTGGACCATTTTGAAGACTTTTTACTGGATGAAAAATCCAGGACCTACACAAGGCCCCCCAAGGTGATGGTGACGGAGCACGACTGGGATGGGGTCTGTGAGGGCCTTATCTCGGCTGGAATATGTGGAGTCATGGCAGAAAATGAATTGTTTCAAGTAGAGGGAAAACCTCTGCTGAATGGATTATTCGGCGTGTCCAAAGGAGAACAAGTAGATGGGCATGACGTCCATCGCTTGATCATGAATTTGATCCCGCTGAACCATATATGTCGGGGCATTCAAGGAGATGTGGCTACACTGCCAGCCTGGTCGTCATCAGGGCCCCTGTTTTTGATGCCTTCACAGCAGTTGTTGATCACCAGTGAAGACGTGAAATGTTTCTTTTATATTTTCCGTGTTCCTCAAGATTGGCATCGCTTTTTAGGTTTCAACAAGGTGGTAAACCCCCGTTTCCATCCGGGTAAGGCAGGACGGCACGTCCTGGTGGCGAAGGTATTACCCATGGGATTTAAGAACAGCGTGAGTTTGGCACAGCACATCCACCGAATGATTGTCAAAGGTGCCTCACGGAGAGTCTCAGGTCATCTGGAAGGTCATCAAGAGTTGAGGAAGGATAGACCCTTCCCAAATTCAGGAAATATTCATCGCGTGTATTTGGATAATTTCGATGAGTTGGAAAGGGTGGATGCTAAGTTGGCTGAGACCATACGAGGTTCCCCAACTCCGGGTGTGCTTGCTCTTAGGCAAGAGTATGAGCATTGGGGAATACCCCGGCATCCAAAGAAAGCTGTTCAGAGAGGAGTCAAGGCGGAGGTTCAAGGTGCAATTGTCGATGGAGCTCTAGGATGTGCTTACCCAAAACCTGAGAAGGTTTTAAAGTACACACAATTGGCTCTATTGACTGTGACAACGGGCAGGTGTAGCCAGAAGGAAATGCAGGTGGTCGCGGGAGGGCTGGTTTACCTCGCCACTTTTCGGCGTGCCCTGATGGGTAGCCTTAACAGTATCTGGTCATTTATTGAAGATTTCAACCACTACCCGGCGGTCATTCGGCTGGAAATCCCAGAGTTGGTGAAGGTTGAGATTTTGCGTTTCCTCATGCTGTTACCGCTGGCGCGCATGGATTTTCGGGCTATGCCTGATGAAAAAGTCACCGCTAGCGATGCTTCATCAACAGGGGGTGGTGTTACAGTGAGCCGAAGTCTCAGCAACATTGGCCAGATCGCTGCCTCCTGCCCAGTTAGGGGAGATGTGGCGGAAGTTGAGGATATGACTCAGGTTTTAACAATTGGTATCTTTGATGGCATAGGTGCCCTTCGGGTTGCAGCTGATGCTGCAGGGCTTCCCGTAGCGGGACACGTTAGCATTGAGATCAACAAAGAGGCTTCAAGAGTACTGGAGTCACGATTCCCGAGCACGGTTTTCGTGGATGATGTCAATCTGGTCACAGCTGAGACGGTAAAGGAATGGGCATGCCAATTCACTCAGGTAGGGCTCGTGATAATTGGGGCAGGGCCACCCTGCCAGGGGGTCAGTGGTTTGAATGTAGACAGACGGGGAGCCTTACGGGATCACCGAAGTAAGCTCTTTAAGTATGTGAGTCGCATTCGGAAGTTGGTGGCAAGGCAATTTGCCTGGGCGCAGGTGCACTGCATCATGGAATCTGTACAATCAATGGACGAGCAAGATCGTCAAGTGATGAGCATGGACTTTGGTGACCTGCCTTGGGCCATTGACGCTCAAGGAGTCAGTATGTCACGCAGGCCGCGCCTCTATTGGCTCAGCTGGGCTCTGGTACCAGAGAGCAACGCAGAAGTGCACCCGCCAAAAACCTCCGAATGGAAAGGTTTTGGTGAGGTAAAGTTGTCAGGTAGAATAGAAGAGTCCCGGTATCTGACCCCAGGGTGGACCCGTGTCACCTCTGAACCTTTACCAACTTTCACCACGTCCCGTCCTAGATCTCACCCAGGTCGACGCCCTGCCGGGATAGATAAACTGAGCCCAACGGAAAGGCAATTATGGCAGGATGACCTCTTCCGGTTCCCACCATACCAGTACCAAACATGTTTCCATGTCCAGAAAGGTGGCGCCTCTCGCCTGGTGAATGTGGAAGAACGTGAAGTGATCCTAGGGTTCCCTAGGCATTTTACCGTGGCCTCTCTCCCGAAGAGCGAGCAAGGGACCACAGCACACCAGGACTTGAGGCTCACTCTCCTGGGCAATAGCTGGAACGTCACGGTGGTGACCTGGTTATTGGGACAGCTCTGCCAACCGTTGGGCCTCATTCCATGCCTCAGTGTCCAGCAGGCCATTGAACGAACTTCTCCAGGAGCCACGGTGGACTTAGCCTCCTTTCTGACAAGACCGCCCATGGGAGGACCGAGGAAACACTTGGTGGCTGGGAAGGAACTCCAATTAGTCAAAAAGCTTTTGAACCTGGTGAGTATCAAAGGTGAAGATATTCTCATCTCTGCTCCCAGTGAAGATACACTTCGGTACCAACGCCTTAGGGCTAGCATACCCTCGAACCTGTGGGTTTGGAGAACAGTGTGTGGCTGGACTTGGAAAGGCTCCAAAGAACACATTAACAACCTTGAAATGAGGGCGGTGCTGTGTGCCTTGCATTGGCGCATTCTAAAATTGAGGACCAGGGGGCGCAGAATAGTGCATCTTACTGACTCCCTCGTGTGTCTCCATACGTTGACTCGCGGTAGAACCAGTAGCCGCAAGTTGAGAAGAACCGTGGCTCGAATCAATGCTTTGCTCCTTCTTTCCCAAAACATGGCGGTGTGGACTTACGTTCATACTGCTCTAAATCCGGCGGATGCGCCCTCCAGGGGGCGCTTTCGGAGGAAATGGGGAGGAAAGTGAGCCAACACATGGAAGGAAGAAGCAAAGCAGAAAGGCAAGCCACGAGAGCCCAATTGGGGTCACTTCAGCAGTTGACAGTACAGCCCAAAACCCGTGAGAGGTACAACCGAGCTATCAATCGTTTCCATGAGTATCTTTCAACAAATGAAATCACTCTGCCGTACAAGCGAATTTTCCTTGATCCAATTGTTTCGGACTATTTAGAGTTTTTATGGAGTCAAGGGGAGGGATGCAGTTTGGCGTCAGACACGTTGGCAGGCCTACAAGACAAGGATCCCCATATCAAAGGGCACCTCGCCAATAGTTGGCGGTTGCTCAAAACTTGGGTAGCCAATGAAATACCATGCAGAGCTCCTCCATTAACAGAGGTTGCTTTGCAGACGCTTGTTGGCCATTCTCTCTTTGCCTGCCAACCTGTTTTCGCCTTATCCCTCCTACTCGCATTTTATGGACTCCTAAGAACTGGAGAATTGTTAGGGTTGCATAACAAGGATATTTCCCAGGCCGGCCCTACCTCCGTAGCCATCATTTCCTTGGGATTGACCAAAGGAGGACGACGGGCGGGTGCCGCCGAGAGCGTCACCATTTCTGAGGAAGAAACTCTACGAAGACTTTGGCAATGGAAACAAGCCACCAATCCTGGCACTGCCTTATGTCCAGCGCCCCATCGATGGCGGAAAATGTTTAATGACACCATCTCCTCTTTAGGACTCTCCGAGTATCAATATAGGCCGTATAGCCTACGGAGGGGAGGTGCGACATTTTATTTTCAACGCCACGGGCAGTTGGACCGTTTGTTGATCCAGGGTAGATGGCAATCTTCTAAAACTGCCCGGTTATATATCAACAGTGGCTTAGCCACTCTTGCCGAAACTGAGCTAAGGCTCACTCCTCATGCGCGCGTGTTTCACAAACAATTTCTTCACTCCATGTCTTCTCCCTTGCCAAAACTTGAGCTTGCCACTCGTGGCAGGGCAGGGGGAACTGGGAGTAAGAGCTCGAAAAGCTCTAAAGCAGCGAAATCAATGAAAAGAGAAAAAAGGTAGGTGGACTGGCTGTCCCCTGGTCTGGCAGGGCCCAGTACTACCTAACATTCTTTGGCTCATTTTTCCCTCGGTCTGGCGAGGAAAAATGGGGGGAATGTAAAGCCATACTCTCAAGAGAGAGAGGTAGGCTGAGAGTGTGGGAGTGCTGCAAAGTTTAAACTTTAATTTTCAGGCCAATGGAGTTTGCTACTCCCCTTTTGTGTTTTTTATAACAAAGCAGGTCTTGCCGTGTCAAAAAGGAGCGAAACCAATGAATCTTTGAATGAACGTCCTCGGAAGTAAAGATGAATTGGTGGACACCTCTTTTTCTGTAAAGTTTCGGCTTCAGCCCCGCAGCCTCCCTCCCAGCAAGATCAAAAAGGGAGTAAGAGCTCGAAAAGCTCTAAAGCAGCGAAATCAATGAAAAGAGAAAAAAGGTAGGCGGACTGGCTGTCCCCTGGTCTGGCAGGGCCCAGTACTACCTAACATTCTTTGGCTCATTTTTCCCTCGGTCTGGCGAGGAAAAATGGGGGGAATGTAAAGCCATACTCTCAAGAGAGAGAGATAGGCTGAGAGTGTGGGAGTGCTGCAAAGTTTAAACTTTAATTTTCAGGCCAATGGAGTTTGCTACTCCCCTTTTGTGTTTTTTATAACAAAGCAGGTCTTGCCGTGTCAAAAAAGAGCGAAACCAATGAATCTTTATATATATATGTATGTATTTACAATATATATATATATATATGTATTTATGTATTTATGTATATATGCATATATATATATATATATGTGTGTGTATGTGTATATATCTATATACTATATACATTATATATGTACACACACACACATATCACTTTCATATTCTTGGATTTGCTATTGCAATCTGGAATGATTTGCTTATTGCAATCTGGGATTGTTTGAAGGCGATGGAAAAATATGGGATTGCCAAATTTTGCTTCTTGAATTGCCCGAGGATTGACCAAAAATGATTGTTGTTGAAGCTGGGTTCTGCCGGTCCTATGCGCGAATCCTGGGCAGGCTATGCTTCAGTGCAGCCCTCGGGTGAAAGAATGGTGAAAGCTGGTGGCCAAGGGGTGTCGCCGTGGTCGGATGGCATTGCTGTTGCAGGCCCCTGTGACGCCCGCGGTGCGGAAACCCAGTCGCTGTGACATTGATCTCGAGTGATGGTTGGGTAGTTGGAATCACGTTGCAGCGTGCTTGTAGTCAATCAAACTCATTTATGCATGAACTGGCGGATTCTTGGGTGTGTGATGATTCTTCTTTTGTTCCATGCGCGTGTTTATGAGCCCGCAGCGCTCGGCTGTTTCTCCAACAGAAGGCTCTGCAATTCACCATGGGCGGGGTGAACAGCAAGGCGGACGGCGAAGTGTTTCCTCAGGACGCGCCGTCCATTTGGAGCCATTGGCCCGGGCCCCGAGGCGATGAGGATGCCGATGAAGGTCAGTTGCAGTTGCCGCCCTGCAAAATCATCTCCGACTTTGGAACCTTTGATGGTCCTATGCCCACTGGGATGTCCACTGGCCACAGCTATTTGAAGGAGATTGTGGAACTTCCAAGGGAGACCAAACCGATTGTGGAGCTGCCAAAACCGAAGGAGCAGTCGAATGTCAAGATCAAGGAGCAGTCCCCCAAGGCTTTGCCTGCTACGGAGAAGACCGAGAAGACGGAGGTGCCTGAAACTGAGGTACACCCAGCGGGCCCGCAGGAACTGCATGGCAAGAGAAAGAGTGACTTGGTGGAAAACTAGAAGCCTGTTGACAGACATGATCTTGATTGACCATTGAAACTCACATCCTAGTTTCCGTAGCTTCGGTCTCAGACTAGGCATTGGTTGATGTTAAACGTGCGATGTCCTGGAAAGCCATCTCTCGGCTTCCACTCTCGTCGTCGTAGCCCAAAATTTGACAATTCTTCAATATTTGTTTTTCATTCCCTCTCCTGTGGGAGCAAGTTGCTGGAGGCTTGCTTATTGGGATCAACTATTTTGGTTCCTCCAATGAGCTTCATGGTTGTGTGGACGACGTGCATCGGATGTTGCCATTGGTGGAGCAGTGGGGCTTCGCGCAGGAGGGCTGCAGCCAAGTGCTGTTGCTCGGCAAGTCTTCGGGATTAGCCAATTTATTTGCAGGATTATGTGAACTTTGGTGACGCAACGATATAACTTATGAATCTAGGTATATTATGATAATATTATGTGCATAAAATATGTATGTATATACATACACAATATACATAGGCCTCTCCACCCCTGAGAATTGCCTGAGAACTGGAATGGCAATCACATGGTACGGATAGCCAACTCATGTTGACATCCCTGCCATGTGCTGGGGCGTGGGGGGGCAATAACGGCGATCAATGACATCATTCAATCAATCAGACTTGAAATTGATGTCAGGAGGGAAAATGAGAGCAGTGGATGACATGACGAGAAGTTGATGACGCAAACATGTTAGGGACAAATTGTGATCGCCAGGTGAGGGTGAGAGTATTGATAGTTCCAAGTTCCAAGAGGTCGGACCATGCTCTAATACATCCATATTCAAGTTTATTTGAGATATTCTAAACTTATGCATCTTTATTTTCTAGCCCTACTTGTCACATTGACATGTTGTGGTCCATTGACGCCAGGCTCGACTCACCAGGACACCACAAGCCTCCCACGAAAGCCAACATCCAAGCGGCGATCGCCTGGCTGGTGCAAGGTGCTGCGCCGGGGGACACCCTGTTCTTCCACTACTCGGGGCATGGTGGCCGTGTGCCTCGCACCGATGGCCGTGGCGAGTGGCATGAAACCCTTTGCCCAGTGGATATGGATGAGGCGGGGATGATCCATGACAACGAACTCTTTGAGATGTTGGTGAAACCTTTACCGAAAGGTTGCCGACTCACATGCATTTTGGATGCCTGTCACAGTGCTGGTGCTTTGGATCTTCCTTTCATTTTCACTGGAACGCCAGAAAATATCAAGAAGGCGATGGCTGGTGAAGCCATTCAGATGCTTGGTTCCCATGGTCAAAGTTCATTTTAGTCTTTAAACAGTTTTGAACTAAAATCATCTTGGTTTCTCCCAAGACATTCCTGTGATCATCCCTGTGATCATCCCTGTGATCATCCCTGGGATCTGCTGTTGGTTCTTTTTTTTTGGTCACTCTTAGGATGGCGTTATCCAAGAACTGGGTGCGCGACTTCGAACTAATGGAGGCGGACAACCCCATGGCCCTGCTGGGGGACGTCGCCTCTGCACCTGGGAGGCGATGGACTTGAAGCTTTCCCCACGAGGATCCATGAGGATCCTGTATGATCCTGTTAGATTTGAAGATTTTGAAGCCTATTCCGGCCCCACGTTCCTGCAACTGCCCCCTCTGAAGCATTCTAAAGGTTTTTCTGTTGTGTCACTCAAGTGCTGAAAATGATTGGGTCATTTCTTTAGCATTGGACTCCTGGACACTGAGGTTGGTCTTGGCTTGTGGGATATGTGGAAGCAATACAAAGCCAAGACTGAAGCCAATCAGGACGTTGACATAAGCTTTGCCGTAACACCCACTGATACACTAGTTATCTTGCGTTGACAAGCCTGTGAGCATTGAGCGTCCCAAACTACCAGCTTAGAAAGTTGGTGTATCTCGCAGTAAAGCCAATGGGTTTGAGCTTCGCTCAGGTTTTTCAAAAAGCAGACCCAAACAGAGAAGACTGCAGAAGTGCACATCATTCGGCGTTGCAAGTCGGCACTGGATCCCGGTTCCCAACCTTCGGCCATTGCAGGACGGCTTCTGTCCTGATGAGCCGGGGAACATCGGAATGACCTCAGCCGAGGTTGTGGCGATCACCGGCTGTGCCTCCAATCAGACACTCAGTTGCACTTGCTGCGCGCGAAATGGCGATGGCTCAACATAATTGGCCCTTTCCATATTTAAACATATGATAACATATGTATATAAATCATTTGAAATTGTATGGTTAGGCCGGTTGCAGCAGGTAAAGAACCAACTCGAATCCTTTCATCAATCTTTTTGGGTAATATATTTTGGTACTTTTAAAGCCACATCCATTATGGCCATTATGGCCATTATGGCCATGGTCAATCACCCTTGATGGGTCTGTGGAAAGTTCGCTGTCGGAGGACCAGTGCGGACGTGGGGGATGTGCACTCGCAGTTCGACTTGAAGAACACCGCCCATGGAGGCAGGAGACCGGGATGATTGGAATCCTGATGGAAGACTGGGGATATCTTGGGATCTGACGGGGGGTATGTCCTCCAGTAAAGAAACACAAGAAGCATGGCAATGGATATGATGTTCCCGAGCTCGCTGTTGCTAAAGGTAGGGTCATTTCAGTGAGTCTTTGTTTTTCGCAACCGTTCATACGTCACGCTGGAAGTATTATACGATTTGGAACACGATTTCATCACCACAGTAGAAAAATCATTTAAAGGTATACCATAGTTTTACACTGTCTAGTCACAAGATACTTATATATTTGTTTCGATTTGGTATTCTTTTGTAATAATTTGACATATGCAGAAATATACACATACATACACACACGCATATATATATATATACAATATATATATACAATATATATATATATATGAAATATATCGCACGCACACACGCGCACACACACACATATATAATATGACATACATACATACGTACGTATGTACGTACATACATACATACAGACATACAGACAGACAGACAGACAGACATGCATGCATGCATGCATGCATACAGACAGACAGACATACAGACATACAGACATACAGACATACAGACATACAGACATACATGCATGCATGCATACATGCGTACATGCGTACATGCGTACATGCATACATGCATACATGCATACATGCATACATGCATACATGCATACATGCATACATGCATACATGCATACATAAATACATGCATACATACATACATGCATACATGCATACATGCATACATGCATGCATGCATGCATGCATGCATGCATGCATACATACATACATAGATACATAGATACATAGATACATACATACATACATACTTACATACATACATACATACATACATACATACATACATACACACACACATACACACACACATACACACACACACATACACACACACACATACACACACACATACACACACACATACACACACATACACACACATACACACACATACACACACACATACACACACATACACACACATACACACACATACACACACATACACACACATACACATACACACACACACATACATACATACATACATAATATATATATACATATGATATATATATAATATATGATATATATATATATATACATGTTTATGCTCTTAAAAACACACACACACATATGTATATATAGATATAGATACCGCATCCTCATTTTGGGGGCCCAAGCATTCGTTTTTTTCGTTGACCGTTGCAGGTCAGATCCGCCAGGGTGGCGCCCGCGGCGATGCGGGCGGCGCGCTGACCTGCGCCTTCATCGAGGCGAGTTGACAGTGGTTTAACTTGACTCTTGTTGTTTATGTGAGTTAGGTTTACATAGACATTTTTAGTTCGTGGGGAAGAGATGTGCTATAACAGGTAATTATTTGTTTAATTATGGGTTTACTTTAGTTGTTGGTGGTTTATGGTAGATATAACTATTTACTGTAAGTAGGGTTGATAAACCAACTGACCAGTGGGGATATGTGCAGCATATCATTCGTATTTATTGGATAATGTACCACCCATACGTACTACCTATATTCAAAGTCATGGGAATATGATATAACTATATAAGCAGCAATACGTCACGAAAGAGTCGCTTACATGTTTGGCCGCCTGGGGCTGTGGACGGTTTTATGTTTTGCTTGTAAAATCTGCAGCTAAAGGAGTTTTTTTGGTGGTGGCGGGGTGCTTTCGGTGAAGAATTTAACGTAGCAACCGGTTTCGCAGGACCCATCAAAAAAACCAATCTAGGTTTGAATACCGGAGTGTATCTCAGACTGGCTATTATTTCATGGCATTTTGCGGCAATTTTCATGGGATAAACCACCAGATTGCTTGAGGATTTCCACCAGCAGTTTGGGAACGAAATGATAGCTGGAGAGTCATTGGCTTAAAGGCGATGTGTCTGGACAAATGGGGGATCGCCAATTCATCGCTATCGAATCATGTGAACACTATTCTCTAAACTGGGGATGGAAGGGGGTTCCAAAGTTTGAGAGATCCTCAGATTTGTAGATGTTCATCCATGTTCATACGTAGATGTTCTTTCCCCACTTGTTGGTTGATGGTGTGCGACAAGTGGTATGCTTGCAGACAGCCAGCCCAAACCTCTATTTTACTGCATTTTGGCATGCTTAAACTAGCCAGCCCCAAACCTCCATTTTTTCCATTGATCATTGGCAACATTGGTGACTGATGGGGACTGACTGGCTCATGAGGCCATGGAGATGGTGCAGAGTCATGGCCCTGATGGGAAGGTGAGCATTCTGGAGCTCTTGGAACACCTCCAGGGGCGCTTGGCGGAAGGCGGCTTCAGCCAGGTGCCGCAGTTGGCCTCGTCCCTGGTGTTGGATTTGAAGCAGCCTTTCTCCTTGACCACGGTCACTTGGAGAATTCATTGTCGGTGATTTTTACATGATTTTAAAAGGATGTTTTTTTTTCTCCTCTTTGAGGTGGGGGTCTAAGCTAGGCTGGAAGGTACTGGCAGGGTGAGTTTTTTTTTGGTTTCTCTTTGTGTTATTGTGACCTTTTGGCCCGGTTTGATCAAGATAAAGAGAGATAGAGAGTGTGTATATATGTATATATATATATATCCAGATGAAGGGCGCACCTTTGCATGTCGTTCGCCTTACGGAGAAGCCTGATTCGAGGTCGTTGGGCAATCGACTGGAAACAACCTAAGTGATGGAACCTCCACCCGAACCTTGCCAGGTGGCGCAGGCGCCTCCAATGGTGGCCTGCTGGGCAGCGTAGGCAACGGCCTAGGCACAGCCCTGGCAGGAAGCGCCTTGGGTGGCTATGGTGAGCCCATGGGAGGAATGGGAATGGGAGGAATGGGAGGAATGGGAGGAATGGGAGGAATGGGAGGAATGGGAGGAATGGGAGGAATGGGAGGAATGGAAGGAATGGGAGGAATGGGAGGAATGGGACCAATGACCTCCCCACCAGTTGCTGATGGTGGCTTCTTCAGCTCCTTGGGAAGCTTGGGCGCTTGGTCTGGGCTGTTTGGAAATCATCAGGAGAATCAGGAGGCCACCGCCGCCGTGCCGGCGGGATATATGTCTGGAGACGAGTATGATGATGAAGTGTTTGATGATGACAACTTTGGGGAGGAAGACTTCGATGACGACTACTCGGACTATGATGAAGATTAGTTGTGCCGATCGTGCCCAGATCATTTTTCAATTTTGCGATCATTAGATTTGACCAATGTACAGATCATGCAAGTGCTCAGTCGGGGGGTTGCTCCACCTGATTCGTGGTAGCTTGGTCGACGAAAAAGCCAGCCTTCACCTTGAAAGCATCTTTAATTAGCATAGGACTTCGCAGAGTCACTAGTTTCTGTATTTCTGGCAGCACAGACTTTAAAACGCCAGCTAGTTTTGAGAGTCACAACGACACTTCTCATCCACTGTCGCCGGTGAGCTGGCGTCTTTCCGATACCCGCGGTACTCCGCAAGACCTAGCTGAAGAGCCAAAAAAGTTTGCTGGAAGTTTGAAGCGGCGTCTTTTTTTTGATCCATTGTCATGTTCTGCCTCGGACAGGACCCCGACACTGACACCCATGAGACAGCAGGACCCCCCTCCCTCAAATCAGGCTGGCATGCAGCTACTGAAAGGCGCGGCAGTGGTAGTTCATTGACCAACTTAGTTAAGAAGAACTGACTTCAATGAAGATCAGTTGATCAGTTGAACCTTCAGGTGGAGCATCATTCGGGCGTGCCATGATTCCATGATATGCCATGGCTTTCCCCCACTTCACCCAGATGGATGAAGGTGCCCTTTCAGCGCTGCCCAGCGAGCTGGCAAATCCCATGGCCACCCGGAGAGAGCTTAGAGAGACATGGGCCTTCTCGGGTTGCTTGAAATTCGAGTTTCGTCACTTCTGCCAACAAAATTATCAAAGAATTGCCATCAGAATCATCATCAGACTCCAGATCCGATGCAAACTCGAATTTGAAGTCGAATGAGAAACACGACCACGACCACGACCACTGCACCACCATCACCATCTCCAGCATCTCCAGCATGTCCAGCATCTCCAGCATCTCCAGCATCTCCAGCATCTCCAGCATCTCCAGCATCTCCTGCATCTCCTGCATCTCCAGCATCTCCAGCATCTCCAGCATCTCCAGCATCTCCAGCATCTCCTCTCCAGCATCTCCAGCATCCCCAGCATCTCCAGCATCTCCTGCATCTTCTGCATCTCCAGCATCTCCAGCATCTCCTGCATCTCCAGCATCTTCTGCATCTCCAGCATCTCCAGCATCTCCAGCATCTCCAGCATCTCCAGCATCTCCTGCAGCTCCAGCATCCCCTGCATCTCCAGCATCTCCAGCATCTCCAGCAGCTCCCAGCTCCACTCCCAGCTCCAGCATCTCCAGCATCTCCAGCATCTCCAGCATCTCCGGCATCTCCAGCATCTCCAGCATCTCCAGCATCTCCAGCATCTCCAGCATCTCCAGCATCTCCTGCATCTCCTGCATCTCCAGCATCTCCTGCATCTCCAGCATCTCCTGCATCTCCTGCATCTCCTGCATCTCCTGCATCTCCTGCATCTCCAGCAGCTCCAGCAGCTCCAGCAGCTCCAGCAGCTCCAGCAGCTCCAGCAGCTCCAGCAGCTCCAGCAGCTCCAGCACCTTCCTGCATCCTCCTGCATCTCCTGCATCTCCTGCATCTCCACCCAGCATCTCCACCTCTCCAGCCCTCTCACAGCACTCCGGCATCTCCATTCCTCCAGCATCTCCTGAATCTCCAGCCATCTCCAGCATCTCCAGCATCGTCCAGCATCTCCAGCATCTCCTGCAATCTCTGCATCCCTGCACTCCAGCACTCCAGCATCTCCTGCATCTCCTGGCAATCTCCTGCATCCCCTGCATCTCACTGTCGTCTCCACATTTCGATCGCTCCAGCAGCTCCGCAGCTCCACAGCTCCAGCAGCTCCAGCATCTCCAGCATCTCCAGCATCTCCAGCATCTCCGGCATCTCCAGCATCTCCAGCATCTCCAGCATCTCCAGCATCTCCGGCATCTCCAGCATCTCCAGCATCTCCAGCATCTCCAGCATCTCCAGCATCTCCTGCATCTCCAGCATCTTCTGCATCTCCAGCATCTCCAGCATCCCCAGCATCTCCTGCATCTTCAGCATCTCCAGCATCCCCAGCATCTCCAGCGTCTCCAGCATCTCCAGCATCTCCAGCATCTCCAGCATCTCCTGCATCTCCAACATCTCCTGCATCTCCTGCATCTCCTGCATCTCCTGCATCTCCTGCATCTCCAGCATCTCCAGCATCTCCAGCATCTCCAGCATCTCCAGCATCTCCAGCATCTCCAGCATCTCCAGCATCTCCTGCATCTTCTGCATCTTCTGCATCTCCAGCATCTCCAGCATCTCCAGCATCTCCAGCATCTCTAGCATCATCATCATCAACATCATCATCATCATCATCATCATCATGATCATCAGCATCATCATCAGCATCACCATCAGCATCCTCATCATCCTCATCCTCATCATCTTCATCCTCATCATCATCCTCATCCTCATTCTCATCATCATCCTCATCATATTCCTCATCCTCATCCCTGCTAAAAGCATCACCGCCAGCATCAGAATCGGCATCAGCATCATAATCCCCATCCCCATCAGCATCACCATCACTACCATCATTACTAAGACCAGCTAGGCAAGAACCCAAGGACCAATCGCAAGTGGTGCAGTACCTTTGCCCCGCCAATTTGGCCCGGAGCTCAGCTAGGGTTGGGATGCTGTGAGATTCGCCATGCCTCCTCTAGACAGTGATATGGACCTCGCCGGTTTCAGACAATAGATGGGGTTGAAATTCAAAACATCCCAGAGTTACAGCATCTAGGACTTGGCTGATTGTAGGTCATTGATGGTCGCGGTGTGTCACGGTGCTCATTGCTTTAGAGAGAAATGTAGCAGGATGAGGATCACCGGACTTGCCTCCGGGATGAGGATCTCCCAGGACTCCAAACCATGATCGCACGCTAACGGGAGGTTACTCACCGAAGATGGAACGATGTTGGAACCTGGAAGCCTCAATCATGTTGGATGTGTTTGGATGAGGATGTCACGATTGTACTGTTTTTTTTTAAAATTGTCGTGCGTTGTCGTGCTTTCCAGGGTAAAGAAACACCGGCAGTGGTGAGTAGAGTCCTTCAGGATGGGAAACAAATTCAGACTAAAAATATGGGGAGCAATCTATTCATATGAAAGTATTGACGTGGCTGACTGAAAGTACATTCTTGACATCTACGCGGCAGTCTGCGAAACTCATGATTCGTTAATATAAATTGCTGGACCTCCCTGTTCTGTTTCCAAGTTGTTGGTGAACTGCCAGATCTCCCCATTGGTGGAAACTCACCAGCTCATTTTTTTTTTTTAGCGCACCGAGGTGGCAAACGTTGGCAATTCTCTTCTGGAGATTTCAGGTCTGGAGCTGGCTGAAGTTTGTCGAAACAAAGATCTCACCAAAATTGCCGGTTTCCATTTGTCCCTTCATAATTCTGAATTCTGATTCGAGAATGGCATGGGCCAATGGGGCTGGTCATGGCCATCTCATGGCAGCGGCGGGTCGGCGGGTCGCAGGTGCCACCGCGACGCACATTGACGTCCGAGACGCGCCGGGAAATCCTGCGGAGAAAGCTGTTGGAAACCCCAGGGAGATGGCGATTTCCCACCAAGAAAGGCATCGATTCGTGATGAAATCTATGGGCTGATAGGCCATGCAATGGTGGAATTTGGACTCTGTCGTACTTTGTCTTAATTTGTCCCCAGAACACACCCAAAGGCGGAAATCTTTAGCTATTTTGGCTGAGCTTTGGGTTCTGCTAGCCTTTGCTAATCGCTTGATGAGTCCCAGTGTGACATGTGCAGACAGCGAACAAATTTGGTGATCTCGTGCAAGTGTCATGTAGTGCAACGTTTGCTACAGCTGCATTAACATGCACCAACCTCGTATCTGCATTTCTTAGCAAACATAGGAGGAAGACATGTTCCCCGTTCCATGACTCTTCCCTTCCTGTGCTGAGATCACAATCAGTGGCAATGCTGTTGGCTGCTGTGTGGTGGCGGACCAAGATATGTTTGCTGACGATTGGTGGAGAAGGAATGCCAAAGAAGCAGCTAGAAGCAATCCAATTATTTCATATATACACATACCGACATATATATATAATTACATATTTGATTGACATAAAATTGGAAGCAATTGTCGGCAAGGCCTATTTGCACGTGGTGTCAAGATTCTCCGGTGTCCAGCCGGGAGGAGCCAATGGGTGCATCACTGGCTCAACGAGCAAATGTGTGCCATAAGCGAAGATAAACTTCAACAATCCTGATCAATCCTGTATAGGTTTTTGCACTTCTTTACCGTACTCTCTCCCTCCCTCCCTCCCTCCCTCCCTCTTGACATATATGTATGCATATTATATATACAGAGGGATTTATGGACCAGCAGTTAAAGTGATCATTCTGGTGTTGGTAAGTGGCTAATAAGGTTACCTTGAATGGTCTGAGATAGCTTCTTTTGCAACCTTTTGCGCTGTTTCAAACCTAGTACTGTATTCTCTAGATGTTTTGCTGGAAAGGCCGAGAGATGATGCAACCGGTGCAACAAATGCAGCCAGGAACTTGGAACTTTGTTTTTCTGCCGTTTAAGGATGGGCATGATAGAAACATGTATAAGGCAGGAGCACTGTTGGCATCATTTTGGAGCAGGATTTTACGAACGGGCTTTCTATATAGGGTCCCCCAAAGGCCAAAAACAACAAAATCACAAACCTTAACCGTCTTTGACCTTCTCCTTCCCCCCCTGGGCCTGCGCAGGTGTTCTACTTTTGACATGTCTCACTCACTATTTTTCAAGCCTCTCTATTTTTGCTGGGTCTCAGCATGTGTGACCTCAGCGATAGTCCGATGATTTGTAGGACTTTGATTCAGACCTTGGGACCTTGGGATCTATCGAAGTGCAGTGTAGTGTACCAAGGCAAGGTTTCAATGCACCTGCTGGAGCCGGCATGAACTGCATGGGTGGCATGGGCAACATGTGTGGGATGGGTGGCATGAACATGGGCTGCATGGGCAACACGGGCAACGGTGGCATGTGCTGCATGGGCGGCATGGGTGGAGCGGGAAGCATGGGCGCGATGGGCAATGCGGGCAACATGGGCAACATGGGCAACACAGGCAGCATGGGCAACATGGGCATGGTCGGCGTCCTAGTTGCAAGAACCTATCGGCCAACATCAATTCAGGACGACTCACGCTTTGAGAACAATGGAATCATAATGTGCTTAATTATGCATAGAAACTTTACCCTTCGAAATCTACGGTATTGATACTCGCTGTCCCAGAGTCTGTTGAAGCCACGGCCCAAACTCTGTTATGTCACTTACAGGTCACTTGTAGGTCATGTCGGTCCAGCATCCGCCGAGTTTCCCAGGTCGGTTCTGGCAGTTTCCTGTGAGCCCCGGGCAGCCCCAGCTCGTGGCGGTGGACGTGACCGTGGTCACCGTGGTCGGTTGACTCTGGTCGACACGGCTGCGGCCCAAAGAGGGGGGATCCCCAGGCCGCAGCGTGCGCAGGAGGTGTCCCATTCCCGGGCTTGTCGCGTTCGAAAAGAATAGGGCCAGCTGGACAGGGTGGTGTAGGACAGGCAGAGAGAGGGAGAGATACTTTGTGTAGGAGTGGAGTGCTGAAGTTTCACAACTCTGGCCTGCAGGCTTGATTCTCTTTGTCGCGATTTTGTCAAGGAACATATAGGAACAGACATAACAATGCGCGCGCCCAAATGCCCACATTAAGTGACATTTGCAACTGCAACTGGAAACACTGATTTTGGTCTCAAGCCGCGCAATAAGCGCAAGGCTTTGGGCGGTGGTTTAGTATGCTGAGAGCCATGGCCATCACGACATTTCTGGGGTTTCTTGTCCTGCCAGTCACCGCGAACCTGCGGGGTGCAGACAGGGCGCCGGACTACACACAGTGTGGGGTGCTGGGACAATCCCACCACACAGCCACACAGCGGATCGTTCACGGTCACGATGCAGGGCAATGTGTCTGGAGATGGCAAGTGAGTTTGAGTTCGGCCACCGACGGGCAGTTCTGTGGAGGCTGGGGGAGTTGCGAGCCAAGAGCCGGATGAGACATCATCATCACATTCTTCTCATGTTTGAGTCGCTTCGCGACGAGAACCGCCTGCATCCAGGGAATAGGACAGAGAGGAAAGAAGCGGGCCTACTTGGCGCAACATGGCGCAACCAAAAGCCGACTGGGGTCAAACTTGGACGTCCTTGGCCCTGACTTGGGCCGAACAGGAGCCCACTTGGGCTGAACAGCGGCCTGTCCCGGGCGAACGTGGCCCCCCCCTAACTCAATCTGCACCAGTCTGACAGATTTGTCGGTATCACTCGCTGCTAAACTACCACGCCTTTTGGCACCTTCGGCGCGGGTGGATTTAAGTATCCTTTTGAGCGTTTGTGCCATGGTAAAAGATATGATAACATTTGATGGTGGTTGTTGGTCATTAGTGTTGTGTGGTTGTGAAAATTGGCCGTCATATTACCTATGCATACAGCAACCTCGACACACAGTTTGATACCTTGAAATGCAGAGGTAACATCAGTAACATCATTTGAAATCTTGGCAACACTTGTCAGGTTCATGTGCGCATGTGGCCCACGGACACGCATTACACTCTGGCGACGATAGGTGTCTACAGATCAACGCATTGTTCAAACTTTGTAGGACGAACACTTGCATACGCAATCATACGCATACCACGAACATCTGAAACAGGCATCGTACAATGTTGTACTATATATATGTACATACACATAGTCAAAGGAAGTTTAGTTAGGAAACTTCCGAATTAGGAACGATTGTCCTGGCTAGCTTTCTCACCATGATGGCAACCACATCATCGCCTCAATCATCATGGCAACCGCATCATCATGCAAGTAGTTGGGAAGTGTGAGAGATCGGGAACGCGTGAATTCAGGCTTGAAAACACTCTCGGGCGCGAAACCCTGCATTTTTTCGGGTAAGGTGGGCGCCGTGGTCGCCGAAGGAGGGTCTCTGTTTCCGCGGTTTCGCGGCTCGGTCGGGGGAAGTGGTCGACCAAAGCGCACAGGACTGTAGCGAGAGCTCGATTTCCACTTGAACATGTTAAAAAAAACTGTCTCGGTCGGAGCACTTTTGGAAGATGACATCGGCAAAATTTCAATTCATTCGTTTTGTTTCAATTCCTTGATTTCAATTCATTCAATCATTAATTCCTTCATTTCACTTCATTCACTTCATTCATTTCATTCATTCATTCGTTCGTTCATTCATTCAGTCATTTATTCATTCATTCGTTCGTTCGTTCATTCACTCATTCATTCATGTTTCCATAGGCAAACTGGTTGCTATAGCCGTGTCCTCTTTCGAAACTTCCGCCCCGGCGCGTGCCGGGCACTACCTGGTACAAGACAAATATGCACTGAAGGATCTTTATCAACCATATCAGTGCCATATCAACCCACACCCCTCACCTCTCAATGTCCCCAGCTTATGTTTTTCCCGAGAGCGCCTGCGAAGGGTTCTTCGTAAAAAAGCAGCCGTTATACTAGATCTTCACACCTTCACATCTGTAGATCTAGATCTTCACACCTTCACATCTGCTGATCTAGATCTTCACACCTTCACACCTGCAGATCTAGATCTTCACACCCTCACATCTGCAGATCTAGATCTTCACACCTTCACATCTGCAGATCTAGATCTTCACACCTTCACATCTGCTGATCTAGATCTTCACACCTTCACACCTGCAGATCTAGATCTTCACACCTTCACACCTGAAGATCTACATCTTCACACCCTCACATCTGCAGATCTAGATCTTCACACCCTCACACCTGCAGATCTAGATCTTCACACCCTCACACCTGCAGATCTAGATCTTCACACCTTCACATCTGCAGATCTAGATCTTCACACCTTCACACCTGAAGATCTACATCTTCACACCCTCACACCTGCAGATCTACATCTTCACACCCTCACATCTGCAGATCTAGATCTTCACACCTTGACACCTGCAGATCTAGATCTTCACACCCTCACATCTGCAGATCTAGATCTTCACACCCTCACACCTGCAGATCTACATCTTCACACCCTCACATCTGCAGATCTACATCTTCACACCTTCACATCTGCAGATCTCCTCTCGCTCTTCTTCTATTCTCTCTTAAGGCGGGGGCGGTGCCGCCGGAGCGCCACGAAACGCAACCCTTTCGCACGAAATGGACGTTGGACGTCCAAAACCTAGGTAAAATTGCGATTTTGAAGCGTCCCCGGCAACCCTTTCGCACGAAATGGACGTTGGACGTCAAAAACTGAGGAAAAGTTGCGACTTTGATCCGTCGCGCGCAACCCTTTCGCACGAAATGGACGTTGGACGTCAAAAACTGAGGAAAAATTGCGACTTTGAGGTGTCCCGCGCAACCCTTTCGCACGAAATGGACGTTGGACGTCAAAAACTGAGGAAAAATTGCGACTTTGAGGTGTCGCGCGCAACCCTTTCGCACGAAATGGACGTTGGACGTCAAAAACTGAGGAAAAATTGCGACTTTGATTGTCAATCGCAACCCTTACGCACGAAATGGACGTTGGACGTCAAAAACTGAGGAAAAATTGCGACTTTGAGTTGTCAATCGCAACCCTTACGCACGAAATGGACGTTGGACGTCAAAACCTGAGGAAAAAGTGCGACTTTGAGTTGTCAATCGCAACCCTTACGCACGAAATGGACGTTGGACGTCAAAAACTGAGGAAATTTGCGATTTTACTTGGTCAATCGTAACCTTTTCGCACGAAATGGACGTTGCACGTCAAAAACTGAGGAAAAATTGCGATGGACGTTTTCGTTTCTGTACAAGTGTCTGTGTGTAAAAGCGTCTGTGTGTAAAAGCGTCTGTGTGTAAAAGCGTTTGTGTTTGAAAGCGTGTGTGCGTGTGTAAAAAGCATCTGCGTGTAAAAGCGTCTGTGTGTAAAAGTGTTTGCGTGTAAAAGCGTCCGTGTGTAAAAGCGTATGTGTGTAAAAGTGTTTGTGTGTAAAAGCGTCTGTGTGTAAAAGGGTCTGTGTGGAAAAGCGTCTGTGTCTGTGTGCAAAAGCGTCTGTGTGTAAAAGCGTTTGTGTGTGTATCTGCATGTAAAAGTGTATGTGTGTAAAAGAGTCTGTGTATAAAAGCGTCTGTGTGTTAAAGTGTTTTCGTGTAAAAGTCTCTGTGTGGAAATGCGTCTGTGTGTGTGCATGAAAAACGTCTCTGTGTGAAAGCGTCTGTGTGTAAAAGTGTTTATGTGTAAAAGATTCTGTGTGTAAAAGCGTCTCTGTATAAAAGCGTCGCGTTTCTTCGC